AAAAAAAAAATTTGAAATTAAAATTTGAAATAATTTTTGACGAGCGGTACACTATATGCAGGAGTGGACGAGATTCAGAGAAAACTTTGACGAGTGGCGCACCATGGTATATGCAGGATATAATTGAGTGAGTTGTGACACAAATGGGTCACGAACTTGGGGCCACTCTTATTCTATACCTCAGTGCTCATTTTGACTGTATGAGATAACCATTAAAAAAGTGGTGATACACTTCCGTTTGAGCGTTATTTTGGAGTAAAGAACTTGAAGAGCGTGACCTCAAAACGCATCCTTCACCCCCACTTTACGCTCGAACCGGTGAACCGTAGAGGTGCTAACAAATATTACTCACCGAAGTGCAAGCAACTTATATCGGTGGCACTGAACGGCATTAAAAAGCTATGCCGTTATAAATGAAGAACCTGAAGCCACTTTAGAAAAATACTGACAATATCACGGATCTCGATGCATACTCGTGGTGTAAAGTGAGAATCTTCACATACTATGAGAGAAATTTAACGGGCTTAGCGTCATGGCTCAAGCTATTGGTTTTTGGAAAAAGATATGACACCGACGTGATTCGAACACGCGCATCTTACGATAACAGAAACCCCAACCTCGCAGTTGAGAAGCTTTGAACGCTTGAGTCTGCCGCCTTAGACCACTCGGCCACAGTGCCTTCTGGTTGAGAGCCCGGGAGATTCCATCGATGGTATGGTGACCAATATGATGGTAAAAAAGTTCAATTCCCATCAATTGAACCAAAGAAACACCTGGCGTGGTCAATCATTGAATGTGAGCATTGAAGTCAAGTATTTAGCGCCATACGTAGTTTTTAAGCTGTATGAATCTCAAAATATTCGTTATTTGTGAGAGGAGTATTCGACAAACAGTTTTGAGTGGAAAATTCTTAAATTCAACACAATAGTGATTTGATCACTTCCCTTTCATAGATAATCATTGAAGGTACTTGTTAAACTTTAGTTATTCGCAGTTTGGATTACTCAATTAGCCATTCTCACAAACAATAAATACCCTTTAAAACAAAGCCTTTCCCATCAATTCTCTCCCCAAACATTGATCAAACACACTCAAGAACTGTATTAGTAGTTAAAATGTTGCTGAATTGTGTAGGCCGTCGAAGTAGGGTACGTGCGGCTTTGCCAGTGTGGCGCCGCACTGAGCCGACCCGTATGCCACGAGTGATCGACGCCGTGTTGGTGGCGATCGTCGCCTACCACCTTTATCTCGCCCCCTATACCAAAGTAGAGGAGCTGTTTAACATCCAGGCGATCCACGATATCGTCAATTACGGCGCCTTCCCGCAGGAGGTCATCACCGCCCACTATGACCACGTCGCCTTCCCCGGGGCCGTCCCCCGGCTGTTTGTCGGGGCCTTAGTGATTTCTGGGTTTACTAAGATGATTATGAACGTGAGCAAATGGTTCGGTCACCCATTGGTGGTCGACGGGGCCACCGAGGCCGATTTGCTCCTCGTGGTGAGAAGCGTGCTTGGCCTCGCCAACGCCATGGGGATCGTTGCCATTGGCCACGCCATCGATAAAGTGACCCCGAAAAAGCGTGGTGTTGGCTGGTGGTACACGTTGCTTGCATGTGGCCAGTTCCATTTGCTCTACTATGCCCTGAGAACATTACCGAACTTTGTGGCGCTTCCCGTGGTCAATTTCGCGTTGGCCAAGCTTATTCAGGGGGATATCTCGGGGTTATCGTGGCTAGCATTCTGTGGCGTGGTGTTCCGCCTTGAAATTGGCGTTTTCGCCACCATCATTGCCATAGTGTCATCACTCATATTCCGCCAAACCCAGTTGTCGGTGGCGATCGTGATGCTTATGGCGGGTACAGTATTCGGGTTATTCATCAGTATCCTGTTTGACCTGTACTTTTGGGGTCGGTTAGTGTGGCCGGAGCTCGAAGGGTTTGTGTTTAACGTTGTCCATGGAAAATCAGTTAACTGGGGTACCGAGCCGTGGAAGGCCTACTTCACGCGCTACTTATGGCAATTATTCCGCCCTCCGCTTGTGCTTTTGCTTGTTATCCCCGGGCTCGTTAGTGACCCTGTGGGAGAAATAAAGTCATCACCAAAGAACCAAAAACAGCCTGAAACTGCGATCACTCACCCGTCAAAGAACATTTTGAGGATCTTAACTGTTTCGTCAATCATTTACGTGGCGGTGATGTCGTTTCAGCCGCATAAGGAGTGGCGGTTCATCATTTACACTGTACCGATATTCATTGCCAGTGCCGCCAATGCGATGAATAACGTGTGGAGCAAGCGTCGCGACAGTATCTCCACCCTGATATTAGCGGCTGGGTTGTCGTTGGTGGCGGTGGCGAGTATATTTGTGGGCTTACTCTTTGGCTACTTCTCCAGCTACAACTACCCCGGCGGCGAAGCGCTCTACCAAACCAACAAGTGGCTCGACCAGCACTACCAGAACTCGCTGGCATTAGTGCACATGGACGTGGCGCTGTGTATGACGGGGATCAACCGGTTTGGCGAGATTCACCGCTTAGACGATACCATTATCTACGATAAAACTGAGGATGACGACGTCCTCAAGGAGATTTGGGACAGTATCGATATTTTGATCAGCGAAAAGCAACCCGACGTCAATGAAGGATGGCAGCACGTGTACACTGCCCGCAAATTCAGTGGGGTATCGCTAGTCCCGACTAAAGCGTTGGTACAAGCATTACGACTTGATCCTGTCAATTACGGTAAAGGTCTATTGACGCTGGTGGTGGACGAAGTGAAACGAGGCCAATGGGAAACGGCCCAGTTATGGCTACAACAGTCAGTCAAGACAGAGGAGTACTTGTACGTGTTTGAGCGTACCCGGCACCCCGACGATGACAACTAAAAACACCTTACGTGTATAAATTAATTTAATCCAAAGGAAAAAAAATTAAACCCATATTAGTAGAGAACGGATTTGGTGTCGGAGTTGGCCGAGAAAGCGCGGTACTGTTGCTAGTGAAATACTTACCACTGTAATTGTTTTCGTGAAATGAGAGCAATGAAAGGTTTCTTATAAAAACTCTAAATGTTTATCAAATATGCTGACATTGAATTCAGCTGGAGAATCTTCTGCTATTATTACTCTAGTGGAAAAATGGGGAAAAATGGGGTGATCATCTCCACCTGCATATAACCCACAGACGGCCGGTCTCGACCCCGTCTCCTTAAACCCGGCCTGGTTGCTATTATTTCCCAGTGAATTACTACCAACGCCATGGGCCAGCAGACGAGTACCGTTGCCCTGGTATCGACGGTGGAGCAGTCTCCCCCCACCGTTCGCGACGAGCTCATACAACACGCTCTCCTGAGCTTTTCGGCGTTAGACCTCAAAGTGGTGGCGGAGAAGTTAGGCCAGCTGGCGGTGGATCCCGCCCACCAATTGACTGCTAAGGAATTGGGGACGTTGTTTCAGATTGACTGGAGCGTATGTGAAGGTTCTGAGGTTGGCGAAGCGCTTACGGAGGTGTTTTCGTCGTTCCGTTATATGGGTCAGTTGCTGTCGTCAAATTCACTCACCGTGGGCCAATTGTTGGCGACAATGGCAATTTATATGAAACACGTTATCAAAGTCGATGCCAACGATATGTTCTTTTATGGATTGGCGCTGGATACTGACAATTTGCCTCCTAAAGAGCCTGAACCTGAACAACTGGAAAAGCTGGAAAAAGCCATTGCCGAGCCAGAAAAGCTGGCACAGACTTCTAAGGAGGCAGAAGAGTTACAGCCAGTACTGGAAAAGCTGGTGGAGTCCACTCACGAGGAATCACTGCCGTTATCGTCGTCAACAATCTCAGTCCCTACTTTACCCCACGAAGACTCATCTGACGCCGAGATTACCATTGACTGGAAAACATTTACGTTACCCTTAGGTGAATCATTACCACCACAATTACCTCGAGGGCAATTTATCCGCCTCCTTACGTTACTTCTCATCGTTGATTTCGCTCGTGTCAATAATGCTACCAACGCTCAATTATACCGATGGTTTGAAAGATGGCCTGAATTGAAAACTGAGGCATTGTCGTTAGCAAACTACTTCACCCCTGATGCCAAAGACATACTGATTGACGACTACCGGCGTGGGGTTCACCGTCTCTCGGGGATGATCACCGATAACTTGGTGTTCTTATTCAAGCGAGTACTCAACTTCCGTGAGCCTGGAGCTCAATCCAAACTGAAACTGAAACCAGAGGCATCATCAGCATCATCGCCGTCGTCGCCGTCATCGCCTGCTGGACCAGGGAGACGGGTGGCTGACCGTAATAAGACGACCCAATTTGCCGAGCTGAGACTTTTGACGCTCCCGTTGTTGATGTATCTGTCATTCACGCTCAACCGTTTAACTTCGGTGTCGTTGAGCTTGGACAATATGTTCAAGCTTTATGGAGCCGATGCTGGTTTTTCCATTCGCTCGTTGGAGCTGAGAATCTTCAAATGGCAAGCGCCCACGGTGGTACTTATCAAGGGGAAACGTGTAAAGAAAACCACGCCTCGCTATACTAAGTTCACCGATGAGTACCCTCGGTTTTTCCCGCTGGACGATCCCCAGGCCCATTTGGCGGATTTCCAAACCCCGAGCGATCGCCTCACTTACGCCGCAGTGGTGCACGAGCCGTGGAAGCACTCAAACAAGCAAAACTTTGGCGACAAGCTCAACCTGCTCGTGGAGATGCTGCCTCGGTTTGACGTGTTTCCTGGCTCGGCTGCTGAAGCGATCTACTTCAACAATGTCGGGATGGGGCTCGGGTTCGGCGCCCACCAGCCAGTTAATAAGCACGGGGTACGTCGGTTTAACCCGGGCGACGTGTCGTTGGTGGTAGAGGCGAACTTGGAGTACGCCGTGTTCCGCCATTTGACTACGCCCACTACCGCAGGGCTGTTCTTCTCGCAGTCAGAAGTGGTGGACGTCGACTACGAAGACCGCATGGTGATCACAGATATCGAGGTGTGGGGGGTGGGGTCTACGACCACCTTGGACGAGCAGCGGAAACAGTGGGAGTGGGAGGAGAAGATGGCGGAGCAGCGCAAGAACGTCAACGTGCGCAGCATGGGCGAGGAGCGGGCGTTCTTGGAGATGGCGGGCATCATCCAGCCGGCGAGCGGCGGCGGCTCCGTGTAGCCAATGGCTGCCGAGAGCTGGTTAGGGTTCCATTTTGCATTATTTTCTTATTCCCTGTTTTGGTGGATTGCGCTGGTTTGATCGTCAGATTATTATCACATTTATCATCACATTTATTATTCATGTGATGTCAACTGTCTGTGTGTGGTTAGCATCAATTGCGTCTAGTGGTTTGAATTTGTCGTTATTTATGGTTGGTTGTTTTTTTTAGTATTCATATAGTTATAATGGGACGTCGCAAAAACAAGGTCGGTAACCCTCGGTCTTATCGGTGATGGTAAAGATAGCATTTATCCGATGTAAGCTGACTACAGAGTCGTAAACCTAAGTTATGCCGATAACGGCTAGAGTTGTTGGCTCGGTCAGTGCATAAGGTGAAGCCACGAGAACCAGCCAATCGGTTTTCAACTGCTGGTTCGGCAATCACATACTTACATTTGGAATCATAACTGTCTCATTGATTCAAACCAGTGCATTGGCGTCGCTGCTGGCGCAATGTCCCTTAGAGAAAAACTTTTCGGCTATTCGTTCGTTTCCCTCATTTCGGGGATATCGGCGAGCGTAGAGTTGCATTTTGTACCCCTAGCCGAGCCACTCGAGCATATACGTTGAATTTCATGCCTGTGGGCGATTGCCGTGCCTTACCGACACAAACATATGCTGGCGATCGAGACCCAAATAGGGTGAGTGGTTACTGATTGGCTAAATTGAAAATGTGAGAACATGAGTAAGTGATGGTGTGGATGTGGCTAAAACCCTTAGAAAATTATACAACTTCTTCGACATTTCAGAGATTTTACTCAAAAAATGTCAGCTTCCATGGTTCGCTTCGTAGAAAAGCCATCAAGCCATACTCAATAATTTCAATTTCTTGTAGTAAAAACATCAAGTTTGACTGGTAACTACAGGAAACAAATAAAAAAGATGATGATATTGCCAGTAGTTCGCATAAAATCACCAAAACTATCAAAACGCCAAATACCATTTTGTCATGTTGAACGACATAGGTCGAACTTAATTTTTGAAATATAGAGCGTGGTGGCGCAGTGGTAGCGCGTTGGGCTCATAACCCAAAGGTCCCTGGATCGAAACCAGGCCACGCTACTTACCTTTTTTTTTTTCGCACCCACCAAGGCTATGAATAAGTCATCGATCGAGCATAGCACCCATCAATTTTAGTTAAGTATCTCTTTTTTCAGATAGTTATTGTTTCATCATCAATATAACGAAGATGAGATGCCATAATTGAGATCTCATCTCGCTTTATAATCTGTCATAGCTACAATTGATTCAGAGAGAGCAACAATATGTATTAGGAGATGGAGGGGGATTTAGTCTAACAAAAAAGATATTTTTCGAAAAATAGGTTGTAGTATTCACACACTTACAACATCATCATAGCGGCGGCGGCGATGACCCCGAGCGAGCCAGCGCCCATGGCGGCGGCGCCGTTAGCCAAGTCGACCGAGGGGACGACGTACGACGAGGTTTCCGCCTGTTGTTCCTGTTGCGAAGGTTCAGCAGCCGACGATTGTTGTTGTTCGCCGCCTTGTTGTTGTTCAGCAGATTGCGATTGAGGAGCTTGCGAAGTGGGCTTAGGTTCTTCGGAGGTGGGAGCTTGAGTCGTTTTTTGTTCTTGGTTGTTGTTGTTGTCGGTGGTGGGTTGGGGTTCTTCCGAAGTCTGAGTGGGTTGCTGTTGTTGTTGCGAGGTTTCGGTGGGCTTGTTGTCCTCAGTGGTAGTAGCCTCGACCTTAGCGGCTTCGTCCAACGCCTTCTTCTGGGCATCGCCGATTTGCCAGTAAGGTTCCCACACGCCGACTTCCTGGCACTTGTTCTTGGCAACGTCGGTGGCGGTTCTGACGTCGGCACCCTTGCACAGCTTGGCGATGCAGTCGGCGATCTTGTTGCCGAATTGGGGCATGACACAGAGACACCCGGTGTCCCAGTAAGGGCAGGGGGTGGACCCGGTGTCGGCGTTGTCGGTCAAGCACAGCTTGGCGCACTCGGGGACCAGCCCCAAGATGGGGTCGGCAAACCCGTTGATCGACGCCGTCTTGGGCACCGAGGGGAAGTTGGCGTAAGGGTTCTCGGCGGCTTGGACGAGGGCGGCGGCGGCGAGCAAAAGAGCGGCGGGGGCAATCATGGGAGCGATGGACGAGATAAGTGAATTACTTGAAAAAAGAAGAGAGGGGAGGAATTAGCCAGACTATTTATAGCACGAGGTGGTACCCAGGGGGATTGCCGAGGCGGGATTATCGGGACATTTGCTGGGCGGGGCTAGGCGACGCAAAACCCGGGGAGCATGGCTCTAAAGGATGAGGCTGGCGGGGCCAATGGGAGCATTGTCCGGGCAACGGCGAGCACCGTGCGGTGTGCGTGCACCATGTGCATTGCATTGCTTTAGCAGCGGTGCAGGGAGCGCGCCTGATGAAAAAGATAACTTAATCAGCCATAACAAAGGAGATGGAAAGTGGGGAAACCTAATACGAGCGATAGACTTGTAAACAATCCATCAAACACTGGCTGTATACTAATTTCAGGTTGATGATGCCTTTGTAGTTCTCACTTAACATGCCTTCTTTTTTCGAGTAATTGTCGGACGATGATTTCTTGGCCTGCTTGCCGATTTCACCTGACGGCAATTGTCAAGAAGTCGAGGGGCCGCGCCCGTGTCCACGGTGCCCTTCGGAACCAGCACTACCGATCTCGGCTCGGGAGGCCCAAGCGAGGAAGCTCTCGTGTTTTGTGGCCTGTTTACAATTACACGAGCCAACACCCTCAACGATTACTCGGCATCGTATCCCCGATACCCCGACTCGGAAAGAGTGTAGACGGTGCCATTGGTGTTTCTATGGTTTTTTTTAGTGGCAAGCCAGTCTCTCTTTTCGTCGATTACAACAATAGACGCAATTTTCATAATAGAGTAAATCATCGATAATCGTAAATATTCCATACTTCACAATATACTCACAATAGGTGTTTCCATAGTTTTACAATGGGGTAGTCTCAGATTTAGTTTTTAGATTAAGTTTTTCCATACATAACAACATTTACTACACACAAGTTTACAATAACAAACCAACGAAACCCACGGCGGCGGCTAAGCCAGCGGCACCTACACCAGCGGCAGCGACACCAGCTTTAGACGACAGCGAACCGGTAGCCGACGCCAGCGACGCCAGCAGTTTCAGTTCCAGCCCCAGCGAGGTGGTCGTCTCTCTCGCGGTGTCGGACCCGGAATTAGAGCCAGAGTTCGAGTTACCTGAATTGGAAGCGGTTTCCAGTTTATCGTCGGTCAGTTTAGCATCGCCACCACTGACGGCTCTATTGGCTGCCAGCTGGACAAGTTCCAGCACCGTACCAGGCATCATCATCGTGTTCGCACCAACCGAGGTACACAACGAGTACGCCAACAGCGTCGCCAATTTCACGTCGTCGGGGTTTTCGCACTTAGCAAAGCACTCATTGACAGGGCCAGCCCACTGGGGCATGACACAGAAACAACCCGTGTCCCAGTAAGGACAAGGGGTCGAACCAGTGTCTTCTTTGACACACTCTTTGGCACAGTCAGGCAATTTGTCAATGATAGGATCAGCAAACCCGTTGAACGTCGCCGTCTTGGGCACCTTGGGATAGGTGCGGAAGTCGCCGACCGTAAAGTCGTTGGCGGCGGTGACGGCGGCCTGGGCGTCGGCCATCACCGACACGGCAAGTAAGAGGACATTAAACAACATGTTTAAATTATATTGGTAGATAGATGTAGGAGATAATGTCCTTATAAGTGTTAGCGAGATTTAATTGTCGGCGGCGTCTGTATCGGGAAGGTGCCGCCGACCGAGACTAGCCAGGGGGAAGGGGGGTAGGGTGACTGTGTGGCCAGAGAAAATGCCACTGCCGGCCATGGGGTTTGATGCGTGTGCACATAAGCACGGGCACTGCGCGCGGGCGTATAGTTCTTTTCGTTGTCCGAGTTCGGGCATAGACGGTGCGTAATCTACGACGATCAGTTCTCGCGGGAAAAATAACGTTTACGAGCCAATGGCGTTTGGGTAGTGGTGGACCACCGGGACAAGAAATCGTCAAGAAAAAGCTTGGGAGTGGTTGTAGTTACTTGGCTCGGCAGTGGGCTAGCTCTGAGTACAGTGGTAGCAGTGATTGGCTACATTCGAGTGGGCATCGTTAGGCCATGTTCTTGGCGGGGTCGTGTCGCTACCAACGCAGACACCCCCCACTCACACGACCAACAGGCCGTCAAACCACGGCCACTTACCTAATAATTACTTAACACTACCCCCAATAAGACCCAATAAACTACTTTTACCGCCTTTTTTCGGATATATCGGCCCCGCCTAAACACCCGATGGTAATGTCCGTTTGCTCGAATATAAAAATATCTGCACCGTGCCACGGCGGTGATTTGCTCCATGCACGCTGTGCTGGTTACGCGTCCCGTGGGCACCCATGCACGCACGTTCAAACTGACACTATTTGGCCACACCGGGCCCAGCCAAGGCACTTCGCCCTTTTCGGACGCAAGCGTCGTCCGCTCGCCCCCCGATATCTGCGGCACTTTATCTATACCATCACCTGCAATTAATTTCACGCCATCAGATCGCTTAGATACCACCTTCACTAGCTCCAAAAAATGGTGCTGTCGATTCCCTACAATCTCCAGTACATCGCCGAGCGGGAACGCAACCAGAAGTTCCAGTGGTTGACGTTTGGTATCACCTTCATTTTGCTTGCCCTCCACGGTCTATTTTTCCACTGGGGGCCGCGGTGGTTGCGGAAGAAGAGAACGCCTGATAGCATACGCTTCAAGGGTTATTTCAAAGTGATGAATTGGTTTAAAATGATGACCGGGTGTGAGCTGTTGCCGCTAAAATTTTGGAAGACGGGGATCGAACGGAGAGTGTATTTCCAGCCGTCGTTGGCGTTGTTGCTGGCAGTGTATATCATGTTCTGTGGTCTATTTTCGTATCGAGAAACCGCTGATATCGATTACTTGCCGCGGTACTATGTGTGTGCAAAGCGGGTGTCACGTGTGGCTATCGGCAAGCTTATTCCCATCCTTGTATTTGTGTTTAAGAATGATCTTGTCTCGGCGATTTCCGGGGTGGGACCCGAACGGCTCGTGTGGATGCACAAATGGCTTTCGCGGCTCATGTGGGCCGAGGTGGCAGTGCACTTTGTCCTCTCAGTGTGGTACTGGGTCGTCGATCTGAGCTTTATGATTATGATCCAGATTCCGCCGCAAATCTTCGGGATGATGGCGTTTGGCTTTTTCAGTTGCATGGTGTTTGGCCTGCTTAAATTTATCCGCAATTGGGCCTACGACGGGTTCTTATTGTCCCACCGTATCTGCAATTTCTTATACTTGTTGTTTGCGTTTTTCCACAATGGGGGTAACAAAGCAGCAGTGCTTATCGCGGTACACACGTTAGTGGCAGACCGGATTTTAACTCGGGTGGTGGGGATTATCCACGCGGTGCGCTCCCCCACTAATGGCATATGCTATTTTAAGCTTAAAAGTGACGATACTTTATGGGTATCATTACCTGTGGCCACCGAGCGAGCCGATACTTCGAAATTGTACCGCAAGTTTTTGCCCTCAGTAAACACGTGGAAACCGGGGATGCACTGTTATTTGACGGTTCCCAGCATTCTGGCGTTTCAAATGCACCCGTTCTCCATTGGTTCTCTCCCCGATAGTCGCCAATTGATCCTTGTTATTCGTAAACGCAAGGGTTTTACCAAGAAATTGTTTAAAGAAGTGGAAAAATTGCAACAAATGATCAACCAGGGAGTACCCATTGTTGAGCCCAAGCCGAAGTTCATGGCTCGGTTGATTTCGTTCGTGACGAAATGGGTATTGTTTGGCCTTCGGTGGACGATAAACAAGGTTCTTGTGAAGATGAATAAGCCCCCGCTAAAGGAGCTGAACCCTAAAGATTATGACCACTCGTTTGAGCAACGGTACAAAGGGTACGTCCCCATAAAGGCGCTGTTTCTGGGTCCCGTCGGTGGTAAAATGCAAACGTTAATCCCGTTTGATGCTCTGTTGTTTATCGCTGGTGGTACCGGGGCTTCGTTTACGTTCCCCGTCTGTCTTAATTTGCTTAGAGAGCATAAGCTTCGCGACGACAACGACGACGTTGCCTACCGCGCCAGACTGCCCACGGTCCACTGTATCTGGATGGTGCGCAACCGCTCGCACATTAAGTGGTACGACTACCTTATTAAGGATTTAATCCCATTCATCAAACTGGGCCGGCTTCGGTTTGAGATTTACGTCACTCGTGACAACACCGAGATCGACTGGATTGAAGCGCTGAGCGATGACGATGATGACGACGATAAACACGTGGAAATGAACGTGATACACGTCCACCAGGATGACGATAAAAAGGTTAAAAATGAAAATACTCAGAAAGTGACGGAAATTGCCGATAAACTGAGACAAACGGTCACCGAAATAATTACTGCCGATAAGTCAATTGAGACGGTAACGGAACTGCTGCTGCTGCTGCTGACTCGCCTGTTTGCCCGTACTGATCTGGTAGGTTCAGATGACCAGTTATTACCGTATGGCGACGACGAGTTCAATACTGGTAATAAAGGCGATTCGGGGATGTACATGCGGCTGAACTTGAGCTTGTCTCACGTGACCGTATATCAAAAACGGCCGCAAATCGACGAAATCATCGACGAGGCGGTACTGGATTTAATGGGCAACACCTCAATTTATAAAGGCTTGGCGGTGCTTTTGCTGGGCCCGCTGAGACTCGCGGGGGAGACCAGCTACCAGGTCACTCGCCAGCGCCGCCGCGCCAACGCTCCGGATATATACTTCCACTGCGAGTCCTACGACTAGGACCGCCGACTAAACGTGTACGTAATGAACCAAATGTCATGAAACTTGTAGACCAATGAAACCGCCCGAATTCATTCGACAACTGACAGTGGCGAAGGGGACTGCTAGCTGGTCGAAATGGAGCTGTTGTCACTGAAGCCATATATGAACTGGTTTCATTCGAAACCACTATCAGACAACTGTCATTGATGTTCAGTTTCATCGTGAAACAAGTAGATGGCATCGTCATCGCGGCGTATTATAAATTGAAGCAAATAAGCGAGGGATTGGTAGACAGTCAATAAACCAATTATCCTGAAAATACCACCTGAAAATCGAAGGTAGTTTGGGATATCAATTGATTATTTATCGTGCTGATTTCATCATTATCAATAGCTTGATGGTAGGTGTGCCCCTGTTTCACGGAACGCCTTTGAAACTGTAACTCTGTTGTGGAAGCCACCACAAAACGGTTAAGGTTAACGGTTGCTAGTCCTTTAAATGGAACTGGGTTATGAGTCAGGGGAGAGAGAGGACAACAGGCGCACGCCGTGTTCTCCCCTAACTGCTCTCTAACTTAATTGTCCCCCCCTTGCTGTTTCTCATGTGATAGTTGAAACAAACCCTTAAACAATAGGGCACTTTCAAAGAAGGGCTATTGACTGAGCGCGTGTGATTTTCAGCTGAATTCATTGATCTGAAACTAGTATCTGGTGATACCTGTGGCAGCATTTTGAAACAAATGGTTGAAACTGTTTGGCAATGTGGTTTGTTTTGAAATGTCGGAGTCGTCCCTTTTTTTTGCTTGTTTAACGAGGGGAGGGCACAACGGCGGGGGTTGGGTGCCCGCAACCGAGAGTACGCGCGATACAGACGCTGTAGCGCTGCCTTTTAGGATTATATACAGGACACTTTGGAACCACGGAATTCCCGGCAGTTTCGGATTGGCCTACTCCAGCGCCACTAGCGCTTCACTTACATCGCCAATGACGCCTTCTTAAAGGGACCAGTGGGTTAAAGCGCTCCGGTGAGCGCTCCGCTTAGTTGGGGATCGCTTGTGGGCGTTACCATCGGCATTAACCCCGGTGCCAGCGCCGATGGGTAAACACGCGCGTGCCCCTCGCCGGGATGGCGCTGCGCTCGGCGCCGGGCGCCAACGTGTAAGGCAAAAAAACGAACAGAAAAACGCAATGCAAGTGTGGGTGGGGAAGTATCAGACTGGGGGTGTGTAGCAGGTGGTGTTTCGAATGTGGAAACACCCAATTGAACTTCAATCTAAGAAATCTGATAAGGACGGTGGGGTTGCGGCATTTACGACGAAGTTGCGCTGAGAAATTGACCACTCCCCTCAACATTGTTTTCCTTACTTGTTTTTTAGTTCTTTTCTTTTGGCTTGAGTATTGTGTGATTGTGTGTGTTTCGTTGCAGGGTGTTGTCGCAGAACATGTCGCAGAAGCACTATGTGATTTTCTGGGGCGATGTCTGAAACATTGCGAATGCGTTGATACTCTCTTCTTGAAACAATTCTCTATAAGAGTCAGGTGATTAGACCATTTCCCACAAAACAGTAATTGCGGTATTGCATCATTTGAGTTTTGTAATATCCGCCATTAGATGACGTCGGCCGGTTTAACCTTTTCTTGATTGTTTTTTTTTACTTAGTTAAAATCATGCCCGGTGCCATTACGTAAGCCACGTCGCCCGCTTTATAATCGGACACATCATGCATCCCCTCACCAAGCGATACTCGAAGGCCAGCTAGAAGGGTAAATAAGGAGCCCTCGCTGGCGAAAAATAAAAATAAAAAGTCAAAAACTCGGATACCACGACACCAGCCCGGCGACCACGTTTGAGTCCGTTTTATCGCCTCTACCTATGAGTCTGTCGACCGACCGCCGGCCGTCGATGACGCTGGCGCTGGCCGCGGCGCCGGCGGCGCTGGTGGCGCTGCCGACACTCCCGGCGCCGACACTATCGGAAACCACCAATATTACTTCGACCACGCCGCTGCGATCGCTGGCGATCCAGGCCACCACCACCGAGCTTACCCTGATCATTCTGGCGCTACGGCGCCTGGCGGAAGCCCACTTAAAGTTGGCGGCGGCGCTGGCGCTGCTGGAGGCGCCGCCGCCGGTGCGGCGCCACTACTCGCCGCTCATGGCGCCCACGGGGGCGCCCCTTGATTACGCCGCGATATTGGCGGCGCTCCCGCTGCCAGGAGAAGATAACATCGACGGCGTCACTTTCGTCAATATTGTTGAACCATTAGCTCGGAGAGCTGACGATCACAGCGAATCTGAGCTATTCATTAAGGCGTGTTCGGGGCGAGTGGCGCCGTTCGTGGCGCCGGCGCCCGCGACGAAGGGCGCGACGAAAGGCGCCACCCGCGCGCTGGCACGCCACTACTGTCAGTGGCTCCGGAGTCAATTTGTCGTGGTGAAATTGGTGGCATTGGCGCCGACGGCAGCGGTTAGCGAAGCGCAAATATTGCGCCCCACCCACAGTGACGTCACTCGCTACCTGCGCTACCTCAGCCAATTGCTCCCGTGCGACGACATCGACGGCGATAAACTCGCAATCATTATTGCCACCGTATGGCCGTTACTGGCAGGAAACAGCCCTCATGTTTCAGATGCGATGAAACACCAATTGCGACAATTAGGGGAATTACATCGAGATGTGATAAACGCTAATAATGGAGAGATCAATTGGCACCCGCGGCTCGAAGTGGCGGCCCTTGCCATTGAAGAATTGCTCGCTGATGCCGTGGTGAGGGTGGATGTAACCTGAGGTTACATTGACAATTTGAAACCATACATGAAACCGACATCAACTGATACATTTAACATGCCGTCTCCAAATGGCAGTGGACCCCGAGGGCTATTTCCAAGTGGTACCACCATCGACAAGCCCTAATAAACCCAAATTATACATAATTATAGATGGCGGTCAACCGCTAAATACACGTTTTCTACAGAGTGTTCAGTATTACTTACATGTTCGGATCAGGCTAGATCCTTAGACCATCACCAAGAGTATGTTTGGTTCTAACATCAACGCCCAAGCGTCTGATTGGATGTCTGAAATGTCCAATTACAAGGCTAGTCATTAATTTTAGCAGCAATGGTCTTGATTGATAGCCATTAATTGGTTTTGGCAACAACGGTCCCAATCAATTGCTTAATAGAAGCTAATTCCTCCTGGCAACTACGATTCGAGTAATCTACTTGAAGCTAAGAGTTAGTAATTAGTGTGGTTGGTTCGACTACTAAAGTCATCGCCGTCACGGGCACGTAACCAGATGACTCACGGCGATTCAGCAAAAAAATTTTTTTTCCGCCCTTCCCCAGAGTTTCCCCCCACCCGAAGCGTTATCGGCGAATGCCGCACGGGCAAACGGGGGGCACCCTCCCCCAGCCGTCAAAGGGCATTTCTTCTCGTATGCCGTGCGGCACCAACAACAATACTTCTTGTTTTAAGTTTACATTAGCGAGCCCAGCTGAGACCCACTCTGAAACGTATAGTGGTCAGTTATGGTTGTCTTAGTATTGGCGTTTTCCAGCGGCATTTTTTATATGCTGTAGACGCCAGTAGGCACCCAGACAGAAGTCCGGGGGGCGTGCGTGTAGTCACGTGACCACGATATACTCGCCAGGACCCCCGCGGTACTATCGTATAACCCTCCCCCCACGGCCTACCATCCCAACCCTAACCTCCCTCAATACCCCTCCATTAAACCACCCATCCAACCTCATTTATGCGCAGTGGCGACTCGCAGTCGACCGAGGACACCGCCGTCGACGCCGACCCGCTCGCCCCCCAATGGTCGCTCGACCGCCTTTCGCAAATCGACCTTGGGGAAATGCTGGCGGTGACGACGAGGGTGCTGTTTTCCAATCCCGATTTCGGCTATATCCTTGCTAATGCCCTGGGAGACAACTATGCGTTTCATCGCTATGCTAACGGCACCGTTTACGGGCTGATGCCCACGGTCCCCGAGGTGACGGCCCACCTCAAATTGCTCCGGGCCTTCCAAGAATTAAAGCGTTCTGTAAGCGGAGACGACTGTGAAACACCTCAGCTGATTAAAAAATGGCAAGTGTTTGTGTCTCAGGCGGTTCGGAGGTTCGTCATGTTCATTACTGGCCTACAACGACGACTCCAGAAACCTACCAACCCGAAGTTTAATCAACTGGAATCAGCAACGTTTGACGACGCCATTGCCGTTGATCCTGATTTCGTCACGTTGATCCTGACGCTGTTGCCGCCGTTGGACGTGGTGATGGTATGGCACGCGTTTATGCTTTCTCCGCGACTGTACTACGACCACTTCGCGAGAGCACAATTCCTTCAATTTGCATTGATGCCGATGCCCGTCCACGTGATTGCCGACGCCATTGACCCGATCCTGTTCAGTTATCGCCCCAGCCAGCAAGTGCGCGATAACTATTTGGAGATAATTAATGCGGTGGGATCTCACCCCACGGACTTTATCTACGATATTGAGGCTCAGGACACTAACGGATTGGTAGTAGATGTATACTGTCCCATTTGCGATAAGCTCATCACCAAGGCTCCGTTGTCTAATGACGAAAATACGGGGTTTGCCGACCGCGACTTCGAGTGCCCCATTCCGGAAGATCTGCCGTGCCAACACAAAATCGCCGGCTCGATAACCCACGCCGAGCTCCAAAAACGCATGCTTTACGCCGACGTGCTCCGCCGGCGCCCGTTAGCGGGGCTTTTCAAGTACTTTTCCAATCGCATCTGTCTTGACCGCCAAAAGAGTATGCGCTCTGACTCTGCACAACGCCAGCTCCAAAAGCGAGTACTGAAACTCGTGATGCTGCCTCAGTTTGTCCGTCGCTCATTGACGGAGTTTATGAAGCATGAATTGCCTCGTTTCTGTGAGAAACCTATCATTACTCTACTCCGCACTTACCTCATGGCCAACCCCTTACATCTCACAGTGGACGGCCTGTTCTCAGTGTGGGACGACTTGGTTGGGGCAGTGCTTCGCCAAGAGCGGTTCACCGTGAAAATGACCCAGCTAGACTGGCTCCACAACCAGCTCCTCAAAAAGACGATCGCCGAGCTGATCATCCGCTACCTGCGCTACCTAAACTTGCTCACCCGCACCGACCACCAGCGGATGCTTGTGCCCACGTTGGACATCGATCTCATCTGGCACACCCACCAGTTGTCGCCTTACTTCTATTATCAGGAGTGTATGCTGTCGCTGTTAGGCGCCGTCATCGACCACGACGATAAGGTCGAGGAAGCGAGACTCGACCTGGGGTTCAAGGATACCGCCCTGCTCTACTATACCAAGTTTAAAGAGCCGTATCTCATCTGCTTTTGCAAGTACTGTCTGCAAATACGCCACACTCAGCAGAAACTGCCCGGGGTCCAGATCCTTCTGACGCTAGGGAAAAAACCACCGGGCCAACACGACCACGAACTAGCGCAACACCCGTTATTCCTGCCGCAAATGGGACTCACCCATATCTCCCATCATAACGCTATCGCTATGCCCACCTATTCGGCTCGCCAGGCGCGAAAGCACTTGGAACTGCGATATAAAGGTCAGTTGCCGTGGGCAGCACCTCAACCTGGTTCGCTGGTGGCACTGCTGCTGGCTAATTCAGGGGGAAACCCCGTTTCAGTGGCAGGAGCCGAGTACTACGTGCTTCCTCCATTTGCACCCATCCACTTTGATTCGCGCCATTTCTACGAGGGATTATGTTGTACGATAAGAGATCAGGGTCCCAATTGTCTGGGAGTGAGTGGGTGTAGCGGCAGTGTGGGTGGGGATACCGGTAACGGCCAACGGATCGTTTAATTTAATGACATTTTTAGTATATAGTACGTGCATGACACAAAATTGGTCAAAAGTGCGTGTAGAAACCAAAATCACGATATTCACACTGATTAAATTCATCAATGCGACGAGGTTCGAGGAGTAAACATCATTGCTGCAAACATCGGTGCTGCAAAGGCATCGCGCGGCCACTATCTCATCGCACCTACCCGCATCCTATCTCTCCTCCTACGATAACGGCGTATGGCGAAAAAGAACCACAACAAGGACGAGCCGGCGCCCAAACCCGTCACCGACTCGCGGTTTAAAGCCGTCCACAATGACCCGCGGTTCAGATTGCCCCTGTCGCGCCACATGAAGGTGAAAGTCGACGAGCGGTTTCTGAAAAAGGAGCTCGAAAAGCTCAACGCGCTGTCCCGAGGCGCCAAAATTGACCGTTACGGGCGTAAGCTCAAGGAGAAGAACGTAAGAGATGACCTCAAAAAGTTCTACGAGATGTCTGACAGCGAGGAAAGTGAAGATAGTGGTTCTGAAGGAGACTCGGAAAATGACGCTGAAACCGACGCCATTGACGACGACGCCGTGGCAGCGGAACTTAAACGGTTAGATAAGCTTGCCGAAGCTAAAGAAGCCCATTCGCTGGCGCTGGAAGCTGAGACTTCATCATCGCTGGAACTGGAAGGGTCACGTGACTCGGACCTCGACTCCGACCTGCTGGAAAGTGACTCCGACCTGGACTCCGATCTGGATGACTCCGACTCATCGGCGGAGCTGGACCTTGAAATCGAGGAAACCAAGCCCGATGAAGGCGAACCGACGAAACGATTTGCTGCCGTCAACATGGACTTCGACAATATCCGCGCCGTCGACTTATTCGCCCTGTTCCAGCTGTTTGTCGAGGCGGGAGACATCGTGCTGGTGACGATCTACCCGTCCCAATACGGTAAGGAACAGATGGCCAGAGAAGAAAGAGAAGGGCCCCCTAAAGACCTTTTCAAAAGTAAAAAGAAAAAGAAAGCCGCCGACTCTGATTCCGATGCGTCGGACGTGGAAATTGACGTCAATGACCCTGAAGCCCTCGCCAGAGCCGCGAAGAAATTATACGCCGATGCCGAGGATAAAGACCTGGGCGACTACGACTCGCGTGCTCTTAGACGCTACCAGCTCCAGAGATTACGATATTACTATGCCGTAGTCGAGTGTCGCCTGGTGAAAGCGGCCAAGACCATTTACTCAAATTGCGATGGCTCCGAGTACGAGCTGACGGCCAACGTGTTTGACTTGCGCTACATCCCTGACGACATGGATTTCGACGAAGATGAGCCTAAAGACCAGTGCTTTGAAGTTCCCGCACGGTATAAGCCGCTGCTGGAGTTTGTTACCGATGCCCTCACTCACTCCAAGGCCAAGCTCACGTGGGACGAGACACCGAGAGAACGGCTTGCTCTTGCGCAAAAGGCGTTTAGTCAGAAGGAAGTGGAGGATATGGACTTGAAGGCGTACTTGGCCCTGGGCCTGGACCTGGAAGATGGTAGCGATAAGGAAGCGAAGGCGGACGCTAACAAGTATAAGCTGTTGCTCGGCGGTTTCAAGCTGAAATTTGGAAAAGCTGATGGAGCCAACGAAGACGAAGATGATGTGGACATGGAGATCACTTTCAACCCCGGTCTTGACGTAGCGGCGGCGGAAGCGGAAGCTAAGCGCGTTGAGGAAGAACTGACGATTGCCGCTTATAAACGTAAGGAAAAGGAACGCAGACAAGCAAGACTCGAGAGAGCTAAGGCGAGAAAGGCCGCAGAAAAGGCCGCCGCTGAAGAGAACGCCGATCAAGAGGACCTGGCTGTCGCCTCCAAGGGCGAGCTTGAGTTGTTGACGATGGACGACGACGCCGACAATAAGCACTTCACGATGAAGGACGTGCTCAAGGCGGAGAAGGCCAAGAAGGGGAAGAAGAAGAACAAGCGGAAACACGGCGACGACGACGCTGCTCAACAGGTAGTGGAGCTGTTTAAGGCCGACCTCGACGACGACCGGTTCCGCGAAGTGTTTGAGTCGCACGACTACGCCATTGACCCTACCAATACCGAGTATAAGCAGACGCTGACGATGAAACAGATCTTGGAGGAACGAGGCAAGCGTAAGAAGCGGAAGCATGATAAAACTATTGAAGGTAGTGGCAAGGACGGCAAGCTGGAGGTGGAGTCGCTCGTGTCCAAGTTGAAGCGCAAGCACGGAAAGAAGCAGTAAGTAGAGCATATATTTCATTTTAATTAACGATCAACGACAAAAAAAAAAAAATAAACTCCCCGTAAACATGGCATCTTCACTCCGCAACATACAAATTGAGGTATTGTGATTGTGGTGATTCACACAGTTTAGTTAATCTGGAATTGCAAGACCCTGCAATCTCTACCGAAACAATCTCCAGCTTTGATTTGTGAGTGTCAGTGGGTTCGAACATTTTACCAATGAAGCACTGATTTCTGAACTATGCAATCAAGAATGCCTGAAACGGGGTCTGTATAAGCGATTTCATGTGGCGAGCCAGTCGTTTCGATGTCCACGGTCACTTGGCCAAGTGTTAGGAGGAAATGTAATCACAAATTGTCGTCAAACAAGCGTTCCATAGTCACTGAGGTTACCTTTTGTTTGAAACGTTCACCAATGATATTAGGGTATGGACTGGGCAATGTAAAGGCACCATAGGCCACTTCAACTTGTTTGTAACTCTGCATGCTCGACGTGTCCCGTTGGTAAAAGCTCAGCTGGCGTGACAAACTAGCAACATCTATTTGATTGCACGATTCGATAGCCTCTCAAATAGATCTATCGTAAGTACTCTTAGTATTAACTAAAGCGACCAATCAGCTAAGTTGAAAAAACTTTACTGTTGAATAATTTGTTTAGCTAACTGAAGGGGTTGTCTTGCTTTGTTTATCTTTGACACCACACTCCCATGATCCACTGATAACGACTCCGAAGTGCGCCACCGCGGACAACCGATAGAAGCCCAGCAAAAGAAAGGTATCAAGAGATTTATAAAAATCGATAAATTTCCAAACCTGTTTCTCTTCAACAAATACGTTCAACCAAATTTTGCTCATAGCCAAAATCCCTCTCCTACCTATATACCTAGTCACTGTTGCCACGTTGCTACCAGCCACCATCACCACTGGCATCATCTCAACCACCTATTAATATCAAAGCTATTCATCTATAAATAGTATAAATCCTACGACTATTCGGTGTACACACACTGGCTTCGCCCCGGAGTCACGGCAGCTTCGCCACCCGCACGCTCTCGCACACCGCCCTCCCACTGCTCACGCTCGCTCGCTGGCTCGCGCTCCCACCCTCGCACCAGATCGCACTTCGCCACTCACAGGTCCACGTTACACCGCCATGGACGAGACCTTGATTTCTACGATCAACAAGTTGCAAGACGCGCTTGCCCCGCTTGGCGGCGGGCTGCTGCTGCCGGTGGACTTGCCCCAGATCACCGTTGTCGGCTCCCAGTCGCTGGGGAAGCTGTCGGTGTTGGAGAACATCGTCGGGCGGGACTTCTTGCCCCGCGGGACCGGGATCGTCACCAGACGCCCGCTTGTCCTCCAATTGGTTAATCGCCGCAAGCCCCACACCAAGGCGGACGAGCTTATCGACGTCGGCGGCCAGCAGCTGGAAGACAACACCGAGGAGTGGGGGGAGTTCCTCCACTTGCCGGGGAAGAAGTTCTACAAGTTCGACGAGATCCGCAACGAAATCGTCAGAGAAACCGACGCCAAAACCGGTAAAAACTTGGGCATTTCCCCCGTACCGATTAACCTCAGAATCTACTCGCCGCACGTGTTGACGTTGACCCTTGTGGATTTGCCGGGGCTCACCAAAGTGCCCGTGGGCGACCAGCCGAAGGATATCGAGCGCCAGATCCGCGACATGATCATGAAGTTCATCTCGAAGCCCAACGCCATCATCTTGTCGGTGAACGCCGCCAACACCGATTTGGCCAACTCCGACGGGCTCAAATTGGCGCGCGAAGTCGACCCCGAAGGTGCCCGTACCATCGGGGTGTTGACGAAAGTGGACTTGATGGATGAAGGGACCGACGTCATCGACATTTTGGCTGGTAGAGTCATTCCGTTGCGGTTCGGCTACGTTCCCGTGATCAACCGGGGGCAAAAGGATATTGAAACCAACAAGACCATTCGCCAGGCGCTTCAAGATGAGGCGGCGTTCTTCGAAAACCACCCCGCCTACAAGGCCAAGGCCCACTTCTGCGGTACCCCTTATTTGGCGAAGAAGCTTAACGGCATCTTGTTGCACCACATCAAGCAGACGTTGCCCGAAATCAAGAACCGCATCGAAATGCTGTTGAAGAAGTACACCCACGAGTTGGACGCGTTGGGGCCGGAGTTGGCCGAGCTGCCGGCGCTGATTGTCCTCTCGATGATCACGAGCTTCTCCAAGGACTACAGCGGCCAGCTCGACGGTGAGTCGCAGGAATTGCTGTCGGCAGAATTGCTGGGGGGTGCGCGTATCTCGTTTGTCTTCCACGAGATCTTCAAGAACGGGGTGGCGCTGTTGGACCCGTTTGACCAGATCAAGGACGCCGACATCCGTACCATCATGCACAACACCTCGGGGTCGGCGCCGCTGTTGTTTGTTGGTACCGATGCCTTTGAAGTGTTGGTGAAGCAGCAGATCCGCCGTCTCGAAGACCCGCTGCAACGGTGTATCCAGCTCATCTTCGACGAGTTGGTGCGTATCTTGTCCCAGATTGTGTCCGGTACCCAGTACTCGCGGTACCCGGCGCTTAAGGAACAGTTGACCCAGCAGGTGATCCAGTACTTGCGTGAGGAAGTGGTGCCCACCTCCAAGTTTGTCAACGACATCATCAAGCTGGAAGAGACTTACGTCAACACCGCCCACCCGGACTTGCTTAAAGGTTCGGAAGCGATGGCGATGGTCGAAGAGAAGTTCCACCCGAAGGCCCCGGTGCAAATTGACCCCAAGACGGGTAAGCCGTTGCCGCAACCGCTCCAGCCTCAGCAGCAACAACAGCCGCAAAAGGACGAGAACGGGGGCTTCTTCGGCGGCTTTTTCACCCTGAAGAACAAGAAAAGATTACAGGCGATGGAGGCGCCGCCGCTGGTGTTGCGGGCGTCGGGGACGATGACTGAACGGGAGTTGATGGAGACGGAGGTGATCAAGTTGTTGATTCTGCTGTACTACGACATCGTCAAGCGCACGGTGCAGGACTTGGTCCCGAAGGCGATCATGTTGAAGTTGATCAACAACAGCCGAGACAACATCCAGAAGAAGTTGTTGGAGAAGATGTACTCGCTGCCCGACTTGGAGGACTTGGTCAAGGAGAACGAGTTGACGGTGCAGAAGCGGAAGGAGTGCTTGCGCATGGTCGAAGTGTTGCGCAACGCCTCCGAGATCGTGTCCAGTGTTTAGGTGTCTAGATTAATTACTATGATTTATGAAACAGCCTCGAGTTTTAAGGGATTACGAGTAGTATTGATGGCTTTAGGCCAAATTCTCTAGTCAATGACCATGGCTATTGGAGATGGCTTCAACATTTTACCAGTAGAGTAGTCAGCTTCAGTCTAATTTCTGTAGTTAATTAAAAGTGTTTACAATCTAAATAAATCTCTAGCCAACTGCAATTGCATTGAGATCTTTTGTCGTCGCGGTGGCCGTCATCGATGGTGGTTGCTGGTCGCCCCTATATGCATACCCTACCTAGCATTGCTTCGGCAGAGGGCGGGCTAATATCTCAATTACAGCGATTCAGAAAGATTAAATTGATGAATCAGTATCACTAGTGGTTTCACTAGTGGTTTCATGAATCATTTCAAGTTGATTATGTCTTCAATAGTGTTCTTAGTCCATCTCTTTGATGTTAATTACTAGAGATGACTGCGCCACGGGCGGTCGCAGCCGTGCGCTAATTTTCACGTTCCCCTATTGAGGCATGGGTGCCGCCAGCGATGATCCCATGATTTCACTACACCAACAACAGGAAAAGGCTTTTATCTGAAACCACCATCATCCTCGTCACCCAATCATCCAGTTTAGTGCTTCAATTTTCGCTATACCCCTCTGACCTCTGACCTTATCGAGTTAATGGTCACAAGAGATCACAGAGATTCTGGTACTTGTCACCTGCACACAGTCACCTTACTTCGAAATAAGAAATTTTTTTTTTCCGCAACGACCCGCACTACAAAGCAGCGCTTTCTCATTTATCGCCGCCAGTGAATAATCCCCACTGAGTGAAGAAACACCCGCAAACCCCCTTCGAATCAGTGACCTTTCTTGGTTGGATTAATCATCGCCAGCCAGTGACTCCCCTCCCATTTTCCCAAGCTCCGTGACTGGTTCGTTCCCGCGTCACCGCCCTTGCCTTGCTCCCAGTTTATGCCCGAGAAGGAACCCCGACGAGACCCCGAATTAGTTGACCAGTTCCCCGAGTGACAAGAGCATTGCCTGCTGAACCCCACCTATCATTTTCCCCTGATATTCTGTTGACGGAAACGTTTTTTTTGATTGCCAAAAGTTTTTTCTCCGTTTCTGTTTAACTAACCCAAAAGAAACAAATAAACCCAGATATTATGACCTTTGACTACGTCGACTGCCAATTGAGCGCCAACCTCGACTCCACCAACGCCTTCGAAGGCCCCGAGAAGTTGTTGGAGGTGTGGTTCTGGGCCGACCGCGATGCCATCCCCCCCACCGAGCCCCAAGCGGGGTTACGCTCGTTACCCTTCCAACACTGGGTCGACGTGCTTGACTTGGTCAATTGCAAAGTGTTGCTGGTGAAACGCACGCGTACGATGGACGCCTACTTGTTGAGCGAGCTGTCGTTGTTTGTGTTTGACAACCGCATGGTGCTTAAAACCTGTGGCACCACCACCACGTTAGCGTGCTTAGACCACCTTTTCGCCTCCGTCGGCCAGCACTTCCCCTCCGTCGCTGGTGGCGGCCAGCTGATCCACAAAGTGTTTTACTCGCGCCGTCTGTTTATGTTCCCTGACCGCCAAGTGCACGTGCACACCGACTGGACTAAGGAAGTGGGTTTGCTTAACCAGTACTTCCCCAACGGCAAGCTGTACATCGTCGGCGATTTTACTAGCGACGACCACTGGTACTTGTACCAAGGGGGCCAGGGCCGCGACGTCCAGGCCCGTCCTGGTACCAACCACGACCAGACGTTTGAGATCTTGATGACTCAATTGGATGAAGATAAAGCGCAACAGTTTGTCGTTGCTCGCGAACCCGGTGAGCTGCTGATGGGCGTTGACGAAGACCTTGGCCACCAGTTGGGCCGGGTCACAATGCTGGCTCTGGGGCTCGCCGATATCTTTGGCGAAAGCGATGGGCCCACCCACTTGCCGCTGCCGTCAATGAGTGACGACGAGGAACCCGAAAAGGCTACTGGGTTTGTCCACGATGCCTTTTCTTTTACTCCCTGTGGGTTCTCGCTGAACCTGATCTCCCCCAGTGGATACTACTATACGCTCCACATCACTCCCGAGCTGGGGTGGCTGTATGCGCTGTTTGAGACCAATTACCCTTTTGGTAATGCCACCTCCGAGGATATCGTGGTGGTGCTCCAACGGGTGCTTTCCGTATTTGGCCCGCGTAAGTTTTCCGTGACTCTCTTCGCCGAGGGTTCCCCCGAGAATGCGGCGCTGTTCGCAGCATTACAACTGCTGGACGCGGTGTTGGCCAAGCACGGCTACACCAAGAACGAAAAGATCGTGTATGACTTGCGCGGCGGCTACTCGTTGTTGTACTTAAACTTTGCCCGCCACGACGTGAGAGTGTAATACTTCAAAAAAGTTACAGATGTCTTTTTTTATAGCTCGAAATCAAATCGATGTCATTGAACGGAAATCTTTGTAGTGGTTATAATCGGTTATAACCTATCAACCACTCTTTTAGCTACAATTCGGGTCTGGCAATTTGCGTCCTTTTTGCTGAGACCAACCTAGTAATTGATAGAGGTCATGAGTTGTATGATGGCCTCTATCAGAGTCTTGACTTTGACTGTACACAAACTAACTTAAATGCCATCTTTTCATATTCATCAAAGAGATTCTTCTACATTGGATTATCAAGTAGCCATTGATAAGCGACAATACTCCCAATTGTTCATCAATTGAATTTGAAACATAGCAGGGAGGAATCATAGCTTTATCGTGGATGTTGCCTTGAATCATCTGATGCATCACAGATCGTCAAGTGTATGTATCTTGTCAACTGTAACCTTATATGCAGTCTGCTGAGTACACGAAACTTGGTTGATTTTCATGGTTCCCGCTACGCCACGGATATTCGTCACGAAACGTTAAAATTAGTCTCATCGTGATTGCCGTGGCGGGTTTAGTCAGATGCGACACCCAGATCGTCGATCCACGCAAATCTAAAAATTGGGATTTTCGAGTAAAAAAAAAGTGGCGTTTCAAATTCTTGATTTTTCGAAAAACGGCACACTTTTTTCGAACACCATTTGTGGCCGCCGATATATGTTATTTGTTGCACTTTTGTGAGTAACATTTGTTAGCACACCTATGGTCCAACTTTGATGTGTTGAAAGAAAAGTGAGAGTGAAGAGTGCGTTTTGGGTCACGCTTTTCAAATTTTTTTATTTCAAATTGACGCCTAAAAGGGAGTATATTACAACAGCCAGAGGGGCTAACCCAACAAGATTGGGCTCGTTGGCATCGTAGGAGTGAGAGCTACCTTTGACATCGTTATTTTCGCGGTAGCACCAAATCTGAGAGAGTTTGCTGGTTGAGATACGATATGCTATATGCAGTACGATCTTACACACTCAGGGTGCGTACATATTTGTTATACATCACCACACCAGTTCGTTCACTAAATTTCAAGATTTGTGGGTGACCGGTGAATTGAATTGTTGATGATTTATTAATTATGGACTGGCTTTCAGGTATGCGTAGTGACATAGATTTGGTAGTCAATCATCAATCTCTGTATCACCTCGTAAACCATCATTCGGCTCAATTCCCAAGCATCAAATTGACTTCCTGCATCATGATAACCGTGGTAGTGACGTGGGTGTAGCAGTCTCAATCCTAGACGTTTCACTGAGATCTCCAACTGATGAATGAAGTCGATGTGTGTGATTACAGTCCTATTGATATAAAAGAGATCCTGATAATTACGCGGTTTCATCTTCTCCTTAACTTGTTTCAGCTGATTGTCCCGTTTTGAAGTAATAAGAGATTCCCTCCTGTTTTCTAGCAACAAAGCCTCTGCACAGATCGTCAGGGTTTCGCAATTCTACCTTACACTTAATTTGAGGGTGCTTGTGTATATTTGCACTAATTCGTTAAGGACATGGCACACGTTATGAAACACGTCATGAAACAAGTCATGAAACAAGTCATGAAACTAGGCATGACACAAGCCCACACTCGCCAAAAAAAAAAAAAAAAGAAAAAATGGGTGAATGGGTTATAGTACAGCGTTAGGCAAAGAACTTGTCGATGTCCGACAAGCTGGTGTCCTCCGGGGCACCGATATCCTGCGACAACACCCCCGGGCGGAGCCACGGCTGGCGTGGCGAGGGCGCCCCCGGCGCCACCGTCGCTTGGAGCGCCGCCGTCAGCGCCGAGATCGCTTTGAGCGCGGCCGCGTGGAGCGCTGCTGCCGCCGCCGCCGCCGTGGGTGAGTGCTGGTGGGGCGCTCCGCGGGGCGCCCGCGGCGCCGCCGCCGCCGCCGTCAACGGGCGCTTCTTAAGGCCGAGGGCCAGCATCAGCTTCAGGCGCTTGCCGTGTTTGTTGAACACGTCCACGTCGAACAACACCGCGTCGTCGTCGGAGAATATGTCGTCGGCGTCGCTGGTGGCGCCGTCGGTACCGCTAGCAGTACCGTTGCCAGAGGCGCCATTAGCGCCGCCGCCCGAGCGCGCGCCCGGCGCCATGATGGACGGCGCCAGCGACGTAAATGCCGCCGCCACTGGCGCCGCCGAGTAGGGGACGAACAAATGGGACTTATCCGGGTCGCTGAACGTGTGGCGGGTGACGCCCAAGTCCCACATCGTCTGCCGTCGCGGCTTATTGATGGCGGCGAACTTAGTCAGCGCGAGAGAGTCGTCGCCATTAGCGCCAGTAGCGCCGCTACCGCGCCGCGCCGCCGGCGCCAACTTCGTCGTCGTCGTCGTTGCCGGCAGCTGCGACCGCGCGCCGGCAGTGCCGCTACCACCATCACTATTAGCTCCCGCCAAGTGTAAGTGGAAGTCCAGCGTGAGCAAACCGCGGTACACGTACACCATCCGTTTCGGCAGGGCGTCCTTCCACTCTCTCAGAAGCGCGTACTTCAAATTGACGTCGCCTTTCTCCACCCGTTTGACATAGGCGTTCAATTTCGCCGACACCAAGTTCAGCGTTTTCGTCAGCAACGATGCCATTTCCGGGTGCTGCGCCACCAACACGTCGCAGATCTGTTTCACCGTCATCCCCTGGCCGTCGGGATCCTTTTCGTAAAGGATTAAGAAGATGGCGTAGAGGACGTCGTCCTCCAACTGGGAGTTGTCCCGCTGGGACGGGCGCGGTTTTTCTCCCGTCACCGGGATCGTCGTCAGGATGCCGGTAGCGATCGGCGCCCGCGACAGCGCCTTGGCGCGCTTATGGTGGTGCGCTGCCAGCGCTTGCGCCAGCGCTGAGGGCGTCGCCGCCAGTTGTGATTGCGGCGGCGGCGTCGAGTCCAGTGTTGGCGGAGTGGTCGCCTCTTCGTCGTCGTTGAGGTTCTGAGCCCGAGACTCATCGTCCATCACCAGGTCGGGCAGCGTCAGCCGAGTCGGGGCGTCGTCGTCTTCGTCGTCTTCGTCTTCGTCGTCAATAAGTTCATTGTCGTCGGGAGCGATGTCCGAAGTGTCGGAAGTGTCGGCAGCGCTGCCGGCACCACGCCGGCGATGGTGATGAGGGGGTTTCCTCTTATTAGGCGACGCTGCTGCTAGCGGCAGAGTGGGTGCGGATACGTCTAAAGCCATGTAACGCTATAGCAGTTAGCATAATTCGAAAAGGGGTGATTTTGGTAAAGGGCGCTATTCGCTCGCCAAACCCTTATCCCGCCATGGGGGTAGTTTCAGGGCGGGGGGGTTCGACGGCGGTATAGCGTCCATTTGTTTGGGAAGGGGACCATGCTTACATATAAACAACCACGTTAGGGGTTTTGGAATTGACGGTATGGAATGTCAAACAACGTTGGCTTTCTCTTCTGAAACAGGGGTAAACGTTTGGGATATGGTCCTTGTTGAATCAGATTCAAAGAAAAAGGACGCGATGAAAACGAAGGATGAGGTGGGATGGGGAGGGGGGATGGGCTTCACAGAAGTAATTCGCTGATGAAACACACTCTCACACACAACACACACACGCACACTCCGAAACAGGGGGCAGGTTTGAGGTTAGTCGGGGGGGTAGGTTTGAGGGAAGGGCCCGACAAAGGCGTAAACGATGCTTGGAACCGAGATGCGGTACTGTATGGAGCAAATGCCATGCGGTGTGCACATGGGCCCACAGGCCCCAGAGTAAGGAAGCCTGCAGATAGACAGGGGGTGCCCCCGGCGCTACCATGTAAGGTGAGGGTTTAAACCTAAGTCAAGAGAACAAAACTCGCAAGAAACTAAAAATAATCTGGTGGTAATACCTTACTATTATAATTGACTTAGAGTTATTAGAGGTCAAACTAAAGGTCTTTGAGAAATTTAATTGAATGTTTACGGTCTATTATGGTGTTCAGTTGACCTTTACTTCTCCGCCATACCATGTCACGTGCGCGGGTTGCAACCCTAATGCCGGGTTCGACACCCGCACCCTATGCGACTATGCGTTTAGATAAGGTGGCCTGCGAGGCAGAGAAACCCCATTACTCCAGCGGGGGAGTGTCGATCGCTGGCTCCCCTCATTTTTGAGGTAGGTCTTAAAACACGTAAATCTGAAACACTCGGTGATACATCGTTTCGTCCCGATTAGAGGAGATTGAAGGTTACGTAAAGTCTTCGAAACCGTTACCTTGGTTACGAGGGCGTGGGCCATCGATCCTGAAATTCGATTCACACTAGTGGTTTAAGGCGTCCTTAGCGATTGTCCTTATTTAGCTAAATATCGAATAGGCACCTACCGCGATGACGTCATTGGCAGCGAGAAATTGTCGTGCGCGTGGCCCCACGTGAAATGGTGTTGTGGTGTGTGTCCGCACCGAAAATCGCACCGCCAATCGAGAGATTGTGGCGTAAACCGACACTGACACAGAAGATTTAAATGTCACAAGTTTCATCACAGGTTTCATCACGGGTTTCAGGTTGACAACTGTGAAACGTGTGTTTTTCCAATTTTTTTTTTTATTTAAGACGCACTTCGCTGTCGAAATTGGTACGCCTGAGGCAATGCCTTAGGCAACGCCCCCGCTCTCTCTCACTGTCCCTCCCCCCACTAATTCCGCGTGCGTTATCCGGTTGCATTAGAAATATATAAAATCTCAGCGATCTCGGAATAGTGTTTCCCGCGCGCCCCCGGCGATCGTTGCGTGTGAGCAACAAACACTACTGTGATCAATTAGGCAGTCAACAAAAGAAGACTAAAACTAACGAAAAATGAAAATAAAAAGAGACCATACGGTGTAATAATTGAATGAGTAAATAACTCGTGCAATCAGGACGTTAGGACCCATGGCAGTGATTCAGGAACTGACCCCGCTATCGCAGGGGGGGCCTGGGGCTTGGCGATCGACGGTACTAATTATTGCGCTCTTAGGAACGAATTTCAGGATATCGATCGGTCACACAGATTCCAACGTTTTTTAACGAAAAAGCCAGGGGAGCACCGTCAAATCAGGACACCAGATATATTTAATTGATTATTATTATTTGGGCAGTACCTAGGTCTGTGTGTCTCGCTTCGCTGCCAGCCTCACTTCGCTGCCAGCACTACCGCTACCTATTGCACGTAATTGCGGGACTGCCCGTGTGCGCACTGGGAAGCACGACGTCGGCTCCAAAGCAGCTAAAAAAATGTTCGTACAGTGATACAGTAATTTGCAGGGTTACAGTGCTTTGTAGCGATTTGCAACCAGCCCAGTCTATGCAGTGATTTTCGTTCTGTGTGTAAGCTTTCTCGTAAGTCTTTTTCTAGTCCAATTTCTATGGTAGCTAGCTGTGCGACTACTCTGTGCTAACAATTGCTATCACCAACAATACTACCACTACCAAAGAGAATCCAATAAATTAATACAATAACAAGTAATTGTAACTTCCCAAGCATTTCTGATACCAATCATGAAACACACTATCCAATAAATCCACTCAATTTAATCACTTACTCCTCAAAATACCTCCACTCCTTTTTGTGTAACTTAATTACCCCATAGGATTCCGGGCCCCGGGCGCGCGAAGGTCAACCAAGACTACCAGACCACCTCCGTGACGACGAGTACTACTCACGATGCACGCCGAGTACCATTCGATGATGAGTTCCGGGCGGCTCACGTTGGCCCAGAAAAAACGCCAGCTCTTGATCGTCACCGTCGTCGTGGTGGCGGTGGCGGCGTTGTGTCTTTTGCCCCTCCTCGAGGCGGTGAAAGTGTGGGTGACTCCCTTGGACCAGCGGGATAAGTGTCCCATCCACAACAAAGTGGTGCCCCCTGGTTTCAAACACAACAATGAGTCAGTGGATACGATCGTTAACGACCCCCATTACGCCGAGGTTGCCGTGCAAAGACTCCAGGGAGCAATTGCCATCGACACGTCGATCGGCGACGAGTTGCCGCCGTATAGCGATACCGAGTTTTGGCAACGGTTTGATAAGTTCCACCGTTACTTGGCCATGACGTTCCCGAAGCTCCGGCGCCAGATGAAGGTGGAAACCGTCAACCACTATGGGATATTAGCAACGTGGAAAGGGAGCGACAAATCGCTTAAACCGATTGTGCTTATGGCTCACCAGGACGTTGTCCCCGTGCTGAGGGACTCGTGGGACCAGTGGCACCACCCCCCGTTCCTGGGCCACTTCGACGGCGAGTATATTTATGGCCGCGGTACTTTGGACTGTAAGGGTCAACTAATCGCGATTTTGGCGCTGTTGGACAAATTGAGGCAGCTGGGATTTAAGCCTAAGCGTACCATCATCGTGCTGTTGGGGTTTGATGAGGAACTGCTGGGACTCGAAGGGGCGAGGCACTTGGCTCAAACGTTGGAAAAACGCTACGGAAACCACTCCATTTACGCAATCATCGATGAAGGCACGGGGTTTTTACACGACGAGTTCAGTGGCCAGCTTGTAGCCGCGCCCGCCGTCGCCGAAAAGGGGTACGTCGATATCTGGACCACGCTTACCGTCCCCGGAGGCCACTCGCTGGTCCCGCCCGACCACACGCTGTTAGGGATCATGGCCGAGTTGGAAACCCTTATCGAAGAAGATCCCTACGACCCGCTTTTGGTGGCGGAAAACCCGTTCATGGCCCATTTGGAGTGTGCCGCCGTTAACTCCGACCACATGCTGAAATACAGCCGCAAACAGATCCTTAGGGCGGCGTTCGACCCCATCGCCAACAAGGCCGTCGTCAACAAGTTGCAGACGCTGCCCTACAAGTATTACATCCAAACCTCACAAGCCATGGACGTGATCCAGGGGGGGGAGAAAGTCAACGCGTTACCGGAAAGTGTGATTTTAGGGGTGAATCACAGAGTCACCATTGGCCAGCTGGTCGACGACATCACGTTTCACTTTGCCAACCGGGTGAGAAAAGTGGCGGAAAAGTATGATCTTACCCTCTACGCCTATGGCGACCGCGTGATTGAGGGAGCCAACGGAGTGTTCAACGTCACTCAACGGGGGAAACTTCCACCGTCGCCAGTCACTCCGACCAAGGGGAAAGCCTGGCAAGTGTTGGCGGGGACCAACCGCCACGTGATCGAAGATCTCGGTCTCTTCCCCAAAGTGAAATACCCCGTGATGACCACGCCCTCGATCATGACGCCCAACTCCGATACCCGCCACTACTGGAGCCTCACCGACAACATCTTCCGGTTTGCTCCCCTCGTGATGTCTTTAGAATTTGAGGGCGTCCACTCCGTTAACGAAAAAGTGAGTCTTGAAAACCACTTGTTGATGATTGCCTGGTACCACGAGTACCTCCAGGCCGCCGACGCCGCGGCGGACCACTAGACACAAACGATTACGATATAACTTTTAGACAGATTTAAAAAAAAGAGAAGATACCACTTGCGCAAACCCGGAATCGAACCGGGGGCCCAACGATGGCAACGTTGGATTTTACCACTAAACCATTTGCGCGCGATGGAATTCAGAGGTGAAAGTAATGGTGTGTTGATGTGGTGGCCACGTCGGCAAAACCGTCTATTTCCGTTTTCTGGCAATCGCACCTTATTAAAAATTCACGAAAGGCACGAACTAGCAGTTTGTTTGACCTACAAGCTTCTTATAAAGCTATATTCATCACGTATAGCCGGAATTCTCTCGTATCTTATGTATTTTCCATAAACTATTCACAATTTCAATGGATTCTCATTGGGCTTCTTTTGGTGGGGAGCTAAGGTAAAGGGCTTATTCTGCTCCCTTAACGTGTTAGCCCAACGATAAATCTCTTTCATACGGGCAATCTTTGTCGCTGCCGCTACGTCTCTCACTCGCCTCAATTCTTCATCCCAATAAACTGGATTTAATCCAGTATCCAAGAGGCGTGGTTCATTTGCGAGTAGGCCGTAGTAGAACCGGTAGAGGGCGACGTCGTCAGGGTAGTCAAAGAAGTGGTCATTGCCGCCTCTCTCTCTATACTCCTTGGCCAGGATCTCCTTCATTTTCTCAGTAGTTGGGAGCGCCAATCTCCCACTGTAAACCCTCGCAATCACTGCTGCTTGAAGCTCCAGTAGGGGAAAGGGAACGGCTCCATTTTGAAGTGTCACAAACAGGAGTGACGGGTCGTCACAGTAGAATACTTGGTGGTATAATTGTGACACTCCCTTTGAAGACAAGATGTCTCTGTAGCTATGGAGAAACGGAACGTGGTGGATATAACCGGTACAGAACAAAATACTATCAATTTCTTGAAGTATACGTCCATCAGATAACTCCACTGTCTTATCAGTCACATTCAATTTCTCAATTGTGGTAACTTCTTCCACATTTGAGATATCGATTTTCATGATCTTTTGCCGAGTACGACTCGAAACATATACCTTTTTGGCGTATACGGCTACCTGAGCCGAGATATCGACCCCCAGATACGAATTGCCCACAATCACCACCGTTTGGTCCCGGTAGCGTTCGGCCGTAGTAAAGTATTTAGCGTGAGACACTGTATTTGGACGCCTTTCTCTCCATTGCTTTAACCCATCAATCTCTGGAGTATACGGTTCATCGTTGTGGCCATTAGCTATCACGATAGCGTCGTATTCTGTGGTTATACCGTCATAGGTGGTCACTTTCCATACCCCTCCAATTTTCTCAACTGAAGCGACATTGTGGCCAAATTTAAAGTTAACCAGTTTAGGAATGGTTTTACCGTAATCTTCTAAGTATTGCATCACTTGGTGACGGTTTGGGTACTCTCCTCCGGGGAAGGGCATCCCAGAAAACTCCATCAACCGTTTCGTCAAATTGGTCTCTAAATGAGTATACATCGCCAGCACGTGTTCGTGGGGTCTATGACTTTTATCCTTAGGGGAGTTATCATAGTTCCACACGCCTCCCCAGTGTGATTGGCGGTCATAAACGTCAATTACCAAAAAGGGGTGAGGTTCAAGGGCAAGGGCTTTCGCCGTGGCTAACCCTGAGGGACCAGCACCAATCACCGCCACTCGGGAGTATCTTGTAGTGGACATAGGAGTGAAGTTTAAATGGGATCAGATATCGTACTTATACTGGGTTTGTGTCGATGACGTAATTGATCTCAATGAGACATAATTGAGTGGCATGTATTTTCATGAATATTACAGCCAACGAACGATCCTTCGACTGAGTACTAAATGGGATGACTATTGACAATTGCCTTCAGTTTATTTGACAATTTCCTCGTCGCAGATAGCTTATAACGTCCTTTGTTTCCTCATAGTCAATGAGAAAAACCATCGTACCCCAGCCTAACGGCATACTCGCATAAATGCATAAACGCATACTCCACTCTCTGGAAAAATTAAATCAAACAAAAATCAGACTGAAGCATCGTCCAATTTGTGTTTCAACGTCATCTGTGAGCTTTGGCTTCTGCGATCAGCGGGTGATCCATCGTGATCTTCGTTTGATGTTGTCTTAGATCCTCCTCAATAAAAGTTAAAGTTGATAGTTCCAACCTGTGTAATCTCATGAGCTGATAAGCTGAGTATAGACAGTGACACACACATTTGGCCCTCTCAATATAGGTGTCAGGCAACAGTTCGAATCATGGAAGATATGAGTAGATCATAGGACATCAATATAAGTTTTCTTGGTCATAGCACACCAGATGATAGCCTTGGATCCACCAATACTTCGAATCATTTATCAGATAGATTTCGACGAACTCTGATGAGGTAAGATCGGCGTAATCGCAAACTACCTGCCACCACGCACACCGGCACCCTCGGGCTTCCCAGTGTATCCATAAGGGTTTCGACGTCACCGGTGGGGTTTCGTGCCACAAAATCACCCGCAAATGAAATTCCTGCCCCACTCAATCACCGGCCATTGTTGGCTAAGCAATACCAATAACTACTCAAATATCTGATGAAATAGGCCCCATCCAGGTTAGTAAATCTACACAAATAAGCTGGAAATAAGCACCGAACAATCAGGGTAAGTTAATGTGCTCATCGCCATCAAAATTCGTCCGGTGCCAAGGCCACCCATGCCTGCCAAACGTTGTTCCATTGCATGAACAACTCCGTATGTCATTGGCTCTATGCGTAGGCTTTATTCTAGGCGTTACAGGTATCAGGGTCTTGCGCCTCGCCTGAGGCAGCCCGTTTTTGCCGGTTGGCCTTTCACCTGCGAGTTTAGGGGGGCATTACCTGACAACCTGGCTTTGACTGAAGGGGGGGGCTTGTGGACTGTAGACGTCCGGTTGTTGCCGGTATCGAATGGGAAATAAGCTCATGTGCTTTCTATTATCAGGTATAGTATATTAAGAGTGGCTGGTGGTGGCTGGCTAGCTTGATTTCTCATTTTTTTCTACTACCTTACTTGCCTTTGTGGCTGGTGGCGATGGCCACCAATCACCGACGATCGGCACTAAAACCCTGGCTAAAATTAAATTTTAAAACGATCACTAAACTAAGCGGAACGCCTTAGCCTGGTAGTGCAATCTTAGTCCTGGTTTTCGGGGCTTTTTACCCCAAACTGATCCCTTGGCATATACGTGCTTCTCCTGCGGCTCAATTATTCCGAAGCCACTTTTTTTTTTTTTTCTTCGCCGTGTTTGTGGCGCATTTACGCCCTGCTATTTTTTTTTTTTTTTTCGTTCGTTTTGAGAGTGAGGGAAGGTAATACGATGACGCCCACAGAAAGCACGCGGGGGCCCAACTATTGTGTCTCATCCGTTTTACACGGGTGTGAGCCCGTTCGCCGATCAAACACGACAAAATACAACAAAGAGAACGGCCACTAAGATAAAGACAAAGACAATCGAAACACAACTAGCCACACCAAGATAGGACCCTGAAACGGGGGGTGAACGATACCCCTGTTTCACCCTCGTTTCACCTTGGTTTCATATGTGGTTTCAATTAAGCTTGTTTCATAGTAGTACTAGCCTGTTCTCGTATGGCCGACGAAAGTTGCCGTGCGTGGGGGTGGTGCTCGGGCGGGTGCTGCAGGGATGTGAGGACAGCCACGTTGTTGGCGCGGGACGATAGTCGGCTTACATAATCAAAAAGAAGAAAATAAATAACTGTCGTGAATTTTACCCGTTACAGAGCGTGCTTAGGAAGGAGCCTCCGACACAGCGTACCCGGGACTCCGGGGGCGAAACGACAAAAAAAACCGCCTAAAATGGTTGCGCCCCCCGTAAACCACAGTACATACGCTTACAGACGGTAGGCTATTACCTCTGTTTCACGTTTAATTTCGTATTGGCTTAGGTTTAGGTTGTGGGCGATCCCCCTTACCGGTGGTTGTCCCAGACCAATAAAACACCCATTTTTCTTCTTCAGTGGGAACCCTGGCGAGCTCATCGGTCGCCGGTACGGGCTTCTTTCCAGGGCTGTTTTCCCTGGAACTTGTTGCCGGGCTACTTTCCGGGCTCGTTTGCTCCCGTTTTGGTGGGAACTTTCTCGGCCGCTTTAGGGCTTTATGGCTATTTCCCCATATTCGGCGTGAGGGCGGTGACGTCGCGCGCGAGAAGGGCGCCGTCAATGAGCGCCTAGCGCCGGCGCCGCTGTAAGGGTTGTGGCGGCGGCGACACCCCCAACGATCATTACACCCATAGATGAGGGCATTATCGGCTCGGTCGTTGGCTCGTTGGTCGGCGCTCGGTATTATCGTTATTACGTCATTTAATAAGCTTTGGTGGGGCGTTATGGGGTACCGTTTGGCTGACCTTTCCGTTTAGTTGACCACTTGCGATGACGTCATTGGCGACGCTCGAGCGCCCACGGCGCCCACGGCACCCACAACGCCCACGTAAGATGGGAGAGAGATTAGTGGGCAGCCGCCTACACCGCACCCATATCGCCTCCAAATTAGGGGTAGAAAGCCCCCGCCGCCACCCATCCGAGCACACCCATTTTGGAGGGTGTCGCCATTGTGATAAACTCTAAGATAATCTTCTAAGAGAAAATATGAAGAAATTGTCTTGGTCGATGAAACATGTATCATATGAGACATACATAAACCGTGTTTACACTAAGCCGATTCAGTCACCGTTTCAAGTGTTGGTGGTCATTCGTTGGCCAAGGGCCTCGACCTCAATTGACAACCACGCGGCTACCGGGAAGGTCGACCCGGGAACCCGAACTCATACGAGCCTGCGTGGAATACGGAAATTCTCGAAGAGACAGGGAATTGGCTCTGATTGGCATCTTAAACCAATCTGTGACTAATGGGATATATCCAGATAAAGAGATGGTTTATTGGGCATTGGAAACTTTAAGGTTTAAAGTTAGCTTTGAAGTCGAGTGCAATGTGGTTAATTAAGCCAGCAGCAGACGCATGTGCTATGGCTATTTGGATGTGGTCTTCTATTTCAGCTGGATTGAGTGTGTTAGTCGTTGCCATACTTTGACAGATTAGATCTGAAGGTATCGATGAGCACATAGCTTGTGGGGAGCGTTTGTTTAGTTCTAGCATCAACGACTGCTAGAGCATGATGGGATCTATAAATTATCGCCATTCATAATCATAGCGAGTGTTTGGTTCTAACATCAAGCGAGTGTTTGGTTTCTGGCACTAATTGTCGTTAATTGGTTCTGGCAAACAACAATAATTCAACTTGGCGGTGGCTAAATCTCCACAACCATGGCTTATACAACCACCACCAATTGATTAAATAACCATTAATTGGTTCTGGCAACAACGTTGTCACCATCTGGTCAATGGTTGCATCGATGGCTTCTATGATACCAACGACAATCCACTATGAAGCTACCAATTGTTTCTAGCAAACAACAGTTACACCAGCTGAACTCAGACTGAAACCCCTTTGCCAACCTCTTTATTGAGCCATATGGATGGTGTAAAATTAATTCCATCTATATATATCATGAGTGACGATACATAGCTCCATTGCTAGTCTCAATAGTCACTTATTGGTTCTAGCAACAAATGGCTTTGCTAATAGTACCATAGAGCTTATGTTTGGTTGGTCTCTCCTAGGAGATTATGATCCATTATGACAACAATGTGTCCAATTACTCATCATCTTCTGCCTCGTCTTCTTCCTCTAGCTCATCTCCTTCTTCTTCGTCTTCTTCGTCTTCTTCGTCGTCGTCGCTGACGGCTAGGGCTCTCATGGAATCGACCACGGCTTTCGTCTTGGCCCAATCAGATTGCCAGTAGTTGTCGTCATGGTAAGGATCAGCGTATTTTCCAGTGACGGGGGGGATAAACCAGTAATTTACAGCGATGTGGGGCTGATCGCCGAAGCTCAGCACCTCGTGGAACCAACCGGTAGGTAAATAGAGCATTTCCCCTGGTTTCAACCATACCGTAAGCCGGGGTAAACTGAGCAATTGAGGGTAGCTTTCACGAGTTAGTGCCATCAATTTTTCCCTGTATTCATCGTCTTCAACGTCATCAATGTGGAGTAACGCCGGGGGGATCGTAGAGAACGAGGGAGGGTGTTTTGCCTTATTATTATAATCATTTTCACCACCAATATTGCCCTCCAGGGTCTCTTCGGCTTCCTTTCCATTCTTCCACGCTTCCACTTGAGCGACAACGGCCCCGTCGTCACGTAACTGGTGCCAATTGGGCAGTTTGGAGTCAGCGACATAATCGATAACCCCCAGGTTAAACACACGGTATACGGTACCCACCGTGTTCAAATCGTAAACATTACTCGGGGGGAACAATGTGAATCGTTTGACACCGCTCACCACGACGTAGAGGTTGTCAGCGTGGTCATGGTGGAGCCCCAGTGAGGTACCCGTTAATTGGGCTCCCTCGTGAGTAACTGGAGGAATGTACCTCCCTAACCCACCATCAGGTTTGGTAGTATCAATTTCAGGTCGGGTTTGACTCAGTTTCGGCGCCTGGCCCATCCATAAGTTGATTTGTTGTGGAATAAGCGTGGGGAGTAACGGGTGATTTATCGGAAATTCCGGGTTGAAAATGAGGTTTGTCAACGGCGGTTGGAGCAACTGACGGAGGCGGGCGTCGGCATCATCAGAGTCGTCTCCTTCCTCTTCATCTGAGTCGTCAAAGTCGTCTTCTTCTTCGTCATCACCAATCTTCTGCTCCAGGGCCTCAACTTGATCAGTAACCTTTTCCTCGTCTTCCTCATCGTCATCTCCATCTTCTCCAGTATTATCTTCTTCTTGATCGTACTGTGTCGTAAGATAATAGCGATCAACCCCCTGTTTCAATTGGTCGACTAACTCCGCAAGCGTCATCCGGACCCGCTGGTGGCCGCCACCAAACCCTCCCGAGTGCTTCTCCTCCACCCATAGGTGGTCGTCATAGTCCAACGTCGCCTCGATGGCGTCCAAATCGAGTGCTTGCCAATTGAAATCAGAAACAGAACCCCGTAATTTCACCGGTTTCCGAGCCACCACGTACTCAGAAAACAACTTATTGGGATTGTATTCATCACTAGAAACGTCTAAAGTCTCGGTTGAGCCCAGTTCCAGCGGCGTCCACCGAGTATACTCTCCCTTTATCCGCTTGGTACTAGCCATCGCCGCGCGACCCAAATCGGGTATGCGAAACCACTTAGCTCTGACCGATGACGATGAAACGATGTGATTAATAGACTGAGTGTTTCATGTCATTTGAAACACTATGATAATTTTTAAAATTTCATCGTTACCATGAGGGTAAAAGATCACTCCATATTACTATTAGCATCGAGAGCTCATCTCGCCACCACTTAGTTAAGGTGTATGGTCCTACGATTATGAAAATGAACAGACTTATAGTTAACATCTTTGAAACCAATGTCAGATGATCTATAAGTCGAGAGACCCTACGATTAGAGTGGATCTAAGTATCTATGGCTTCTCAGTGATAGAAGAATTTATACCCCTATAGTGTTACAATTAAAACCAGATGCAACCTACCAACCACAGTGACGACGACGCACACGATAAACGATTTTATTTAACGTCGAAAGGCGATGAGCAACGGGTCCTGATGCCCGTGTAATACTCCCCCCCCCCTTTTTTACCGAGAGCGGGGCACACTCCTGAAAAACTGAAAGACTCATGCCGTCGTCTAAAACATTAGCGCTTTTTCGAGCGTTAACCAGCACGGTGACCTCATCCGACGGAGGCAGTGCCTGTTAGCGTATATTTAGCAGCTTGGCCCCTTAATCCAAATGCGTTGCGAGCCCTGGCACTCACTCATCGGTTCCCATCGAATTTAAGCTTTTAGCCGGTAAGACACACATTTCCTTCCCCCTTTCAACCGCCACCGCCGAAGATTGACCTGTGTCGATAATCTCAAGCTTATCCTTATGTTTCATCCTCGTTATTCTGGGATGTTTAGTGCCGGAATGGAGGCCCGGTAACATACTAGCACCGGCCACCCCCTGTGCTATTCTTGGTAACTTTGCGGGAGAGGGGCTGCGGCGTAAACCCGTATAGAGAGTGAGCTGATCCCCGGGCCAACCCACACCTGCCTGGCATGTCTGCTTACATTGGCTGCCTGCTTTTTGCTGCACGAGGGTTTTTGTGGCCGACGTCGCGCGGTTGACGTGCAGCGGAAAAAAACCTAAAAAAACATGAAGGTGGTAGCGACGAGTAACCGTGCGAAAATTCGACGAAATTGCAGAAATCGCCGATCAAACGACACAGTGAAAAAAGAATGTAGTGGTATTGAGAGGATTGATGTGGAATGATGAGTTCGAGTCCGCACGACGATTAAATAGATTTAGTCGTAGTAGTGATGGATCCAGTGATGAGTAGAAGCATAGCCTTTAGCAGTACCGTTTTCTCTATCATCAGTACGACTACGACGTGATGAGCATTGTCTCGAGGCATATACGATATAGCAATGTAAGCAATATACCCAATTAAACCAGATGTATGGAACAACCAATTAAATGTATTCAATTAGCCAGAATTAGTCAGTGTATTCAATTAACGAGAAAGACACAAAGAGTAATCAACCGTAAGTCAGCTAACAGTCGGTGTACGACTTGGATATTGTAGTCTGTGCAAGTCTTTGATGTTTATAATCGGTGTAAGACTTAGATGTTAATCGGTGTATAGATGTTAATTTAGTTATGCGATTCAACGTAAGCCAGTTACGTTATGCTATACATTAAGCCACGCCTGCTTCACCCGCTTCACCGAGGGGCCGTGGGCGTCGTCGGCATTGCGCTTGCGCGACCCCAACGTCATCGGACTGAGAGGGAGCTCCAGCTTGGGCAGCGTCAGGTTCAGCACCGGGGTGAGGGGCAATTGCGGCGGCGCCGTCACCCCCTTAGGAGTAACGGGAGGGTCGACGAGCCCGTGCAACGCCCGCAGCATGGCGTCGACGACACCTTTAAAGTGAGGGAACTTGGTGGCGTCGCCAAAGTATTTGATCGTGAGCGCCTTGGGGGGCAGCAGCACCATTTTCGCCACCAGTTTGAAGAATTGCAGCGTGAACACGGTGCGGAATTGGTGCGGGGTGAGGATATCCTCGGTTCTGGGCAAGTCCAAGTCGGCGGCGTCGGCAAATTGCTCCGATTTCACCACCAGGTTGATGGTGGTGAGACAAGTAGCGACGTTGACCGAGGCGTTCGTGGTTAGGAGCGCCGTCAACACCGCGATAAGCGCCAATTTCGACGGAGGGTATTCAAAGTACAAATTGGGGTAAAATTGAAACAACTCCGCCAAAAATACCAGCACTTGGCTCACCACCATCTTCTTAGCCGCCAACGCTTTCGCCAGCAGCGGGTGGTGGGCTAAGATATCGACGTACACATCGACGTACTGGTCGACGGTGGGACCAGACACGCGCCATTCCAACGACTTAAGCACGTGTTTCTCCATCTCCAAAAATAACTCCGGGTAGTAGTAGTCGACACAGATCTTGCGCAAGTCGTGTAACGTGGGGATCTTGTACTTGGCATCCAAGTTCTTACACGCGATCCACAAGCACGTGAGCCCCAACAACTGGTAGTGTTGTTTTTTGACAATCCGAGTCAGACAGTATCTATCAATCAAGTTAACCGTCAAAGGAAACGTCAGCGGCAGCAACAGCAAGATGCAGATCACCTCCATGAGGAAATCGAGCAAAAGCGGTCTCATGCCGAGCTTAATCTCCGGCTGTTGTTCAATCAACAGCATCAGCGGCTGAGTGTTTTGTTCCAGGCGGAGCATCATTGCCAATGCTTCAAGACGGTAGGGCAGCACCAGCAGTTGGTGGTGGGCTTGGTTTTCAGCGCGGCGCATTTCGGGGCGCAGCGCTGCTAGTTGCCACTTTAATTGGCGGGTCAGGGCAAACGGGAGGGGCGAGGTCATATTTATGTTCGCCGGGATTCGTTTTGTTTCACAATGGGTTTGACAATGAGTTTGACAACGTGTTTCAAAAAAGTGAAATTGTCACGGGATATAAAATGCGGAGCCAATGGCTAGGGGGGGAATAAGAGGAATGGACGTCAATAGATCGGTGAGGATCGTTTCAGACCACTGATATGCGGATGGATAATGTAAAACAAGTAATGGAACGCTTCACTCGCTAGCGGGAGGAGGACGGGCAGGGGAGGGACACCACGGAGCCGAATTGGGGCGACAGGGTGATCGACCTTTTTAGTTGAGGTGACACAGGGGTGGGGTGATGGGTGATGGAAAAAAAAAAAAAACCTGGGGAGGGTGTTTTATCTTTTAGGTGTTTGGGGGGCTGGGTGGTTTAAGTATGGCTGTGAGGAGACGAAAAAAAAAAGCGGTGGTTTCAGCAGGGAGGGACGAAGGGCGCAAAAAATAATTGTCACTTGGGTCTCCGCAGTCCTGAAAGGAGAGGTACATCATATTTTTCAGGGTCAAATGGGGCGGGGCTCGTAATCAAGGATTTGAGGACAGAGAGGAGAGGATAAGAGAGAGACTCTATGAAAGAGACGAGGTGGTTGCATTCGGGGCTCATAATCACGAGTCGACGTCGACAAAGGGACGAGACACGTTTCACAAAAGCGTCGTCTGAAACACTCATCAGCTGACACCACCATCATATATGTAACATGACACGTGTATCATCTGGTACACCGTTTCAGACAAACTACTAGTCGTCAACCAGAGCCTGCTATCGCAGTTCCAGCGTGCTATCGCAGGCCTTCGCAGGCCGCGGGCCGCGGGCCGCGGGGCCTGGCCAGCTCAGGGATCGCTAACCGTCACAATACCATTGTCAGCCACCTTTCGAGCACGACAAAAGGGGCTTTATCCGCCGGACCCTGGGTGAAACCTGAGGCAGGTGATTGAGGCAGGTGATTGTTAGAGAGTGATTGTTTGATAAACACGTCAACTAACACTTGTGACGTGGCTGTTATTGTGACAACTAGTGGTGTGAAACAGACTCTGTAACTGATGGTGAAACACTCCGTAACCGTCGGTGAAACACAGTTTATAACCAGCCAGCGTTTATACAGTGGAGGATGACCGATGACGGCTCTTTGCTACTGCTGTGGCAAATGATTTAAGCAGCGTCGCCGGTTGCTTGGGCATTTTCCCCTAGAGGGGCATTGCTATCGGTTTGGGGGCAGACAGAGGGGGGGAGAGGAGACGACGTTGGTTTTAACCGCCCACGCTTCACTATGGGCGTCGCACCGCACCCTAACAATGAGACGAAATTTGACGATAAAACAATGTTTGAGAAACATCAGTGCAGCAATGAGCGCGGCCAACAAATTCCACTGTCTACTACCATCACTTTGACCATGGACGATATCCACGCCCGCCACGCCAAGGAGCGGCGGGATCTCGCTCTGCAAATCACGCTGTTAAAGAAGCAGGCGCTGAAGAAGACGCGCAAGCTGGTGAATCAGCGGTGCGCCGATATGGAGCGGGACCTCGCCGAGCGCCACCGTAAGGAGTTGGGTGAGGGAGATGATGATGGAGATGAAGAAGTGGACATGGCGGCGATATTGTTAGCCCAAATGGAAGCTTCCGAGAAGAAGGAATCTAAAACCAGTGGTGAAACCAGTGTTGAGTCTAAGGATGAAATTCAAGGTGAAACCTGTGGTGAAACCAAAGATGAGACCGATAACACTCCAACTGGTCAACCCAAACAAAAGAGAAACCGACAAAAGGAAAGGCTTGCTCGACGCCAAGCGGAGATTGATCGCATTAAAGCTGAGGCTGCTGCCGAGGCGGAAAACGCCGTCGATTACCGCGGCATTGAAGCCGAGGCGATGAACTCGCTCTGTAAGCGGCAAAACTTATCTGTGTTTGAAATAAATCCTGATGGCCACTGTTTATTTGCCCTGATAAGCGATCAACTCGAAACACGTTTGGGAAAAACCGAAACTGTGTCTCAGTTGAGACAAGCCGCTGCCGACTATATTACCAGCCACCCTGACGACTTTATCCCGTTTTTATTCGATGAAACGACGATGTCGATGAGAGATATCGACGACTACGTTAAAGAGCTTACCACGACGGCGATGTGGGGGTCGGATATGGAGATTTTGGCGTTGGCGAACGTGTTTCAAGTTCCCGTTGAAGTACACCAAGCAGGGGCTGATACATTGACGTTTGGCGACCAATTCGCCGCTGACGCTGAAACAAGTTTGAAAATCGCCTACTTTAAACACAGCTACGGCCTTGGCGAACACTACAACTCCTTGAGAGATATAGCATAATTTATAGACGAACACACATAGACTTACTTCAATTCCCGTAAATGTGAAACATGATGTGAAACCGCAGGTAAAATATCACAATGGTTGACACGGTGGGGATGATCCATGCCATTGGCTGGCTGGCCCCCCTTTCTCGCCTTCGCCTTGGCCGGTAATGTCGCGCTCGGCGCCGTCATTACGTTTTATATTACCCAATAGCGACTGAGGGTACAAAGCGGTGGAAATCTGCGACGCCTGCCGAGACATCACCTGTTTTTTACATGTTTGTTAGTCAATGGCTGTCTACTTTTGTAACACGATGTGAAACACCACTTGAAACGGTCACTGACACCGAAGAGACCACCGGGTTTGTCCGCAGCATGATAAATACCTCCGAGTGGGCTCGTGAGCGGTGGGTGTGGTGTAGTAGCAGGTGTGCAGTGACGTCATTTATATTCTGTTACACACCCTGATACACCCACCGATTTTTTTTTTTTCGCACCCACACACGATGTAATTATATCTTACTGGGGCACCCAACCCTGTCGCACCCACTTCCAGAAACGGCTAGCAACCGTCGGCGGCGGGCGCCCCCAATCAAGATCGCCCACGGTTTTTTGCCAGCGCTGCGTGAGGCGCCGGCGGCGCCGTAGGTATACGATACAATACGGGTCATTTGGTATCAGTAGCGCTGGTAGCGCCGCCCCGGCGCCGGCTTCAGGCGCTTCAAATTTCGCCAGGGCGCCCTTCCCCCTTCAACCTCTCTGTGATAGTGACTGGTGATTGGCGCCCTTTTTCAAGCGGCGCCCAGTAGTATACACGCGCGCGCCTAGAGAGAGAGCGCCGCCGGATGCTGGAAAAATTTAGATATTGGCCGGGGCTCTCAACCAGGGGCAAGTAAGAAAGAAACCATACTTTTAGTCGTTACGGGCGACCCGACCAACTTAGCCGGGACAGCAAAGTGGGAAAAGCAATTGTGAGACCTTCTTCTCGGCCTAGGGCTGCTGACCACGGCGGGCGCCCCCCACCGAGGGCGATGCGCCGTCGGTTAATAACCCCTATTCGCTCTATAGGGGGGGGCGCTGGGCGCTGGGGGCGCGGCGCCGACGCCTGGCTTCCCGGGGCGCCCCGTCATTACAGCTCCGCTGCCGCCGCCAGTGGGGCGCTCGCGGTTTTCTCCCCCTGTGAAGGATAAAACCCTAAAAATGTCGAGCGACGTGTCCCGATAGCGTGGGTGCGCCGGGGCGCCGGCAACGTGTATGCTGGGTGCTGCATATAATTTGCGCGCCCGATTTGACGGGTCCTCCGCTACAGGGCTTATACCACGCGCACCGATTTTCGATTAGGGTATTAACCCAGGGGGGTACGCTTATGTAAGAAATTATATAAGCGAATTGTCATGCCCGTGATTTACACACGCACCCGCCACCTTTACTGCTGCAGCAAATGATTTACACGACGTCTAATGGTTATGTAGCCCTGTACCTTCAACCATCGACCCGATTGTATCACCGTACAAAATCGACCAAACCAGCACAATTCAGACTATGTTAATATTGTCAGTTTTTGAATGAGAGCTAAATAAGAATATGGAGAGTAGTTTCTCCTCATTCCCCTTCGGTTTGCCGAGAATTGCGCTGCACCTCGACTGACCTATTATATCGTAATCGGGGGGCTGGCGGCTCGAAAAAGCGTGAGCAAAGCTAACCCCACCTACCGCTCGGCCGATAGCTCAAGCGAGAAAATAGAGTTTTGGCAATTTGCGGCCAAGATGCCGCAGATGGGCACAGAGCCCTACAGAAAGCAGCCTCGGAGCTTAGCCGCCGATAAACTGGAATTACTAGCCACAGATACGCCCAATGCCCATCTCCTGAGCCTGTGCTATCTACTGGTAGCCTTTAATCTTTGTTTTACAGTCGTTTAAGACTCGTTTAGTTAGAGTTAAGGTCCATCTTTACAAAAGAAAGAAGAAGGGGAAAAGAAAGTAGCTGTCTCACACTAAAGGGGGTGAGGCCCGAGAGTCACTCCACGTACTGGTTGGTGGCCCATAGCTTTTCCCTCATCGCTAATTGTTGTTTGGTTGCTTCCCGAAACAGTTAGCAGTAGTGCGGCTCTCTGTTTGCGAGCGTCTCTCCGCAAACGAGGGATCGGTTGCTGGAGACCGGATTAGCAGAGGTGTCCGCTGCCGCACGCGAGCTAGAGGTTGCTATGATCAAGGGGGTAGCTCAGCTTAGCAAAACGGTCGTCGTTGGTAGTAGTTTGGCGTCTTTCTGGCGACGTTTTAGCGTTCGAGATGAGGTCGTGGTGTAATGGAGATGATTCTCTCGAGAAATCGCGAAATTTGTGAGAAAAAATCTTTGAGTGAGGGGTGAAAATGAGGGAGTGTGCTGTAGAAAAATGGTAAATTTTGATAGGAAAGTACTTTGTAAATTGATATGTATTTGATGTATAAAAAGTGTAGATTATTGTGGTTATTTTATTTTGAGTGATTTCCGTAGGTAAGGTTTTCATTTTGGTGGGTATTGTTATTTGTGTGATGAGCGCAACGAGGGAAACTAAACTAACAAATTCTCGAGCAAAATCACTAAATCTCGAGGTTTTATACCTTTATTAGATTATGGGTAGCCTGCTATGTTGATTTCGGTGGCGATATGCCGAGGAATGGTCGTTCCTGGACTAGTCAGGAGGCTGATTCCCAATCGGGATGGATTTACGATGCGAATACAGCACTACGTTTATGACTATAATACACTTCTAGCGTGGAGTTTTTTTCCGTTTCAGCTGTAGAATTACCAAATACGATAGTAAAAGAGTATTATTTTGCTGAGTTTTCGTCATTTTTCTCTTTAGTTCTAAGGCACTTACCGTCAGTCTCCTTCCGATTCCACCACTACTAGATATTAACTGACAAACGTCTGCTTCATAGAGCCTACCAAATCTGAAGTGATTCAGCTTTGATATAGTATACACCTCACTCATATAAAGTGTTACTTGTCATTAGAGCACTTAAGTTTATCCCAGAGCCAAACATCAATATCCACTACAGAACTAAGAGATTTCAGGAGTAATATACAACATGTCCTTTCAGCACTCATTGGTTTTGGCAACGGTCTGCTATCGACCATAGCCACCCACCCTTGACCCTCATCCCTTGCAAATACACAACACCTTTAGCTTAACATCTCAGTAGTAGGTACTACTCCCTTTACATTCTCTCGAATCTACTTCTCGACTATCTAATTAACTGTTTAGTTTTCACGCCACAATAGTAAAAGCCTCGGTTCCTGCTCCACCCAAAAAGAAACTTGGTGCTGACAATTGCGAGCCCTCTGAGTGCCTCCACTGACTACCACCAAGAGTCCACCAAAAACCAGCAAATAACCACAAATCTCGAGATCTAAACACATCCTTAAGGTAAACCATACCGTAAAAACACATTTATCCACCTATCAAAACCGTATCTCCTCTCCATCCCCGCAAATCGCCCCTCCTTTACCTCCCATACTAGAGATCACGCGCGCCCGAAAAATCCATCTCACACCTTACTAGTTGCTATGGGCTGGTTCTGGGCTACGGCCACCGAGGCACCCCCGCTGAAATACGCTCCCGCTACCGCTTCTACCAAGTCTTCTACCGCCAGCGCATGTCCTATTGACCACCTGAAGCTCCCCGACGCCTGTCCCGTGAAACACCGCGGCCCCGCTAAAAACGGCGCTACCAAGTCAAATGAAGTGTGGAACCCTTTGAATAATATGCCGATGGAGCTTTCTTCCGAGACCATCCCCGGTCAAAAAGTAAAGCTTTCTGACAAAAGAACGATCCTGACCATCCCTCGTGGCGAGCTGGAGGGAGAGGGCCTCTGGGAATACCCGCTGCCTCAGCAGATGTTGACGGCGATGTATCGCAAGGGAAAGGGCGAGGGAATCGACGAAACGGCTGTGGAACTGATGGTTGAGGTCCACAACTTCTTAAATGAAGGGGCGTGGCAGCAGATTTTGGAGTGGGAGGCCCCCTACACTGCTACTACCAAAGTGGAGCCCCGCCTCTTGAAGTTCACCGGACGCCCTCAGGACTTGAGTCCCCGGGCTCAAATGTTTTTGACATTGGGTAAGTGGTTTCCTTCTTACTTCCTGAGCCAGCCGCCGTTCGATAGACACGATTGGACGGTGTTACGGTCTAAAGGTAAGGACCAAGGTTGGGATCAAGTACGCTACGTTATCGACTACTACGCCGCACCCGACGATGAGGAAACGGGAATGCCCGCGTTTATGTTGGATACCCGCCCGGCTTTAGACTCCATCGGGGCCGCTAGCGACCGGTTTGGCGCCTGGGCCGGCCCGCTTTGGAAAAAGGCCATGGGCGAAGCCGAGTACCACCAGCCGCAAATTGACCAACAGCAACTGCCCCAGCCGACCAAATAGACCTGTTTGGACCTAGATTTCTTGTATTTAGATAATGTTTAAATTTTTGATGTTTTGTGTCTATGTGAATCCTGCACATAAGTTTACATCGTACTTTTATTGCTTTTGAATCTGCGAAGTGGCCCCCCCCGCTTATCTGGCAACCCCGCATCGCTTCAGGGGCGCGCGCATACGTGGATCAATTGGTAGGGGCACGACCAACCGGTGCTCATCGACACTAACACCAACTACTTCGATAATTATCAAAATACTATTATTAAAATAGCTTTTGAAGGTCAATATTTGAAGTTCTCCTGCTCTCTCGCCTCGGCGTTCGCCTCAGTGTACCTGGGCGCCATGGCGTATCTCGCCACCTCAGGGCGGCGCCAGGCTTTGCCTAACGAGGCGGGGCCCCCTGGTAAAATTTGGCCCTGAAATTAAAAGAGATATACACCTCTCCAACGGGGAAATGGGAGGCCAGGCGTGTGTGTGTGCCCACGCCCATGCCACACCCGCCCGTTTTTGCCCCGCGGCATCTCTCGTCTACGGGCGCATTCCCAGTATCTGCTGCTATTATTGTGTACCATATGGCCAAGGCTCCCCCCCTTGCCCCTGAGAAAAAATCACGAAAATCACGAGACTAATACATATGACCCCCAAGCAACTTTTAGATAGGCTAACGTATGAGTAGGAAGTACTAGTCGTTAAAGGCATCCCACGGCCTGTTTCAAGGACTAGCGTTTAGTTCTGGTTTAAACCTAATCCATTTTTGTCTAGACCCTGTTTTCCTCATTGTGGCCGACAAAAATGAACGTACGACACTTCCGTCACCGTCAGTTTCCTCTTTTCGATTTACCCGATCCGTGTCGAACCCCCCACCTTTAAAACTCTAAATTTGTGTAACGGCCGGACGTTAAAACTTTATTGGCCGTAAACGTCAGGGTAATAGTTGCCATTGCGTGAACAGTGGGGCACTCTCAGGCTTACAGGCATATTTCTCAAGCCACTCTGGCATTGCATCCGTGGGTAATTAAGAATTGATGCCCATTAATTAAAGTCGCCGCTATTTGATTGTCGCTTCCCAAAATGGCTATACAATGTTCTCAGTTGATTGTCAACGACCAAATAGGTAATCGTGGGACCACCACCGAATGATCATAAATACACCTAGACTATCTCTACACTCCTCATCAATCATGGCTGCTCAACAACAATCGAACTCGCAAACCCCTAAGGACAACTACTCGCTCGAAAAGGACTTCCGCTTCTTCGACTTGTGCGTGATTGTTTAATCGATTAAATAGTTAATGGACACTACTACTGCTACAAGTCAATATGTAATTGCAAGCTCAGCTTGTTTGAGACCCAAGTTTGCTCCCCAACATAGTGATTCCCCACGCAATACTCAAGTATACAAACATAATACAAGTCCATTGCAGTACTCCAGGGAAGCTCAACTGTGACACAGCTTCAGACAGTACATTGGACTGTCCCCATCTACTTCTTACTGCCAGCTAATTACTGATTTGTCTATCTACAAGTATATACAAGGGTTATATGAATTTGGTCAAGGTGCCCAAATTGTAGTCGTCGGCGGCGCCCCGCAACATCTTCGGCAACCGCACCCCCAATTGGTCTTTGGAAGTGACAGTTTGCATGTCGTCAAGCACCTGTTGGGCTCTGGCTTTGGCGGTGGCGTCCTTGGTCCGGTGCAACGTGTGGTGGAGTAAGAAGTACCAGGTGTACTGGTTCGGTTGGATACCCGCTTGCTTCATCTCCTGGTAGTAGTCCCACGCCACCTGAGCGTGTTTCGGCATTAACCCCGAGATCATCTGGTTATAGTCTCTGACGTTAACATTGCCACCAGTGTGCTTAATGTAGTCAAAGATCGCTCTTGCCTTGTCGATAGAGCCGTGGTCAAGCTCACCGGAAAGCATCAGCCCCATCAACGGACGCAGCCCGGGGAACCGGTTGATGGCGGTGGCGAAGATCGCCCGCGCCAGCTCGATATTCCCCTGGCGGGCCAACCCGGAAACGAGGGCGTTGAGGAACACGTCGTTGACGTCGACACCTTTAATAGTTTGGAGGACTTGGTCGACGTCGCCCAGACGGCCCCGGGCGTGCATTTCCTTGAAATACAGGTCCACTACTGAAGTGTAAGTGGCGACGTCGTAAGGGACGTTGCGCTCGTCCATGTACTTCAAAATGTGTTCCACCGCTTTGAAGTTCTTGGCCTTGGCGTAGTAGGCCAAGAACGAGTTCATCAACGTCGTCAGCGGCTGGTAAGTGGGGTCGGCATCGGTAAACTGTTTGAAAAGGGCTTCAGCCTGGACGATGTGTTTGTTCAAAACGAGCCCGAACACGACGTTATTCTTTGCCGGGTGAATAAGTTCAATCCCCTTAGCGTTCCATTCGTCAATCAACTTTTTGGCGGTAGGGTAATCGTCATAGTTGGTGTACCCTGAGGAAATGATCAGCAACACTCTCGGAGTCATCGGGAACTTAGACAAATAGACACGAGCAGCAGTGTCGAACTCCTTCAAGCCCTGGCGGTTCGATTTGACTCTGCTTGGCAGCGACAAACAGATTAAGAATTGAGACCACACTCTTTCGGGGATATCGTACCCTTGAGCCAATAACTCCTGGAAAAGCGAGATGGCATAATCGGGAGCGTCCAAAGCGGTGTAGGCGTCCATGAGTCTCCAGATCGTCAGCGTGTGGATGGGGACGTTTTGAGCCACCAGCGACCGTTTAACAAGGTCAACCACTTGGTGGACTTGACCAAGCATACGGCGGTCAATAGCGTCACGAATACGCTTATAGATTTGTCTGCCATTAGGGTCTTCCGTCTCCTCCAAGTGGCGCTGCACTTCCTGGACAAACTGGTGGAATTGTTGTTTATACTGTTCGTCCAAGTTCAGCTGGCGCAACGCCAACTGGACCTGGCCGATCTCGGGTAAGTTGTCGGTCTGCATCAACTGCTTCGCCTGGTCGATGTTGAGAGGCTGTTTCAACGCCACGTGCTGGGCCACAAGGGCAAAGTACGCCAACCAGTCAAACTGCATCTTATTGTATTTCTCCTGGACTTGGACGAAACGGTCTCTAGCGGGCTTGGTTTCCAAGTACAACACCCACAAGTTAAGTACCTGGGGGATATTTTCCGGTCCTTGGCGCAAGAGCCAGGTGGCGGCTTTGGCGAAGTGGTACTTGTCGACCACTCTCAGCTTCGCCAACACTTCGACAATATCAACAATCAGGCGATCACCCGTTTCAACGTCACCATTGAGGACTCTGGTAATGATTTTGTTAGCCAACGGCGACAAGGCGCGGTAGATTTCGACGTCGCTAATCTTTTCGGCGACCTCGATTTCCCGCAAATACAGCGCCCCTTCGTCCAAAATGTCGATGGCTTCGCCCAAATCGGAGGTGGTGGTGACGGTATCGCCCACGTGTTTGGCAATCAGGCGGAGCTTATAGTGGGCCTGGGGACGGGCACCGACTTTACGCCCCGCCGCCTTCTGGGGCTGGGATTGAGACGGGGGCTGAGACAGCGACTTGGCGGAAGCGGCAGAACCCTGGCTGGCAGCCAGCGACGCCGCAGACGCCGTCAGCGCCGCCCGCAACTGGCGACAGGCCCGGAAGGTGTGCTTGAGCATTGGGTCGAATGGAAAGTTTTTCGCGCCCGCGAAGACGGTGAAGTCGATGGTAGGGAGAAGGAAGGAGTGGGAACGGAGTGGGGATTTTTGTATGTTTCAGATGATGTTTTAAATGGTGTTTTAGTTTGTGTTTCATGACAATATTGAGATCAATCTAGTGTAGTGTTTGGGTGAAGGATATGTCGGACATGGTGGGAGTTGAGAACGGATTGGTGAAAAATGGTCCTCTATGGTTAACACAGTGAAACTGAAAAATTATAAATAAGGTAAATTTAAGCGATCAAATACGACAGACTGAAGTTAGTGCTCACCTTTAATGATAGGGAGGACTACTCTCATCAAGTGAAAAGCCTTGGTTGTTGTCGAAGGCACTGGTACCATGAACACCAATACAAGCGAAGTGTACAACGCCAGTGATAATCGTACGACAAAGTCAACGGGACTTGTTTTAGAGAACTCACGGGATATGAGGCCATTAGCCCAGTAATCGTCAGTGACAGGAGTATTGGAAGCAGTGAAAGACACCACGAACAGCCTCTGCCATCGATTACAGTAGTGAGAGCTACTTCACTGAAATGGCTAACCCCATGACGACACCTGGCTAGTGACTACAACACCAACGTCGCCATCAACTCAAAATGTGAATTCGATCATTCCTTTTATGTTAGTAATTTTCTCAGGCGTGGGTTTCTTATCATAAACAAAAATATCAACTGAGCTGGGTTATGAAAGTAGAGACTCCTAGGTCTCGTTATCATCATCGAAACTTACCAATCCCAAAATTTGAAACGAGCCAAAAACTGAAACAGCCATCAGATGATCCCCATTTTCATTTGGTGGTGGTCATCGGAAGGTGGTGGCTTTTTTCTTTAGTGTTTCGCACTAAAGCCGCCAATTTATAGCGGGCGCGCCACTTACCCGGATATGGCTGCTACCAGTGGGGCGCCAACCCTTAGTGGCCAAGCCGACCACCCCGAGCCCAAATCCGATCAACCGGCCCCGCTCGAGTTCTTCAACTACCACGAGTACCTTGTCGAAAGCGCTGATGGCCAGCTCGTTGCCACCCACTTCCCCAACGGGTACACCAATACTACAAGCCCAGAGTTTGCCACTACACGCGTAGTACGCGTCCCCCGAGTGTACCACGATAATGAAGATAGTGACGTTGTCCCTCAGTTCCTGACGGTGGTCCCGGGAGCCGAGCTGTATGCGATTTCCGATGGTTCACGGCAGTTTAACCCCGTGGCTTTAGTGGATGGAAATGCCTTTGGGAAAACGCTGTGGACACCGTTGGTACCGGATAATTTGACTGCCACCAAGTTTCAGGAGATTGTGGCCACGGTAAACACTCATTTGCAAGCGGCGTTCCGGCCGCTGGCGTGGGCTACCGCTGAAAATATCGTGGACATCGTTTCCGGAGGTATTTGGAGCTCAGTATACGGCGAATCAGCGTGTAAGCGGGCCTTAGCTGAGCTCGACGCTTACATTGACGCCACCAATGCTTCAATTACTCCCGTACGGCTCGTCCACCCGCGCCAATCGGGGTTTCTCAGTCTTGATTTCTGCATTCCTGCGCCGAAAGTGGGGCTGGAGCTGTGAAATGCGTCCACCAAAAGTTTTAAGGTTTTAGTCAGAGGAAATACGCTGCTCCGCATATCAGCATTTTTCACCGGACAATCGGGATCAAGGAACAATCCCTCTGCAATCGGGAACACCCGCTACACTCCGATTGTCTGCCGACTGTTTACCCACTAAAACCGTCAAATCAAGTTAGATTGGGACGTATATGGTTGAGTTTCATTTGTCTAAAGGTTTTCATTGTGCTGAAGGTAGAGACGACTGGCGAGGACTAGACGACTAGCGAGGTCTAGACGGTCACTAGTTTGGACCCACGTGATCGTAACTGCAAATCCCATGATGAAAACTACTTCGAGCTTCGGGCTCAAATGCAATTTTCCACTCAGGTAAACCCCCTGCTGAGCCAGGAGGTCGGGCGGGTCTTGTCGCGACGACGCTCGCGGCTGGGACTTCCACTTCTGGCATAACCACACCGTGTAGCAGGGATGGCCAGCGTCGACGACGCGGTGTACCGACAATACGGGGTTAATACAGGGACAATAGGATGCAGCGCTAGCGTATGTAATAACGCCCTTCAGGGGCGCACGGGGCTTTAGCTCATGCACGCACCGTCTACTGCCTATTTTAGTAAAGTGTTCTAAACGGTACCAAATTTGCCACGATGCGCCACGCAATCTTGAAAATAAGCAAAGGAGTAGTGGGGAAGGTCACCGTGGCGGTACAAATAGGCTATTCTGAGCCCGGAAAACCAAATTTCTTACTAGTCTGATTTGTCTCGTCCCAATGAGTGAAAAAAGCGTTTCTTTTGTCGCGGGCGTGTGGTCTAGTGGTATGATACACCCTTAGGGTGGGTGTGGCCCTGGGTTCGATTCCCAGCTCGCCCCTTCTTTTTTTTTTTGCCGTTTTTACTATCTATACCTGATTCTATTTTCCCTATATCATTTATATTTGGTGTATTTTTCACCAAGTGTTCACTCGATTAGCGTATAATCTCACTCTCATCGATATCAATTTACTCGCACATGAAGGAGCTCAGTGACGAAGACAGGCTCGTCGTCGAACTCCTCGGTTTGCTCGATGAGTACACCCAGCTCCAAGTGGCCAATCGCCAGCGGTGGATCGATGGCTACGTCAACTTGTCCCGAGCCAATTACGCCCACCACACGAAGCAATACGGTATGGATCGCTACGACCTAAGGGACCACCAGGCCCAATTTACCGTGAAAAAACCGGTCGAATTGAATGACGAATCAAATGAAACTAATACCGAAACGTCTAAGGAAACGGACCAAGTGCTGGAGGTCCGCAATCGCCATGCTCTGGAGAAGAAAGCGACGACCACCCAAACTAACGATGCCCTCCGCCAGTTTGGCGTGCTTGTCCCGAAAGAGCTTCGCCAGGCGCAACTGAGGTTTCAGGATGCCGTCGAAGTCTCAGTGGATATTGCTCGATTGGGACAACGTATCCACCAGATTGTTGATCAGTTAATGCCCCTCCACGAAGCCATCATCGCCAAGCAAAAACAAGAAAAAGAAGCTAAACAAGATGAGAGCGACGAGATAGAGAAGGCAGAGACTACGACAAATGAAGCTGAAGATATTGAATCACCGTCATCACCGCTAAACACAGAAGAGCCAAAGAGGACGACCAAATGCAAACCAAAGAATGAGGCAATTGCAACAGACAAGCCAGAGTCCAAGTCTATTGAAACCAAGCAAACCATATCAGAGTCAAAACTTGAGGAATCGACTACACTGAAACCAACGACGGAAGTGGACTCCAAGCTACAAAATTTGAACCTAAGTGAATCACTACCTCAATCTATGGACTCCAATCCCACTACTCCATCATCATCATAGTCATATAACCCCCAATATCTACAGTTTTTACCCTAAATGCCATTCATTAATAAAAGATCTATTCACTGTACAAGTCGGAGTCGTTCTCGTAGTCCTCGGGCTTGATGTCGACGGCGTCCGAGTCCAGCGCCAGGTCGTCGTCCATGTTGTGGTCGTCGTCGTCGTCGTGTTCATCGCCGTCGGCGTCGCCCTTCTGTCGTTGTTGGCGGCGCTCTTTCTTTTCCTGTTTCTTTTTGAGCTTTTCCTCGACGTTCTTCTTCTGTTCCGCCCGTCTCTGCGCCCGCAACTGTTTGCGGCGCTCGTGTTTCTTATCCAAGGCCTTTTGTTCCAACTCCAGCTTCGTGATCAACGAGTGGTAGAGCGTTTTACCTTCGCCGACACCTTCCTCAATTTTGACCAAATTCATGTTAAGACGAGGCCCCAACTCAGTCAACTTGATCGCCCGCTTCTTAGTACTACTACTAGTAGCAGCAGTTTCAGTTTCAACCGTTGAAGTCGCCTTTACCGCCTGTTGTTGCTGCTGGTTAATTTCGACAATAGCATCATCTTCGACCTCCAGATCCAGCGTCACGCCACCGACACTATACGGGTCCAACACCAACTCCAGCACGTCCATGTTTTTGCTCAAATTGGGCATCTTTTTGTGGACTTGTTTCGCCGCCAACAACTTTTTGATATTACGCGATTCCTCGACCAATTTGGTGTCGATGGCGTAGTGGCGGACGTCGATGGAGCCGTCGTCGTTTCGGTTGACCATAAGCACTCGCTTGATGCTGTTGACCGTCGTCAGTTGCGGCTGGATCGGCGGGAACATGTTCTGGAACATCGTCACCACAAGCTTATCGTGTTGGGGCATATCGGCCACGGAGTTGCCAAACCCGTTTAAAACAAGTAAAGGTGGGGTGTGGAACTCCGGGGCGTCCACGCCAACCGATTTGGGTCGTTTCAACACCTTGGCGACGTCCTTAACGAGCGAATAAGCGTTGACTCGGAATTGTAGCGTGGGGCCGTGGGGCACTTTCGCCATTCTTAACAGCACATTGCCCGTTTCCTCCAGCTGGTTGAACACAAACAAGTCGGTGACCCCCAAGGGACCCGCCATGACGACGAAATCCTTCAATTTATTCAGTTTCCGTTCGCGTAATTTGATGGCGGTGTGGGGCTGCATCACCTGGCGGAAGTCTCTGACCAACTGGGTGAGCAGGTGGTTGTGGAGCAGTTGTCCCAAATGAAGCACCATCAGCCTGGGGATCTTGGCGAGCTCCTCCTCGGCCACCTTGCGGTGGGTTCTCTTCTTGACTCGCCGCTTCGCCATGGTGTGTGTGATGAGATGCGCGATGAGCCGACGCGAAGACTACTACTGCTACTAACAATAAATCGCCACCAGAATTATAGTTTTCACTAAAGATGAAACTGTTTGATATTGTTTCAAAATGATGAAACATCAATATTGATATTGTGTTTCAGCTTAAGTGATTGATGAGAGTGGTAGCAGCATCAATTGCTAGTAAACGTCAAGAGAGTAGTTAGATTGATTTCCAGTCTAATTGAATTAGTCTCTCGATGTTTCTTTGATGACTTGTTTGTGGAATAATCGACTTTACCATTCACAGATCAATCCACACCACCACTTACTAGCACCTTTAGCCTCACCGTCAACATTCTTCGGATTACCATCAAAATCACTTCCCCATATTACCATCTACCACCAGACCAGAACTTTAAATTTCAAAACAAAACGTTTCATGTTATATAAATTGAAACCATTGATTTAGATTATACCTGGTGATTTAGTTTTGGACATTGTCTTGGTTGTCTCACGCGACTACCATGGTCGCCAGCGGGGTCACCTTCGACGACCTCCCCTTCGAGATCCAGCGCCACGTGTTCTCGTTGGTCGACGTGCCCCTGGTGTGTCGCTGCTACGTGGCGTGGGCTCCGCTGAGGGGAGCCGCCGCCGCCGCCGCCGATATCCTCGCCACCAGGGTCGTACCAGTCTCTCCTACTCTGCTACCGGGCTCGGAGGACGATATCGACTTTTCCCTACTATCCCAGCTCCCCCCGTGTAAGGTTTCAGTTGCTGTTGCCTACGGCCGGTGGCAGGGGGTGGTTAATCGCCTCAACTTGGTGCCCTCGTTCAAACTGCTTGACGTGGCCATCACCGGCGCTTTGGACCCCCTCCGAGGAAACTTCCGCTTGCTCCGCCACCCTATTAACGACCTAAGCCTCAGCCACCTCGCAATTGGCGACTTTGACCTCCCTAAGACCCTAAAACTGTTGACGGTGCAGGCGTGTCGGGCGTCCCCGCTGTTTATCGAGCGATTGTCCCATCTTGAAACCTTGGTTATCCTGGGAATGGAGGACCCTCCAGTGTTGCCCGAGCTGTTGGTGGACGTCACTCTTCCTAAAGACTGGGAACTTAGCCTTGGTGCTGGCGAACTACCCTATTTAACCGCCACCAATAATGGCCTAAACGGGGGCCTCCGCTGGCATCAGGTGACCAAGCTCACCGACTACTGCATCCCCGACGTCCCCGAACTCCCCAGTTTGAAGCATATCGTCGTCAAAGACCGCCACGGTGCCGACACGTTCACTAGGTGCCACTGCCCCAATCTCGAGACGGTGTGGATAAGTCCTGGCCTCAGCCTCCACCCGGATAACACCGACGTCCGGGTGCTCTTCACCGAGCCCCAGATGGCCAAACTCACCCATTTGACGGCGTTTGACTACCACATATCCGACGTTACTCCGTTCACCCTGCTTCGAATGGTGCACATGAAGTTGAATCAGCCCCTCACGCAACTGCTACCGTTACCGCCGACTTTATACGGGTTGCTGGTTGACACTACCCACCCCGTCGAGGGCGTCCCCCCGCAAATAACGTCATTGAGTGTGTTTCATCCACAGCCAGACCCCCAGCGCCATGCGGTAATCGACGCCCCCAACGTCCGCCGAATGAGCTGGAGCTACTCCCACAATCTCACCCTCCACTGTCCCAAACTCACCGACTTGACAATATTGCTGGTGACGGGTAAGTTGGCGGTGGAGGCTCCCAATCTTGTGAGTCTTGCGTTCAGTGGCTTTGCCCAGCACTACCCTTTGGAAAAGCACCCATTGTTAGCAAAACTATCCTACACTGGCACGGCGTGGCAGCACCTCGTGGTCCCGCACCGTTTGCGGCAATTGACATTGATCGAGGTCGAGATCCACACCCTTGAAGTCGAGGCGAAACACGTGTGGCTAGAGGACACTCTGATCTCCGAGCGAGCGGCGATTAAGGCCGACGTGGTCTACCTGGACACGGCATTGGTTGCCGCCGCCCACCTCCTCTTAGAGTGCCGGGTGCTTGAGATACCGTTCATCCACCCACACAGCTGTGGTGGCGTCGAGCACCTCATTCTAGATACCAGCGACGACTACGGTGGGTGGATCGACACCGGTTTCTTTACGCAGTTCACCAGACTCACCCACATAAATTTGCAGTCGCCAGCGCTCGACTGTCTGCAGCAGTTCCCTTTGGTGATTCCGGCCACGGTGAAGTCATTGGTGGTGGCGGACGCGACCACTGACGAGTTGTGGCTCCAGTTTGCCGACGAAACCCAGCTTGAGTATTTGGAGATAACCCACGGGGACGACGCCGATGACGCCGCCGCCTACTATACCCAACAGACGCTCGGGTTGACGGCGATGCCGCCGTCATTCTATTGTCCGAGACTCAGAGGCGGCGTACTGACGAGCTAATGACTGATTGATTACGAGGATGCGTAGGCACGTCAGCAGCCAGTTTGAAGTAATACTGAGAAAGCATATGGAGACTAAGATGGACTCAAACCGGGCTGGTACATGAAGAAGTTGACGGTGACACTGGCCAGTGCCACCAAGCACAACATAACCTGCTAAAACAGACGCTAGCCGTCTGTTTGGCTATAGCCTTCTACCTTGGCTACTAGGCGTGTATTTTTGGTTATAAACACGGAGCACTCTAATTCAATGTACTCTACATAATTGTACTGGATACAATTGTACTGGAAGCTGATTAGCGAAGTAAGAGAGACTCCGACTTGAAGCCAATCAAGCGATTGATGCCTTTAGGCTTTTGATTTAGAACGTATACTACTAATTGACTAGGCTCTTGCTTTCCTCGACAGAGTACTACTACAACTACAGTTACTTAATCTAAACGATGTTAGTTGAATATCAATTTTATTTGGTTCATTTAAGAGATTTTCAGTGCCAATCACTACCAGTTGTTGTCTCAATTGCCAATGGTTACTCATTTTGTTGGCTTGTTCGCACTCTCGCACTCGCACTCTTTGTTTGGCGCACTTTGCTCTTCGCACACACTCTTCGCAGCGCACTCGCACACACTCTTCGCACACACTCTTCGCACTCTCGCACTCGCACGTAGCTCTTCGCACGTAGCTTTTCGCAGTGCTCTTCGCACTAAATGCTAGCGCACTCTCGCTCGCACTCTTCGCAGTGCTCTTCGCACTAAGTGCTAGCGCACTCTCGCTCGCACTCTTCGCAGTGCTCTTCGCACTAAGTTCTAGCGCACTTAGCGCGCTTCGCGCTCATCGCACTGCTCATCACCATGCCTGTGGTTGGCAAAGTCACCAAGAAGAAGAGCGGGTCGAGCACCGCCAAGGCGCTTGCCGAGCGCATCAAACGGAAAGCCGAGGAACAGAAGGCCGCCTACCAAGCCGAAGAATCGCAAAACACTCCCGAAAACCCAGTGGAAACCGTTAGTGTCGACGCCGATGCCCCGACCAGATTCGACCGGTTCGCCGAGCTCGAACTCGTCCCGGAATTGCTCGAACTGATCGAAGGGATGAAGTTTACCACCCCGACTCCCATCCAGGCCGAGCTGATCCCGCAAGCGCTCGCTGGTAAGGATATTATTGGCTTAGCCGTCACCGGGCTGGGGAAAACGGCGGCGTTTGCCATCCCCATTCTACAGGCGTTGGCGATGGAGAAACTGCCGTTTTTCGCCTTAGTGTTAGCTCCTACTAGAGAGTTGGCCTACCAAATAAAGGACACGTTTGACGCGTTGGGGAGGCTGATGGGGATGCGCTCGGTGTGTATTGTGGGCGGGATGAACATGATGGAACAAGCGTTGGAATTGCTGAAGAAGCCTCACGTGATTGTGGCCACCCCCGGTCGAATTATGGACCATTTGGAGCTGACGAAAGGGTTCAGTTTACGTAAATTGCGCTACCTTGTCATGGACGAAGCTGATCGCCTCTTGGATATGGATTTCGGGCCTGCTCTCGATAAAATCCTCAAAGTGATCCCCCGAGAACGCCATACGTACTTGTTTTCCGCCACCATGACCAACAAAATCGAGAAATTGCAGCGGGCGTCGTTGCGAGATCCCGTAAGGGTGGCGGTGCTGAGCAAGTACGAGACGGCGGAAAACTTACAGCAGCTGATGATGCTTGTGTCTGATGGCTACAAAAACACTTATCTTGTCCATTTGCTTAATGAGCACATTGGCAAGCTGACAATCATCTTTTGTCGTACCGTGGTGCACGCTCAGCGAACGGCGCTCATGTTGACGATCTTAGGCTTCCACGCGTGTCCCCTCCATGGCCAGTTGACCCAGACTCAGCGTTTGGGCTCGTTAAACAAGTTTAAGGCCGGCAAAGCCAATATCTTATTGGCCACCGATGTCGCCGCCAGAGGGTTGGATATCCCCTCCGTCGACCTTGTCATCAACTACGACATCCCCACCGACTCCAAAGCGTATATCCATCGAGTCGGCAGAACCGCCAGAGCCGGGCGACTGGGGAAATCGGTTTCTTTGGTCACCCAGTATGACCTCGAAATGTATCTACGCATCGAAGCGGTCCTCCAGAAGAAACTACCTAAGGACCCGGCGCCGCCACGAGCGGTGTTGGAGCCATTACACATCCATGTGGATAAGGCGTTGGTGGAGGCAATCAGACAGACGAAAGAGTTTACTGACCAGCGGCAGCGGGGCCGCAAACGCCGGGACGATCGTGATAAGGAGGAGCAGTAACGTCTATGATTATGACGTCATAGGTGGTGTCTTGCCGGACCGGCGGCGATGGCGGTATCGGGGCAACGGAGTTTGCTGCCCCTGGCGTGATCACGTGCAATTAAAGACCAAATCAAAATTTTTCACCCCGATAACTATTACTGTTCGTAAGTATATATATCGAATATAATTCTGAAACGTAATTCTGAAACGTAAATTTGAGACGTAATTCTGAAACGCAACCTGAAACTAATACATTAATACACCTACACCATCACCGTCGCGACATTACTAATGGGACCGCGGGCTGGTCGACGCACTGATTCCCCAGATCTCGCCCTTCTCACTGGCTGGAAACGCCACAGATGCGGCCCCCAGCGCGCACAGGGCGCACTCAGGGCGCGCCCTCAAACGTTATCCGAGGATCCGCGACGGTAGGGGCAGTATATGGACAATAAAGACCACCAATGATCCTCACCATCAAAGCATGAAACAATTAGATCATCGAGCGTTAGCGCCTTACCCTGATAGTTGTAACGTGGTAGTAATGACACAAAGCGGTGACCTTTTCCCTCGCTCCTAGGCAGCCGCTGGGCGCCGCTGGGCGCCGCTGAGAGCGCCGCTGAGGGCGCCGATGACTATCGCTCGCGGCGGTGACTCAACAAATGTGTATGCAACCAACAAACCGCGACTCCGGGATAGGCAGGCAACAACGACAGTAAAGCGAGCGAGATCAGCGAGTAATGGAGACGGGAGTAGTCTATTTTATGTATTGATGTTAGTCGTCGGTCAAAATAGTATATTGTTAGTTGGTCCCGGGGCTTTCCTTTTACCCGAGGCCGGGTCGTTTCTCGGACCCCACAAATCGACGGGTGCAGCGCCCGAGAGCGGCTCTCATTGGCCGCCGGCGCGCCTCGGCGCCTACTCCGGACCTGCTTCGCCGCCGTCAGCGTCGCGCCGGCGCCGCCCCCAGTATAAAAACCCCCTCACCCCCACAAAAATTTCGTCCAAAAACAATATGTCTTCCAAGCCTGCTGCCAAGGGCAAGTCGGTGACCGACTTGGTCGCCGGGGGTGTCGCCGGTCTCGCCGAGGGGCTCTGCTGCCACTGGTTGGACACGATCAAAGTGAGAATGCAAATCTACCGCAAACTGGGTAAAAAGCCCCCCGGGTTTGTCCGCACGGGGATGGATATCGTGCAAAAGGAAGGGTTTTTGGCCTTGTACAAGGGGTTAGGAGCGGTGGTCATTGGTATCGTCCCCAAGATGGCGATCAGATTCTCCTCGTACGAATTCTACCGGTCGTTGTTCTACGCCCCCGACGGGCTGATCACGACGGGGCAGACGTTTATCTCCGGTGTCGGTGCGGGTATCACCGAAGCGGTGATGGTGGTGAACCCGATGGAGGTGGTCAAGATCAGATTGCAGGCGCAACACCACTCGATGAAGGACCCGTTGGACGTCCCCAAGTACAGAAACGCCCCTCACGCCGCCTACGTCATTTGCAAGGAAGAAGGGTTCTCTACCCTTTACAGAGGGGTGTCGTTGACCGCCGCCAGACAAGCCACCAACCAAGGTGTCAACTTTACCGTGTACTCGAAGATCAAGGAATACTTGCAAAAGCAGCAAGGCACCGAGATGTTGCCTGCTTGGCAAACGTCGGGGATCGGGTTGATTTCCGGTGCCCTCGGTCCTCTTTCTAACGCCCCCTTGGACACCATCAAGACGAGATTGCAAAAGACCACGTTTGCCAACAACGAGTCCGGCATCACCAGAATCATGAAGATCGGGAAGCAGTTGATCAAGGAAGAAGGTGTCGGTGCCTTGTACAAGGGGATCACCCCGAGAATCATGCGGGTGGCTCCGGGCCAGGCCGTCACCTTCACCGTGTACGAGTTCATGAAGGAGTTGTTGGCCGGCGACAAGCCGTTGGTGGAAAAGAAGTTGAACTAGGCCCTGTACTATAGCCCCTATACATTCTATTTATTGAAGCTTGTAGACAGCAGCTACTACTACTATAGTCGATGCTAGGCTATACTACTATAGCCGATGCGTAATAGCCTTGACTCACGATGACTCAGTGGGGTAGATTGTAAGTACAATCTAAGACATTTGTCTTGGCCCTGTCAGCCGTGCCCATCGCATAAATGGAGTGTAATAAATGAAATAAGGGATGCTACTACCTCTAACGGATCCAACTGAACCTGTAAAATTTGAGCTAACCAGTACTAATAATTGATCTGATAGTACAATGGCTGTGGACGTCATCTTAATGAGATAGCTCTGATACAGTTTGACAAATGTTACAATTGAGACTAAGACTACTAGACAGAAATGAGAGAAGTAACTTTGACAGAAAGTGTTAAGTCTTCAGCTTTGATTGAAGAATTCGTTTGCTGCATTCGTATGGTTGAGGTAAAATGTCACACGACTTAAACTTATTCAGTACCAACCACACATAGTGAAATAAGGAAACTCCAGTAGCATTAGGGGGCTAAAGAGGTCATTCATGATCAGAAGCACTCAGCAAATTCACTCAAATCCAGGGGACGATGGCTGAACCTGAAGGGGTGGCTGAAATATTATCTGATTCTGATTTGGAGGATCAAAGCCAGTCGGAGGCGAGTGTGTCGTTTTTGGACTCCCCTACATTCAAAGAGTCAAGTATCAGACTTCTTGAGGCCCTCCCCACCGACACCGACCGGCTGCAATTGTCTAAATTTCTCCTCAAATATGATAAGTTGTTAACCAAGTATAGGGAAGCCACCGCCCAATGCCACAACGTTTTGATCACTCGTGTCAGTGACACTCTTGGAAACACCTCTGGTCTTGCCACTGAAGAACTAACGTCAATTTACCACTCCTTTCAGAAGTACCAAAACGTGTGGGCTAAGGAAAAGTCGGTAATCAACGCCGAATTGGGACAGAAGCTCAGACAAGAAATCACGGTGGAAGTATACGGCAACAAACTGCTCACGAACGAGCACCGGGCGAAATTGAAAGCTGCTCGAGACAAGCTTATTCGCAAGTGTTCCTTGGCTTGCAAGCGGGCTAAGCCCAATAATGAAGTGTTTAAGCAGTACGACAAGTCATTGGAGACCGAGGAGGCGAGTTTCTCTTTGGAAACGGATAAACTTGTGAAGGAGTTTATTGAAACTTCCAATTTCACCTCGGTGATCTTTATGTCTAAGCTGTTTGAATTTTCCCTCGATGGCTTGACTTATATTATCAAGTTTTGAGTGCCCCTTACTTATGACATTTTAATGAAACGATCATACCACTCTAATGAATATCAAACTGATTGAGTGATGGTCATGCTAAATCTCAGTGTAGATCGCGTACTTAGATCACTGTAGCTGGCTGTCGTCGTTATCCTGGAAGCCATGTCATTGTTCAAAGAGGTTTGCTACACGTTGGAGGTGACAATGTGATATTTCTGAGTCATGATTCATTAGGAAAGCTTATTCGGCAAACGCCACTTGGCACCCGTTGAAGAGCGACATCGTCAAGTGGGTGGCCGTCTTCGGCGGGTACTCCGGGTCGTTCGACTTCAATTGTGAGAACATCTGCAAAAGACGAACGGTGACGTACAGAGCTTCGGTAAGCGCGAATTGCTGGCCCAAGCAGATACGGGGACCACCATTGAACGGCAAGAAGGCCCAGCCAAGCTTGCGCGTCGATTCTTCAAACCACCGCTCGGGACGGTAGGTGTCGGCGTCTTTTCCGTAGTGGTCAGGGTCCCGGTGCATCGCCAGCACCGCGTACACGATCAGCTGACCTTTACGCACCAACACCGGTTGCAGTTCGTCCTTGCCACCGCCGTGGGGCAACGTGGTGTCGCGGGTAGCCACTCTGAAGTTTTGCGGCACCAGCGGGTACATCCGCAACGTCTCGTTGATGCACGCCTTCAAGTACTCGCACTTCTTCATCAGCTCGAAGGTGATTTCCTCGACCTGGGCGTCGTCGCCAAGGCCAAACAGTTGGGTGATTTCCTCTCTCAACTTGTTAAAGATCTCCGGGTTACGCGCAAGCTCAAAGAACAAGAACGAAAGCAAACCGGCAGTGGTGTCTCTACCAGCAAGCAAGATGTTAAGCGACTGGTCGCGGAGCACCTTAGGGTCTCTCGTTTGCTTGGCCAACTCGTATAAAAAGGTGTAGCCGCCCTTCAGCTCCTGTTCGAGCTGTTCGGGCGACAACGAGAGCACCTTGTTGACGAAGTGGTCGGTGTACTCGTGGACGATCTTGGTGTCCCGGGCGAACTTGGGCCCCTTGACGAGGAAGTACAACTGCTGGACGACGGCACGCGTCAGCAACACCACCTGGGCGGAGTTGAACGCCTCGGCAAACTCAAACTTGCCGGGGATGTCCAGTTCCTGGGAGTAGCCGACAGAGCTATCTCTGAGAGATTCGACGGATTCACCAAACAAGAACTCGGTGGCGGAGTCGACGGTCAATCTGAAGAACAATTCCTGTAAATCCAACGAGTTGCCACGGGCGTTTCTGATGTGCTTGGCAAGCACTTGCACGTGAGGCTCCAACAGTTTGACGTGGGCCACCTGTTCTCTAGCAAACTGAGGGCGCAACATCGTTCTCAGGTGTTTCCACCCGTTACCGTCCAATGTAAAGATACCGTCGCCAAGCACAGGCAAGAACTGGGCGTGGCGGATACCCAACGAGAAGTCGTTAAACTGAGTGGCCAAAACGGCTTTAATGTTTTCCGGGTCAATCGTCAGGATCATCGGGTTGCCCGCCATCCTTACGGCGATGGTCTTGTGACCCGATTCCTGAAACTGTTCCTTGACAAACTGGATCATCGTCCCCTCCTTCTTCTTCTTAAGCATGGCGCGAGCGGCTCGGAAACCGAAGAAGTGGTCCGTCCGAGTACCAGTGACGGGGACGGCGCCGAGCTTCTTTTCGAGCCGGGCCTTCTGCAACTTCTGGAGCACGGCGTACACCGCCACCAACGCCGCGAGGGTGACGTACCAGTATTCCACCAAAAGCTCACTGACCATGATGCTAGACTTACGGAAAGAACGAGATTTTCGCGGCCGGCGCACCTCTTATTATGTCGTTTGCGAAATCTCCGAATATCACATGGCCGCTGCCTCTGTCGGAGTTTTGTTTTTTCCGCACTCGAGCCCCAAGTAAAGGCGGGGTACAGCAAGTGTCTCACGCAAGCGGCGGCCAAATGAGACGAATACTGGCTGAAACAGAGTAGTTTTTTTGATTGTAAACATCTCGGAGTATTAGTCCTCCTATTCCTGATCTGGTGGCTTGATCTCGTTTATCTCGTTTGGCTCGCTTTTCTCCGGGCGGACCATAATTAGATGTAATCATGTGACAGCAGCACTAACGCCTGCATGATATACATCACAAGCTCCACCTGCCCCATTAGGCAACCGCCGAGGCGAGCTCTAGACTCCGGTTCGGAAGCTTTGGCAGTCCGACGCCGAAGCGGCTGCCCCCCACTCTAGCCGTCAGCGTGCATGCACTCGTATAACGTGTCAGCCTCGTCGTGGCTGGCAAACTTATTAAGCACGCTACGGGCGATATCGATGGTATCGGCGTCATATGCAAACTCGACCCCGTTGGGGTAGTGGTACCCGGAGCTGGCGGCGTCAGCGTCGGAGGCGAAGGCGTTCCGGGCCCGCGTCTCGACCTGGCTGTTGAATATCGGCCCCTGGTACCCCTTGGCGCGTAGCTTGACGACAATCTCCTCCGCCAGCTTTGTGAGCCCTCCCTGAGCGAACGCCACTCGAGCAAACACTACGAGTAATTCGTAGACTGTTTGAGGGAACATCAACGTACTCAAATCAGGGGTGAGCTCGGTGATGGCGTAGGTGGTGGCCATTAGCCTGCCAATGATCTGGAGGTGGAGATCGACGAGGGGGCTGCGTGGGTAGGTAGCGATCGCGAGCTGTTCGTGGTCAATGGCGCGGATGAGCCGTTTGAAGTTTTCTTTAGGGGTATCGTCTCTGCCTAAGATATCCGTCAGTTCGTGCTCGTTGATATAGGCATCGATGACGGCGGCAATGCGCAATTTGAGCGTCAATAAATGGGTTTCGTGGGCCAACTGAGCCTGGGGGTCGATGGTTTCGTCCACAGGAGCCGCGGGGAACGGGTTTACCATCAATGGCTGGTGGTTTTGGTCGATATCTCGGGGGATCATGGCGTCGATCATGGCGAAATCGTGGTTATTTCCCACGGTACGGTTCAAGCCATGGAACCTCATTTGAGGACGAATCCCCACTTCCATCACTAGGAGGTTAAATAGCAGCAGCACCAATTCTTCATTGCCATCGTTATTATAAGCAAACGTAGTATCAGTGACGCTAGCTTCAAGCATGCTAATGAAATTGAACACCAAGTTGATTTGGCCGACATCAGCCATGCGTTCTTTGATCCCTGGTAACGCTCTAAACACGTCAGGGTCGAGTATTTCCGCGTTCCACACTTCCAGTACACAGTCGGCTCCGTGGCCAGCGGCGAGAGATACCGTGGTTTCCAATAAGTCTCCATACACCACTAGGATAAGCTTTTGTAGGACCAATAAGTGGCGAGGGATACCGATGAAATTAACGAAATCAATGTGGTTACTAGTAGCACTGATATAGCCTAGCCGGTGGCGTACGGCAGCACTGAACTGAACCACAAGCTCACGGATCAATTGTTTGGACACTGCCAAGGGGCGGAAGGTAAGTGCTCGGTGGACAAGCGTCAATAGGAACGGGATCGCTAAGGGTCTCTCTCTCTCATTTAAAATGGCACACATCAGCACGAGCATTTTCACGAGTTTGGCGATGAAATTATCGAGACGGAGGTGGTGGTGTGCCATAAACCACTGCGTTAAACAATGGGCTACCAGCTGGTGCGGTTTAAGCTCAAACAGGTCGACACTGATCGGCTCATCAACGGTAATTTTTGATAAGTAGTCGATACAGGTACGGGAGTTGTGAGTATCCTCAATGCCACACGTCCACAAGTAGTCCACGACCAAACCGGCTTCGCTGGCACGCTTTACGGCCGTTAAATAGCCCGCATCGACTCTACTCGAATCCTCGAGTTTCCGCTTCTTGGTGACAGTTGTAGAAGTAGGAGGAGTCTGATTGTTCACTGGCACTGCTATCGTCGTTCTCGGCTGGCGAAGGGCCTCATTAAGGAAGGTCTTTTCATCTTCGAGTGAGGTCACCGCCCGCTTCAACGCCGCGATCTGTGTCTCCAACGATGCCGTCGCCTCTTGTTTCTGAGCGATAAGCTGTTTCCTTTCCTCAAGCAGTTGTCGTTGGAGCTGTTCCAATTGAGCTCGGAGCACCAGAGCTTCCCCTTGGGCTTGGTAGATAGACGCGGCTGTGGAGTCCGTAGTAGCGGTCAGTGGCGGCTTAGGCGTAACTCGAGCCGGCTGAGTGGCTGGCGTATAAGTTCGAGGGGTCGCCTGGGTCCTCAGGGCAGCAGCAAGGATCTCGTCATCGTCGTCGCTGAACCGGAACAGGTCCTCCAGGTCCGACATCGCGGTTACAGGCTGGGACGCGTCTCAAGGTGGATGACACTAACCTTAACGATTAACAAAATAACAATAAATGACTTGTGATGGAGTATAAGGGTCGGTATTGTGATGTCAATGATTTTTCTAGGGGCCATTTTCTTGAAGAGTTGTTTTGTTTCAGAGGGTGTTTTAGCAGTGCATAGAATGACTCTAAGATAAGGGGTTCAATGAAACAAAACAGACACCATTACATCGATGTTTGCTTTTGGTTTACACTACCACTTGAAATACTTATGACCAAGATTGAAGCTGATTTGTCATGAGCCTCATATCGCAAGTGACAGCCTGTACTGAGAGAGTTAGCCTTGATCAGAAACAGCTAACAATGATTGAAGAAAGCTAAACCTGAATGTTACAGGTGTTACCAATCTAATCCAAAGCGATCGTCACATGTGATACTTATTGCCACCTGATTTCCTCAAAATGATGCTACTTGATGTGCCCATGGTCCCCATCGCCATCAGATCCCATCGAATCGGAAACACCACAACACAAATACCACAAATACCCGTACTAACAGTTCAAAGAAAATCAATTACAGTATCATTCATTCCCCTCTTTTCCTGTCATATCTTGCCTCCGATAGCCCATCGCGAAAAACTCCCCCATCGCTCCACCACGACATAATGGCCGACGCGAGCGACAAGCCGACGCTGGCGGAACCGAAGGAGAAGGTGACCAAGCCCAAGGCCGAGGTCACTGCCACCACTACTACCACCAACAATACCACGAATGTCCTGGCGCTGCTTGTGCCCCAGCAACCGCAGACGCTCTCGTCGAAGGACAAGACGACCCAGCGGCTCATCGTCGTGTTGTCCCAGGCGTGTCTCGAGACCCACAAGATGAACACCGGCCCTGGCGGCGGGGACAAGTTTGCTTTGCTCAATTGCGACGACCACCAGGGGCTCTTGCGCAAGATGGGCCGAGACATCGCCGAGGCGAGACCCGATATCACCCACCAGTGCCTTTTAACCCTTTTGGATCTGCCGATTAACAAAGCCGGTAAGCTCCAGGTGTACATCCAGACGGCTCGGGGGGTGCTTATCGAGGTGAACCCGCTGGTGAGAATCCCGCGTACGTTCAAGCGGTTCTCGGGGTTGATGGTGCAATTACTCCACAAATTGCTGATCCGTTCCGTCAACAGTGAGGAGAAGTTGCTTAAGGTGATTAAAAACCCCATCTCGGACCACTTGCCCACCAAGTGCCGCAAAGTGACCCTTTCGTTCGATGCCCCCGTGAAACGGGTCCAGGACTACGTGCTGACGTTGGCCGACGACGAGAGCATCTGTGTGTTTGTCGGGGCGATGGCCAGAGGGAAGGATAACTTTGCCGACGAGTTTGTCGACGAGAAGATCGGGCTCAGCGACTACCCGTTGCTGGCGTCGGTGGCGTGTCTGAAGTTCTGCCACGGGTGCGAGGACGTGTGGGGCATCTACTAACACTGTACAATTAGCTATATATAGAAAGAGATTAGAATATGAGGATTTGTAGGTCCTATAACGTCGTGTCACAGCCCATCACGAATGAATGCTGTGAGTCCACAGACCCAATTCAAGTTACAGCCGATGTAGTCGAGCCTCATACTATTACCAATGTGGCAGTTCTCAGAATTCTGATGTAAGTTTTGTTCAATGATGCTGGCATATGTAGGCTGTAAGCATCGATGGCATCGGTCGTCAATCGAGAATCTCCAAGTGAGTAAGCTTAGTCAAGTATTTCAAGTTTCAAACTCTCGGCGGAGACGACACCAAGTGACAATTGCGTACGGAGACTAGGATCTCGTCGACGTTGACGACAACCCCATATAGTTTCAAATCAATTGCCTTAGTGATAATTCTAAGATCGATAAGGGGACCGCCAACTCCAACTGTTCATAGCTAACGGTACAGTTTGGCAAGCGTCCAGAGAATAGCCGGCACTGTCACATGGATCTTACCCGGCGGGAACATCGCCAACATCGGGAAAGTGACCTTGGAAGTGTCGCTAAAGTCACTTCCTCCACCCACCACTTTAAACCGCGGGTGGAGTGTTTCCGGAACAATTCGTAGTCAGGACGGATACTATAAGCTTCAAACATCAGCCGTAATTAGTAGAGGTCGAGAAACTTGAATATTTCGTCGTGAACTTCATAAGGGAGATTTGTGAATCGGGATGGAAATGGAGCCATGGCGACGATAATTCGAGAGGATTAATGGGTGGAATCACCACCAAATTAAATGTGGAGGGTTAAGTATTGGTCTAACTCTGTACATCATAGTTTTACAGAGCATAATCTGGAGTTGTCTTAGTCTGTGGAGTAAGGTGGAGCGTCGTGGTAATAAACAACTCAACCCAAATTGAATTAATGAAGCATTGATGTTTGTAGAGAGGAGACTGAATGTGTTAGTCGTTCTGATTTCGGATGGTTTTACTAGTTTAATTGAAGGTGTAGGCCATATTTACGCTAACTTTATCGCACCACCATTACCACTAGCATTGTGATCAGTATGCTCTGCAACACCGTAAATTAAATCGTGTAGCGTTAACGTAAGTTTGAATCAAATTAGGAGTAGATTCTGTAATTGTATTTGTTATTCTTCTTGATCTCTCACCAGCATTGAACATATAGATACACCAATCCTCGAGAATCTGACTCCATTAATTGAAAATTCTAGTGGTGACCTAATCTTTCGGACCTTCAAATTAATATTTACATGTTTCATTAACTAAATATCCTCTTTAACTGGTATATATTTGTCTACTTTGCTTATGGCAAATTCTCATCACGTGACTGACTCTTCACCTTATCATCTCATCGCGAAGCCATACTACCAACTATAGAACCAAATCACGGCCACCATGGAGCTCACCCAGGAGGAGATGGACTGCGTCAACTACGATGCCCGGGAGGGCGATCTCGACACTCTCAAGGAAATCTTTGAGGAAATCGGTGGAGCCAGTTTACTCACGATTAAAGACGACAATACCGGTGCTACACCCATCCACATGGCGGCAGGCAACGGCCACCTCGAAACCGTGGAATACTTACTCAGTTTGGTGCTGAAAGACGAAGCGCAACAGCTTGTGTCTCAACAGAACGAACTGGGCAACACGGCGCTTCACTGGGCGGCATTTGCGGGCCATTTGCCGGTGGTGAAGGTGCTCATTGAAACCTACAAAGCGGACCCGTTTGCGAAGAATCTGTTGGGGCACGATGCCATTTACGAAGCCGAGGCTAATAACCAAGAGGAAGTGGAAACGTGGTTGCTTCAGAACTTCGCTTTAGAGGAAACCATTAAGGTTGAAGACCACGGCGAAGACACTAAGATCACCTATACTCCGGGCACTGAGTCATACGAACAGGATAAATTGGCCCGAGAAGCTCAGGAAGAGGCTCAAGAAGACGCTCAAAAGAAGAATGGAGACCTGACGACTAAGCTTGCGGAGGAGACAGAGAAATTGACTGTTTCGGAATAATTAACTGATTCAAACTATTTCAGATCAAAATCACTACTGGAGTAGTCAGTGTTTGGACTCATTATTTGTATATACAAGGGGATAATAGACATAAACGTTAGATGATCGTGGTAATTAGTGGACGACGTTGATGCCCACGGCTTTGGCCACCGAGATCACGGCGCCGCAGATCAGTTTCATATCCACATCCTTATGGCGAGCATCGGTCTTCTTAATCTTGGCGATCTCGTAGATGTGTTTTAACAGCACTTCCCCGACAATGGTCGAGCCAGGCTTATCCGACCCCTTGGTGATGCCAGCGGCTTTCATCAATAACCACAGCGTCGGCGGCGACTTCATTTCAAAGGTAAACAGCCGGTCAGGCTTGATCGTAAGCAACACGGGCACGGGCGTGTCGGGGTTCAAATTGGCGGTTCTGGCGTTAAACTCCTTGCAAAAGTCGATGGCCTTCACCCCTTTCGAACCCAACGCCGGACCCACGGGAGGAGCCGGCGCCGCTTTGCCTGCACCCACCACCAACTTGACAAGGACGTTTTTGTGAGCGGACATCCGGGGCGGTTTAGATCTTCGTCTCTAGCACTGTGAACATTTTTCAGGCGCCCTCCCCAGGCATCGGTGGTCGCGCGCCAACGAAAAAAGACGGGATAAAGCCCGACGGGGAGTATAACTGAAATCTATTATAAGACCTCCTATTTTGGTTGGAATTGTCTTTGTTTCTATTTTTACTTTTGAGTTATGGTGAAACGATTACCGCTTGATTCGCGGGCAAAAGTGCTGGGTTTGAAGCAGCCGAAACAGCTCTTCTGCTTTGCCCGCGACATCGATGGCCACTACGTCTACGACGAAAAGGAGGTTATCGATAACCATTTGAGCTACTATTACTTGCCTGATAGTTGGGTGAACCATGTGGATCTTGGTGCTGGTTTCAAACAGTTCAAACAGATCCCCGAAGAGGAGAATTTGGGAGATTTTGCTGCACTCCTTAAGGCGGTGATGCTCTATGAACAGGCCACGGGGAAGAAGACTGCTGTTGATTTAATCACCTTCAGGGGACTTATGACCAAGATCCTCATGGTGCCGTTTCAAAATGACCCCATTGACTTCGATATCGTCGCGTTTGACGGCCAGTTATTCATGAGAGATAACTATGAATTGGCCCTCAAAAAGCGACAACAGGAAGAACAACAACTAAACCAACAAGACCCGCAACAGGCCGACTACGTGCGAAGGTGCCAGTACAGTGGCTACAAGTTTGAGGCTGTTGCAACTCTCCCCAAACCGTGGGCTGATTGTCTGCGGAAACTCATTGAAAACCGGGTGAAGAAACCTGTAAACAACTACGAACAGTATATCCTGGCAGTGAAAACTGGGATTGGTCTGACGAAGATGTTATTGGCCGGTGAAGTCGACTGTGTCTACGATTATGTCCCCGAACTGGGAAACATTGTTAGTCACTTTGTCGAGCTTAAAACCACTTCAACCCTCGATAACCCGCGACAAGTGGGTAATTTTGAAAAGAAATTCTTCAGAACTTGGGCTCAATGTTTCTTGATGGGCGTTGGTAAGATTGTGTACGGTTTCAGAGATAAAAATTTCATGTTGCGGGCGGTGGAGACGTATACTACGGACGAAGTGCCCATTTTATTAAAGAATAACAAACAGGTGAACCTGATGACCGCCTTAAAATGGTACGGGGCGGCGTTAGAATGGATTTTGAAGGAGGTGGACCGCACCGATGAACTGAAGGCGTGGCGCTTGTGTTATGACCCCAGCACACGTCTGTTTATGTTGGATGAACTAATGGATACCGACAATGCCCGGTTACGCTCGGGAGAGCTTTTAACCCCCGAATTCATCGCCTGGCGCCAACAATTAAAGGAAGGAAATTAATGAACTAATCAGAGATAATACACGCAGCGACGACAGATCTATACGAAACTCAACATTTGCATGGGTTGATAAAGCGTTTGCTAATGTCTTGACTTCGATTACCTGTGGAAGTCACTGATCCATTTAAGTAAAAACATATACCCTGTAATCGCCAGAGTAAAGTTGAATTCTATAATTTTGTTGATTAATATTAACAACCATTTCTACTGATTTACTCCAACTCTGAAGCAATCAATAATTTTTGCCTTTTGTCGGCTTTATAGAATATGCCCAATCATTCGTCAGTGATAAGTAATCATGCCGTTTCCTTTATCTGTTACCCTTATTCCGTTATTGAGGGGCCAACACCCCGATCCAGCAGTTTTTCAACATCGTATCGACGTTCACCCACGGGTGGTACTTCATGAATAGCGTGGTGCCGTCACGACCAGCGCCCTTCATGATCTCGTCCGCCCCGCCGGGGTGGAAATTGATATACGGGGTAATATTGTATACCTTGTTATTGATGATGGTCCAGGCGTCGTCTTTAGTACGGTGCTGTTTCACTTCTTCCTTAGTGACTCGCGTATATTGAGGTGGTAACGGCTGGTCTCCGCGGAGCCTGGGGCCCTGTTCTCGCTGGAGATTGGCCCAGTCCAACGGCAGGTGGCCTGGCTCAAGCGCCACTTTGGCTCGGGCCCGGCCGGGGACGGCGGCCCGCTGGGCCAGCCCGGGCATGGGGAAGAGACTGTTAGGCATATGCGCACCACCACCAGTAGGGTACCGTTAAAGACCCTGACAGAAAAGTAAAAAAATATGAAGAAATGCATTTCAATTAAGGGTCTTTGGTTTTTGATTCAAACTGTTTTAATGAGAATAATGGATTTTACATTACTTGGTGATAAAATGGTACTCGACATAATTGGAACTGATCCCATTAATAACCATATTTCATTGATAGTCTCCTTGACATTGATAATGTTGAGGTGATTGTACAGCTTACATTACGCAGGTGTGGTGATTGCCATTTCTGAAAAGAGTTTGACACCACTGTAGGTTGATTGTCATCGACTAATTGAGTAACCGAGGGTTCACCACCAAATGACGATAAATACCACCAATACTTCTCCATTCTCCATCAAGACAATCATGGCCGCTCAACAACAATCCAACAACCAAACTCCTAAGGACAACTACTCGCTCGAAAAGGACTTCCGCTTCTTCGACTTGTGCGTCATTGTCTAAGTTATACATACTTTAATGAATGTGTCCTTATCCAATTTACTGTAGCCTATTTCGAACATGAAATAATTACTGATCTGATCTAAAGTTCAAATTGAACGGAAATCACATAATAGTCGTATGAATGCTTGCTTAAGGGTGGTTTTCCTTAGTGATCCTTTAATGATTTTTTACAGTTGGTGCGGCTGCAAAATTGCCACCCGCACAGCACTCACACACTTCTATCCAAATCATGGCGCTGGTGGCGGCACTTGCCCGGACCCAGCAGTTCTGGTGGTTTATTCTGCACGTGCTCTCGGTGCTCTTCTATGCCGTGTACCAATTGCTGTCGATATTCGGGCTGGCGGTGCTGGCCCTTGCCTACTATCGGTACTGCCTCGTGATGGTGATCACCACCTATTTCATCGTTCTTGTCCAGCAAAAGCTGAAACGAGGAGTCAAACAGCTTGTGGCCAATACCAATTTCCAGTACTTTACGTTGGCGGCAGTGTTCTACTTGGCGTCGCTCGTTATTGGTCCCGTTAATGGTGCTCTTTTTTCCTATATGATTTTCCTGGTATTTCACATTATCAGTTATTTCCAACGTCACCTTGTTGATTTCATTGGTACCTTGCCTCAACAGCAACAGCTTAGCTCTCGCGTCGGGGCGTGGCTTGAAGAGAACCAGCCCAGGGGTCAAATCATGGCGGCCACCGCCGAACTCTTTTTGGTGATGACGCTGTTGAATCCGATTGTGGTGATGCCGATCGTGTTTGTCAATTTGGTGGCAGGCCGTTGGCAAGTGGGATTGGCGTACTTATTGTGTTTTGCGGCTCTGGTGGTGTTCCTCAAATTAAGATGGAATGAGAGCCCCTATACGAAACAAGTGGTGTCGATGTACGACGCTAAGATCGGTCTGTTTGTGCAAAGATTCCCTCCAGTGGCTAACTTCTACTATAAAGTTAGGGATACCGTGGTGAAGGTATTGGCTCCAATCACGGTTACCGTACCGAAACGGTCACCGAGAGAACAAGTGCAAGACTCGTTGAGGGACGCTTCTACTCGAGGTACCACCCTGGGCACCTCCCGTTAATTATATAGTAAATAAACAGTAATTAATTATTATGGTGTTGCCGGAACTTTCTTCCGACGCCGGAACATTACTTCCGACGCCGCTCCGCAGTTACACCACCCCCGCACTCGCTCTGACCTGTCGCCGACGACGAATGTTCATCAGACCCTACCGCTTACTCCTGTCCACCGCTCGCAGAATGGCTCAAGAATTCAACGTGATTGTCTACGATAAACCCGGCACCGACCGCACCCAAGTGAGACCGCAACACGTGGCGGCGATCCCCGCTACCGTCAACTCGGGTATCGTCAAACTGGCGGGTGCCATCTACCAGGACGAGGCCCGGACGAAGTTTGCCGGCTCTACCTTCCACTTGGTGGCGGAAAACAAGCAAGCGGTGCTTGATTTCTTGAAGCAGGACATCTATGCTAAGGAAGGCATCTGGGACTTGGACAACGTCGTGATTAACCCCGTGGGCATCGCCGTGAGATTACCCAAGCAAATGGACGGCGTGGAAGCGTCGTTGTACAAGATTTAAGCTACAATGGTCAATTGCTATATAGTGATACACAGAAACTTGTGATTGATGATAATTCCAGGAGTAGTGTGAGACTAATGCGACAATTGTCAGTGCTATAGGTGCCATCACCAAGAAATGGCCCAGCATTGGGAGTTGTAGAATGACTTACCATTATTATATGAGAGTGGTCTCAATATTTCGAGTACCTACCATGTTTTCATGATTCATCCACTAGTCATTTGAAAGTATGGACCTTCTTAATAGCGATACCGATTTAAGATGATCTTGAAGTCACAAACTTTTAGTTATAATTCTTTGAACATTCATTTTTCTGAAGTCTAACAAATCAAATACATCAGAAACCAAGTCCCAATGTATTCGAGTGATTACTCTGTTACCCTCTGTCTTTGCGACGCGTCGTCGCGTGCCCCTCTGGTGGCGCATTTTTCACCCTGCGAGCGACCCTTACCGTATAGCCTACTCAAAGTTTACCCTGTTCCCCTTGTCATGCCCATCGACTATATTCTGAGTCTAGTGCTTGACGGGCCGGAAAACACCGCTGGCTGGAACCTTATCAAGAAGTATGGCCCCCCGTTAGCCGTCGCTGGTGCGGCTAAATGGTACTTTGGCGGTACTCCCAATACTTTTGACCGCGACGTCAACGGCAAAGTATACCTCATTACCGGGGGTACGCTGGGTTTGGGGGCCCAAATCGCCTACGAACTCGCCGTAAAGGGAGCCCAAATCGTGTTTCTTGTGCGGCTGCTAACGGATCTGTGGACGGTAGAGTTCATCGACGATCTCCGCCAGCGAGCGAACAATTTCATGATTTACGCCGAAGAATGCGACCTTGCCGACCTCCACAGCGTCCGGTTGTTTGCTACCAAATGGTTAGACAATCAGCCGCCGCGGAGACTCGACGGAGTGGTGTGCTGCGCTGCTGAATGTATCCCCTACGGTAGTGACCGTCAAAGCACTGCTAACGGCATTGAACGTCAATTAGGGGTGAATTATGTGGGCCACTACCACTTGCTTACCCTTTTAGCCCCCGCTCTTAGGGTACAACCGCCTGATCGTGATGTCCGTATTGTCCTCGCTACTTGTGCCACTCACCTGATTGGTAGTGTAGTGCTTGACGATTTATGGTACCAGAAACGCCCCTACCCAAAACGACTGCCGTGGCAAGTATACGGCACCTCCAAACTCTACCTTGGTCTCTTTGCTCAGGAATTTCAGAGGCAATTGGACAACTATGAACGCAAAGATAAGACTCCGTGCAACGTGCGGATCAACATGGCCAACCCGGGGATCATGCGCAGTGCGCTGACGCGACGGTTCATCAGTGTCGGCACCATCTGGGGGCTTTTCCTCTACCTTTTGCTCTACCCGATTTGGTGGTTCTTCTTTAAACTGGCGTCTCAGGGCGCTCAGCTGTTTATGTTTGCCCTCTGGGCTCCGTTCCTCCGGCAAATACCAGGGGGACAATTGATTCAGGAGTGTAAAGTGGTCACCGAGAAGCGCAGCGAATACGACAACGAAAACCTACAAAAGAAGCTATTTGACCTTACCGCCAAACATATCGAGGAGTTGGAAAAGGCCGCCGCCGTCGAAAGAAACCGCGCTAACAAAAACGGGAAAAAGAAACCCCAGACTGATCTTGCCCAGAAGCCAGCTTCGGAGGCGGAACTCATGGACAAAATCGACCAGATCCGGGCTCTGTTGAACATGGGAGCCACTCAATCCAAGACTACTAAAGATGACCCGCTACCGTTATTCCCTCTGGACGCCGAGCTTGTGGAAGCAGTGGGGGGTAAAGGCACCCCGCGCAAGCGCAAATGACGTATCGGGCAATACATATATTTCTAGCACGTCACCGCTAGTTTTCTTTTTTTTATATATAGGAGTACTTAACAGGTTTTGGCAGCTTTATTTCCCTAGATCACACCCCGCGTCCGTTTGCACCCCTCTCTCCCCGCTGACGTCACCAACAGCAATCACCGACAAAAGAAAAACATAACAACCTTTAGCGAGACCAGGTTCAAACAAAAGTAAATTTGATTATTTAGTAAATCATGTTAGTGGTTTCATAGTTGTTTCACTGACTGTACAGGCCAAATCATGTACCCTCTACTGCTACACTAGCAGTACTACATGGCGCAGGCCGCAAGCGTGATCTGGAGTGGTGGAGTACCTGTCTGCAGGCACTATGGCGGCATTTTCCTGCGGGGCCACAAAGTTAAGCGCGGTCTCCGAGACGGAATTAGAACGGATAAAAAAAAAAAAAAAAACAACAGATAGGGGTACTGGAATAGGAGATATTGTAGTGTTATGATTACAAATCGAAGAGGAGCTACACCTGACTAGTGCTGAGAGCAGTATCCCCTTAATCATTGCTAGCAACGGGTTTCTTTTGGGCCTTCGCGAGTGCTTTTGTTTGAAGCAATTGTTGAGGTGATGGCCTGCATGCGCACACCCGCCTCTAACCATCGAAAAAAAAAAAAATTGGCATCCGATATATATACGGCCACACCCCCTGTTGGTTATCAGAAAAACAACACATACACATTCGGCACAGTTGTCCTTTGGCGGGTTTCTCCGTTTGCATCATATCATCCACCCACGGCATCCCCCATACCCAATGATCATGAGACCATTCATGTCCAACCTGGGGTTGTTCATCTTGACCCCGGCGTTCCTCATCGCCGCCGACTTTGTCGCCCTGAAGTTTGGCCCGCAAACTCTGAAGAAGCTTGTCCCCACCAAGCCGGTGCTGCTCCAACGAGGCCTGCTTCAACACTACGACAAGTGGTACCTGGACAGACGCTTTTAAAGCCCCCACCCTCAATTTTTTGTAACGAGAAGCTTTTGACGAATAACATGATTTTGCATCGGGCAAGGCAGCGGTTGTCAAATCCCTCACGACCCGCACCTTAGCCTCTACCCCTCCATTGATGAATTTTTTAACTAGCATTTTTTAAGCAGCATATGATCTACTTTTTTTACATATATATATTCATAATGGCATATTTCATATTTGGCATGGTTGGTCGCACTACCCAAAATGGATGGCCAAGCGGGATTTTATTGATTCGCTCCTCCTGCATATAAGATTACGGTAATCTCCGGGAGAGCGGGGCAATTTTTTCCTCAGTTTGCTTTTTTCGCAAATACAGTGGCATTTCCCATCCGCTCATCTTTTTTCCTCTCCCCTCATCATTGCTTTCTTTCAAAGTAGACTTGATTTATTGAAGCGCTATAGTGTATAATAGCTGTTGGTGACGATTTACGAGCCGTGTTTATTTTTGAAGGGTGTGATCTCTATGAGATCATGCTACATTTGGTCTTTAGGCCGATCTCTATAACTCCGACGTCGGAGTACTTTTGATGTCAGGGCCTCTGTTAAAATGATGTCATGAGTCATCTGGAAAAGTTATTTTGGCGTTTCGTATTTCTGCAGGTACACGCATATTTGCGAGAGATGTCAAACACTCGAAATTGCGCTTTCTCATTTTTGCAGATACTGAATACAACTTTTTCTCAAACTAAAAGTGGTGTCGTATGTTATTCAACTCATTAAAGACGTGTGGCTTGTGTGCTAGTGATTTAGGGCGGGCAGTCAATGGAGACTCACGCTACAGGATAATTTCGCTCGCTAAGCGAACTGAACCTGTTGATTTAACATGCCATACTAATGAGTAGTTCCAATGGTGACAATTGAGAGCACATTTGCTGAGAAATGCCTATGCAAACATTACTTACTTTTCAAATGTTGCGGTTTTGACTCTGGAATCAGGGTTGAGCACGTGCGTTTAGGATGCCGCTAGCTGCATTTGTACCTAAATCAAGGCAAACTTTCCAGGAAACATCGATTAGAACGTCATAAATCAAGCAAACTCTCTTGCTATGATTTGTGTGTTTGGTTCTAACATTTCACACAACTCGTCTCCACACCTATAGCCCAATGCTCTCCTTTCCCAGGAATTTCACAAAATCATATTAGTGTACGGTTCTATTGTTAATTGAAATCACAAACAGGAAGACAATACTGATGGTCCGATGCAGGATGACATTTCCACCAAAGTATACGAAAGGAAGCTTCAGTGTCTAATTCAGTAAAACTATTGGAGGATGGTGTCAACTCTTAGCTTGGTGCTGCTCTGCGGTTTAGCGTCGGCGTGAGTGATTCCCTCGGAGCCGCTTGATCTTTTGTCATTGGACAAACGAGCCAACGATGGGATTATTGCCAACGATGTCAATATCCAAGGGTTCACGTACTATATGGATGTCAAGGTTGGTTCTGAGCGTAAGGTGTTTAACCCTGTATCACATGGTTCCCTGAAAACTATGGTTGGGTGTATCAATCGAAAACACTTGTCAACACTTCAGAACCCTTTCACGTTCAATAAATTAGCTCATTCCTGAAAACTGGGTACTTTGTCGAAGACACACTTGCGTTCACTTAAGGCTCCACCGATTAGGATTTCAAATTCGGCGTGATTGACAACGTCAAAGGAGTAGATGGAATTGTCGGGTTGTCACAGTGGAATGCACCATTTGCTTAGTATATTCCTGAGTGGGCGAGAAAGTATGTGAGTTTATCCAATTAGCTCAAGGAATCCGGCGCCATTGACCATACAATTGTGAACTTCTACTACAGTACCAAGCAAGGTAAGGGGAAAGTAATCGTCGGGGGCTACGACCAAAGCAAAGTGGGCTCCGAATGAAGCGTCCACTCCGACCCGGGTACTTTCAGGGTACCTGTGACCAATGTCACCACCAGCGGCGTCACTACCCTGATTTCGGCGACTACCCCATTGTTGCTGACACTGGAGCCGGCCATTGCCGTCTTCCCCAAGCGACCATAGAACCCATCGCTGCCATGTACACCAATGTGAGAAGAAACGGACCTGCCTTTGAGGTTGATTGTAATGTTCCCGATAGTCTGTTTCAGCTTGGCTTTGGCGATTTGATCTTAAACATTCCGTTGAAGGACTTCCTCATGCCTCACGATGCAAACGCCAAAACTTGTGAAATAGGGGCGATTGTGGCCGAGAAAGCGGGCAACAGTACCCTTATTGGCGGTGCCATCCTCAACCATGTGATCTCCATCTTTGACCACGATAATAAGTTGGTGTAAGTGGCCAACTATAAGGAGACCGAGGAAGAGGACATCGTCAAACCTGAGTAAATGTTAACTTGAAAGATGTCAATAGTTGAAAATACAATACACACAAACTCCATCGTAGCTAAAGTAGACAATTGGATGAGTACATGCTGTGCTTATGTCGGTGATTTCCAATGAGATAACTAACGGATGCTGCTCAGTAAGGATTTGCAACTATATCCACCCTGGGTTTTCGAGAATCAGACACGCGAAACATGTAGATGAATACTGTGTCGACGCTTCCAACAACCTTAAAACCTGCGTAATAACCAAGGGAACCCTCGTAGCTACTACACTTGGTGATTAGTTGCGAATTCAACGGGGTCAAATAAGTGCAACTGGGTATAGTCATCGACCACCACGGTTTGCTCGACGACCATGTGATACAACGGCGCGTCCCAATAGTACGTGTGACCATGCCAGGTCCGATACCACTCCATATACTCAATCCACACGTTATTGGTGCGAATAAAGTATAACTTGAATAGAAAAGCATAAGCCGCTACCAAGTTTAGCCAACTGAGAGCAAGTGAGTGTTGGGCATACACGAGATCCCACATTTCCATCTTCATCGTCACGAAATAGTGGTAATAGTAATGAGGATTTTCCGATAAGGTAGTCCGGTACACGTGGGGCTCAAAGCTGCTGAATGCATATCTGATTGTACTTAGGTCGTTCTCCGATCCTAGCTCAGTGGCATGGCCATCAATGTACTCTACTATGCGAGCGAGAAATGGGAGTGTCAGGGTGTGGTTCTCGTCAAAGGTGGGGAGCCTATATGCAAACGGCAGTCCCTGCAAAAGTGGAAGCAACACATTGTTTGTCCTGAGGTAGCGGATACTGTATGAAATGAAATCGTGACCGCCTCTAGTGAAATCGACAAGAGGGCACGTGCCTGCTGGTTTACATCCCAATATTGAGAGCAAAAACAATAGTGCCACCATGAGTATCTTCGCCTCGGTCTGCGTAATCGTATGGTCAAGCACTTTCCCCATCAACCGCGTGGTTTCTTGGAGCAAGTATTGGTACAGGTTTACCGCCAAGTTGTAGATTTTCGCAATTGACAATTCCAGGCCGTCGTCAACGGGGGCATCGTACATGATGTACTGGTGGTTATGACGGCTCAAAATGATCATTCCCAGAAACGCGTAGAGGCCCAGACGGATAGAGTCCAGCGAGCCATATAATGCCGCTCTTCGTTCACTCCAGATATCCATTCGCGGCGAGTTACCGCTGGCGGCGTGGTGACTCATCCCCCACTCCATTAAGCTCCGGACAAGCGTAATCTCGATCGACGACATCGCCCGCTTGCTAGGGAGGAGGGCATGGATCTCCGTCCACAAAATGGAGCGGGGTATATCAGCGAGACTAGACACGAGCAGCGAGAGGAGTGCCTTCTCTTGATCGGACAAATCGACCCCTGGATGGCCGTCATTGCTAGTTTTCACGAGTTCAAGCAGATTTGAAGTATCTTGGGGTATTTGTCCATTTGGTAGTTGACCATCTTCCCATATATCCAGAATCTCCGACAATAAGGGTTCAAGTGGCTGTTGGCCTTCAGAAGGTTCAACTGGAGGATATTTCAGAGAGTTTTGGGCGGTCTCGTTGCGGGCAGGCGTCCACCGTAGCGCAGTTGACGTCGACGTTAGGTATACACACTCGACGTTGCGGGAAGCACAGTACTCACAAGGATGCTGGAAGTCACACTGGCGTTAGTCACATAAACAAGCTCATTTGGTCAGTTTTCTTTCCACTTACTTTGATTCGTAGCCGGCGGCAGCTCTCACATTTGGGCAAGGTGGGGCGCACCATGGCGCGTCAGGAACCATACAACATTGAAGGGGTGGTAGTCTACAGGTTTGCTAAAAATTGAAATTTCATGGAAAAGTAAGTTTGAGGAAGTTTGATCAATGGTTACGCTTTTGTGGTTGATTTGACTTGAGGTCGATGCTGTCGTTAGGTGTCATACCAAGGTGGTACACGTGTGGGGTCGTTTAAATGTACTCCTCACGGAGTCATATTATTTTTGTCTGAGTCAGTCGTTTCTCTATTGTTGAACACAATAATCAATCCAACACAGTTTCCAGCCTCAGGAGGATTGACTCGGGACCACCAGGTGCAAGTGGGCGCCACATACGCAATAGGGGTGTCATAGACAATGGCCACTAGCAAGGGGTTATTTGCTACCAAACAGACGCTTGCCACATTGGAATTAGTCCTAGCATAGTCCGTGCATTAAACGGTCGTTCTCGAAACCTTCGTATACACCGGTTGGTGTATAATTTATGTGACAATGAAATCAAGGTGCCAATTTCAAAATCGGATATGAAAGCAGGGAATGGGGATACAAAGATTTCACTTTATCCTGTTGAATTGACGTCTCGGTTGAAATTACATGTACTAAACCAAGGGAAGGTGACCCGCTTTGTGCTATTGCAACCACCACTTTGTGAAGCTTTTGGCCTGGGCCCTCCATTGTCTATGACGCAGGGTGGGTTGAACTTGACTCTGAGAATCGGGGATTTTCGGGCTATATAATGGCCACCGAACATGAACCATTATTTCAACAATCATGATGTGGTTACTGCTTATTGCGGTAGCGTCGGCGTTGGTGGTTCCTGCCGAACCCCTCGACAAGAGACACCCTGAGGGGATCGTCACCGGCGATGTCAGTATTTCCGACCAGTTTTATTACCATATGCAAGTGAAGGTTGGCTCTCAAGGACACTCGCTTAACCCCATCCCCGACACCGGTTCCCACGAGTCGTGGTTCCCCAATTACGACGACTGGGCGTCCCAATCGACATCGCTCAAGAACCTTACCCTGCCATTTACGGCAGGCTACGTTTCCTCCTCCTACAGTGGGTACTGGGTCACCGACTCGGTCACTTTGGCTGATGGCACCACTGACGGTCTCCAATTTGGCGTCGTCGGGAAGGCAGGAAGCATCTTCGAACAGGGTATGATCGGCCTTTCACGGTGGTCGGGAGGTGACCACGACACGTTTCCGTACCACTTGAAGAACACGGGGGTCATCGATCGCGGGGTGGCCTCGCTATACTACTCCACCGATAAGCAGAAGGGGAAGTTTATTTTTGGTGGCTACGACCAAGCGAAGGTGGCGTCAGCCTGGAGTACTCACTCTGACCCGACAACGTTCAAAGTGCCCATCACAAACGTCACCACCAACGGCGTAACCCATTACCCTGACTTTGGCGACTTCCCCATCGTTGTGGATACTGGTGCTGGCACTTCGTGGATTCCTGAGGCGATCATCGACCCGATTGCGCAGTTGTACAAGAACCCTCAACGGTCAGGATCCATCTATACGGTGAGTTGTGACATTCCTGACACCCTGTTCCAGCTTGGGTTTGGTGATTTGATCTTGGATATCCCGCTCAAGGACTTTGTCAGGCTTCACAAGGAAGGGGACACTTCGTGTATCTTGGCTGCTCTTGCCTCTGAAAGAACCAGCAGTAACATCACTCTCATTGGCGGGGCAATTCTCAACCAGGTGGTGACGCTTTTCGATTACGATAACGGCGTGATCTCAGTGGCTAACTATAAGGAAACCGATGAAGAAAACATCGTTATTCCAAAATAAACTACGATATTATGTTTTGAAATAAAAATCTAGCAATAAAATAAGGTATATCAATCATTTATGGTGTAATCGGACAAATAGAATCAGGATGAGAGGCCAAAAGACGGAAAACCTACACTTGGTCCGCTATCTCGTAAAAGTACTGAACCCACAAAAACCCGTAGAGGTCCCTTGGCCCAGTTGGTTAAGGCGTGGTGCTAATAACGCCAAGATCAGCGGTTCGATCCCGCTAGGGACCATTCTTTTTGCACCACACACATTTGAACTAGCTATACGTTGATACCATACCATTCAAATCACTAATAGCTGCCATTTTCTTGTAGTAGTCTTAGCGGTCGGAGTTTGGTGATGGTCTCATATATCCGCTATATACAGTCCGCTACCCTCCCCACACTTTCGCACCTTATATAAATTACAACTGTCTCCCCTCACCAACCCTCACCAATTATCCACCAATATGTCTGCCAAGTCCTGCGCCCAGTGTCTCTTCTGCAAGATCATCAAAGGCGAGATCCCGTCGCTGAAGCTCATCGAGACGCCATTGACCTACTCGTTCCTCGACATCATGCCCACGGCCGAGGCCCACTGCCTCATTATCCCCAAGTACCACGGGGCCAAATTGCACAACATCCCCGACGAGTACTTGGCTGACCTTTTGCCTGTGGTCAAGAAATTGACGAAAGTGGTGGGTTTAGACGATAACGATACCCCGGAAGGCACTGGCTACAACGTGTTGCAAAACAACGGCAGAATTGCCCACCAACAAGTGGACCACGTGCACTTCCACTTAATTCCTAAGGTGGATGATGAAACCGGGTTGGGCGTCGGCTGGCCCGCCCAGGAAACCGACTTTGACAAGTTGGGCCAGGTGCACAAGAAGTTATTGGCGAGAATCGAGGCGTTGGAATTGGAAAACAAGTTGTAAGCAACTTACAACTTAGCCTTAAGCCAATGATGCAAATTAAGTTTATGCCAGTTAACGACCGAAAGAAATGGCAAGTATTGGAGGGAGAGACGCCATAGAGGGAGAGATGCCATTGAGGGAGAAATGTCATGGTGTTTGATTGGAGTGATGAAGAACTGCCTCGTGGGTATGTTTATTAATGTAACGGGAGGGGATAAAGTGTATGATGCAATCTAGAATACGGCACCAAAGAACCCTCCCACGTAGCCCATGATGTAGCTCGAGAAGAAGGTGATTGCCTGGGCGCCAAAGGGGAAGTAGCTCACCACGTAGTACACCACCGCCACCAACTCGATGGCACTGGATATGATCACTAGCACCGTCAGTTTTAGCACTAGCGCTGACCATACCGTCATGACCACCAGGCCAAAATAGATGGCGGTAAACGGTATTCTCAGCGCCGAAAGCAAGTGTTTGGTATAGGCCACGGGACCTGATAACACGCCAAACAGTACGATAAATAGTAACGACCCCATCGTCCACAACATGGCGAATTTCGTCGGCCGTAGCGCAAGCACGGGGAACATGAACACGCAGAGGACGAAACAGAGGGTCAGGGCGGCGAGACAGGCGCCGAACCCTATGAGCCGGTCGACGCGGCCAAGCTGAAACCACCCGGGCTCCTCAGGCTGGGTCTGGCCCAGATACAGCGGCAACTGAGTGTATAAGTTGCCCACCCCCAGTCGCACGTAATCGGTCCATTCTGCGAGCACTGGTTGCGGTCCCGATGTGGTATTGGTGGCAGCAGCACTCAGCCGCTGGCTCCAGTTGGCAAACAGCTGGCGGAAGTTGGTTTCCGCGGACATAGGCGTAGCCTTTAAGTGTGAGATATGAGAATTGGTGGGGAGTGCGGAGTTGCTGGTTGAGAGCCCGAATTCGTGATCATCACCCCCCAGTGGTAAGGAAGCCTTACTTAGCAACCACCACCTCGAAATATAAACAACGAGTGATACGGCCGTTTTACTAATTGAGTTCAAAACAATTTTGGAATTGTGAGCAATTTTGTTTGCCGTTTTCACATGACAATTGTCCTACGGGTAACACCGCGTGGTTCGTACGGTTGGTGGTTTTCATAGTACGAATAAACAGCCCCTCTCAAATTCAATGAAGTAGACTACCAGTTTCAAACCTAGTATTAAACAGTTTGGTTCAGAATTCAAATAATTAGTATATGTCAATGACTTATTTAAAGAATACGTGTGTTCACTATTTATAGCCATCATCACATCCTTCAAACAAAACACTCCACCCAATTCATTGAAAAATACCAACAACAACAACAAAAAAAAAACAATGCTTCATCGCCACACTTCTAACGTATTTCAAATGTATAACTCAAAGTCTATCAAATGCTATAATGTTAATGTGGCGTCTCCGCAATTGATCCTGCACTTGCCTCCACCCGCGGTCCTGCACCTGGGTCCAGCGAAAAAATGCCCGCACACCTCTACCCCGCACTCGCCCAAACCCTCGACCAAATACACCCCCACCCGTTTGCTTAGCCCCCTCCCCCTCCCACCACTGCCCGCGCCACACCCGTCAGCCATGGAGGAGTTTCTTAGAGACAGTCCGCGGGACGGCCACGACTTCCAGTTGCACGTGCAGGAGTTCCTGCCCCACGACGCTGCGTCGCCACCCTACCAGGACCCGTTGTTTGACTTTGACACCACCGCCACCGCCGCCGCGGAGCCGTTTACTCAAGAATTTGACCCCGAGCCTCACAATTTGGACGAATTGATCCTGCCCAACCACTTGTACCAGACGATTCTGCCCCAGCAGGCGGTGCTGGCGGCGCCGGCCAACTTGAGCCTGCCCCAGTACTTTCTGCCCCCCGCGAAAACCCACGTGCCCCAAATGGGGTCAATGGGGTCAATGGGGTCGATGCAACCCCAACCAAATTATAACCAGTACAATCAGCCGCCGCAGCCGCAGGAAATGACGCCGTCGGCGACGATCCCCATCAATAACCCCATGGCCTACCAGCAGATGCACTCGTTCAACCTGATCCTGGAGACCCAGCTGTTCCTGCCGGGAGGGCTGTACTTGCTGCCCCAGACGATTATCAGCCCCAACCTCGATAATTTGGACCATTTGAGGCTGCCGACGTTCGCGCTGCCCATCAGAATGCTGACGCTGGTGAAACAGGAACCGTTGCTCAGTCCACCGCCGAGCTCGCTGATGGCGTTGCTGCTGCTGGTACCGTTGCTGGGCCCCGATCCGGTTTCCACTGCCGATACTCGCCTGCTTTCAAAGGAAGAGAAAATGAAACGGCGGCGTGAGTTTCATAATGCCGTCGAACGCCGTCGGCGTGACTTGATTAAGGAGAAAATTAAAGAGTTGGGAGTATTGGTGCCGCCGCTGATGCTCTCGCCGCAATTGTGTGCGATGCAAGTGCTCTCGCAACTGACAAACCCCGAGATCACCGAGATGGTGCTGCAAGCGAAAGTTAAGGAAACTAAGCCAAATAAGGCGACGATATTGAACAAGCTGGTCGAATACATCAACCACTTGAAGTACGTGTTGGAACAGCAGGAGCGCGAGCGGGCCCGGCTCCAGCAACAGATCGACGCCCTCCTGCAAGGGCAGGACTATACCCAGTTCAACCCCGACGAGTTCTTTTCCGACATGGTGCTGAGCCAGTTTTCTGATACTACTGGCGATATCGAACGGTTTTTTTAATTCTTGCTTATAGACCATTTTCCGCCTCCTTTTTTCTTTTGTTTCTTCTTGGGTGTATTACTACTACTTATTATTGTCCCCGGGGCCGCCAATAGAATGAATGATAATCATGAATCTAATGCTAAACGAAATGAAATTATCAAGACTGAATTCTATCAGTTCTTTATATGGAACGATGACGTAATTGAATTGTCAGAGCGACAACCACTTGTAAGTTCGTCTCGTCAATCTCAGTTTTGAGGAGATGACACTGCATTCGTTTGCTTTACCGTTCACTCAAATTACAATCTCTTGTGTTCGTCAATGCATTTGTTATCAGCAGTATTTAGCCATTGTGACCCATGACACCAGTAATCTCTAATATAAAGCCAAATTGCCTTCAGATTGTTAGTTCCTAAAATACATGATATTCACGAATACAACGTCTATACGATGATTAACACTTTTGAGTCATCAACGGCCAGCGCTTCAAGCAGACGGAAAACAGATAGACCCCTCTAACGTTAGCCTTATTCACTAAGGGGTTTTCTAAGGCAATGGTTGATATTGTCAAAGTAAGTATCAATTTGAAGATCATATTGTTCCCGAATTTATCTTCTGAGACCGATATTACACCCGTCCAAGAGAGACATGGTCAAGTGGGTATCAAGTCTCACTCGACCATCATTATAGTCGTCAATGTGGCGGAACATTTGTAAGAGTCTCACGGTCACGTAAGACGCTTCAGTAAGAGCAAATTGCTGTCCCAAACAGATCCGGGGCCCACCGTTAAACGGTAAATAGGCCCACCCCAATTTACGAGTCTCAGGTTCAAACCACCGCTCGGGACGGAACTCTTCAGCATCCTCACCGTAGTATTTAGGGTCACGGTGCATCGAGTATACTTGGTACAGTACCAGTGATCCTTTGGGGACGAACACGGGTTTATCACCATTAACTCCACCGCCTCGGGGGAGGGTAGTATCCTCTTCCACGCGACGACTATTACTGGGGACAGAAGGGTAAAGTCTCAACGTCTCGTTGATCACTGCCTTCAAGTATTCGCATTGTTTCAACAGTTCAAAGGTGATATCGTCGACGTGAGCGTCTTCGCCTTCACCAAATACTGAGACCACTTCGTCTCTAAGCTTAGCAAACACCTTAGGATAACGAGCAAGCTCATGGAAAAGAAACAGAAGCAAGCCGGCAGTGGTGTCTCTACCGGCCAAAAGGATATTAAGAGCCTGATCTCTAAGCACTTGCGGGTCCCGAGTGTGTTTAGCCAACTCGTACAAAAACGTATAGTTACCCAGGGAATTCTTTTCCAATTCTTCCGGCAGCAACTTGAGGACGCTGTTGACGTAAAAGTCGGTAAACTGGTGGATTTGGCGGCTCAGTTCGGTAAATTCCGATGGTTTACATAACCAAAACAATTTGTTTAACCCGGCTCTTTTAGCGAGCACTCGTTGCAGGTAGCCAAACAGGTCGGCGAAGCGGTCTCTCCCAGGGACATCAAGGGGAGGCGTAGCTCCGATTTTAGCTTCTTGTAACAGCCCCACCGTTTGGCCAAAGAGGAATTCGGTAGCGGCATCAAGCGTCAATTTAAAGAAGAGTTCCTGGATATCGATTTCGCCACCATCAGCCAAATCAATGTGGCGAGCGAGCATTTGCACGTGAGGCTCCAACAGGCGAACGTGGGCCACTTGTTCTCTGGCAAACTGAGGGCGTAGCATCGTTCTCAGGTGTTTCCACCCGTTACCGTCTAGCGTGAAAATACCGTCACCAAGCAACGGGAAGAACTGAGCGTGACGTAATCCCAATGAGAACTGAGGAAATTGAGTCAGGAGAATGGCCTTGATGTTTTCTGGGTCGCGGGTGACGATAATATCGGAACCGGCCACGGGGAGCTTAATCGTCGAACTGCCATATTTTTGGTAGCGGGCGAGGGCGTGGCGAGGAAGACGGCCTTCCTTAATCGCCTGAGTCACTTTAAACATGTTTTGAAAGCCTAGGGCGTGGTCATTGGCGTAGGCTCGGGGGTCAGCCGCCTGAGGGAACCGGCGCCGGCGCCGGGCCATATTGAGCCTGGTGATGACGACATAGGCGACAATGAGTGTCGCAAGCACTGCCAAAACGTTCATAGCACAAAAACACAACAAATAGGAGGATATTTGGGATATGGGCGTGGGGATATATAGGTGTATTTGTGGGTGCGGGGCGAGGGACGTATCGTATCCTTTTTGGAGAGACGAGGCGCGGTGACGTCATCGGGTACGTGGCCACCAGCGAACAGTATAAAAAAAAGAATAAGGTTTACGCGGAAGCTGAGATTGGCTGATAGTAAAGCTGAAACACTTTGAACTCAGCTGGCAACTTCGCTCTAGATGGTCATTGTCAGTGTCGTCTGGGGCGATGAGCATCGTGACACAATCGCGGATTGAGGCATTCGTGGCGGGGTAGGTAGGGTCGCCTCGCCAGGGTTCGATTCCCGGCAATGGAAATTTTCACATGGAAATTTGGTAATCGCCGAATGAATATCGCCACTCGTACTCGTACTCGTATAAAGCTTAAGTGTACTGATAAGCTCTCAGTTCAGACTATCAATTAGCAACTGATGATTTGTACTCCACTCAGTCAACACAAATTATAGGAGAATTGACTGACGATGGCAAAATACCAGTTAATCTGTATTGATCGCGAGCAGATTGATAATGCTTGGATTGCGGTTAGAATCGGCGCTGAGGCTCGTGTTTGGTGCATTGGGGTCGTAGTGTACAACCACAGTACCACGTCGTAAAGTCCCGGAGAAGGGACGACACCAGATCGTAGTACCTTATCCATTAAACATTCATCATCGTTGGTGCAGCTGAGACAAACTCCTAAATCACGGGGTATGACATTTATCTCGGCGTCTGCTTTATTTCCTCGATGTCCACCAGCCGAGGTTCTTCAAGCATTAAAATACATCTGTTTTAAAATGTGAATATTGGATCATATTTATGGTACGTCCTCGGTCATGTGGCTGTGGTGTACGCTGTAAATGTGCCCTGTACAACCTGGGTGGCTAGTGCATTTTTATTATCCTAGACCTAAGATGGGCCAATTCTTCGACTACATCTATAATTGCCCATATGGGAACCGTTTTCAGATCTTCGAAAAAATCATCTCACCGTACGACTAAACGCTTGCTTTCTCAAAGCTACCCTAAATGCCGTGTGACGAATTGACCATTTGCCGGTGCCATTACGTAAAAAACGCCGTTGGCCCTGGCCTTGCTGCCGTTTTACGTAACCGTTGGATTTGTGGCTCACGGTGGATTGGCGCAAACAGGGCCTTCTGTGGCTCTGTAGGCCCTTGCCGTTGGATCGGGGTGCCGCAGACGGCCTGCATCGGCCATTATCCTAATTTAGTCATCGCCGCGGGTCCATCACGTGGGTCGACCCTCGAGCAAACGGCGACGCCACGTTTGTGGCCACAAGCCTCACAGATCCGAGCTGTCCGCTTTGTCCCACAAAATCCCCTCCTCGGTGGACTGCGGTGCATTCCGATGACCAGATATCGGAGGCCTAGTTGGAGAATTTCACACGATTGCTCATCGTCACGAGAAAATGAAAAAAAGGGGCATGTATGCACTCGGTAAAATCGTGCCATCTCGTTTATCCTTCATGAGGGGTGGGCCAGTTTCTTGGTGATTAGCCTATCTTGTCCATCAGAGGTCACAAGCGTCTGAGCCATGGCCGGAAGCGGCGGGAGTACTACCTTCGATGTCCTTTCGGTGACAAGTCCACAGAGGCATGAGAACACCACACAATACGCCGGTGACAAATACGCGATTACATTAGCGAATGTCTGTTGGGAGATCATCGTCGACGCAAGAAAAACAATGCAAATGGCCACAAGCGGCTAAAGTAGGCGCGGGATGCGTCCTGCACCATGCCTGTACCCGGTACGCATGTCGCCTGTGATATAATGGGAATCGACGCGTCGGCATGGAACGGAGCCCCACGCGTCGCCGTGTCGTATATATGCCCCCGGCGCCCCTTAGACCCCCTTTCCCCAGGTCGAAGATAATCGTAGCCTAATCAAGGTAAAAAACACGATTTTTCTTTTTGCTAAGATAATGAAGCCACTTACGGAGATAGTCGCGTAGTTTAAAGGGGACAATAGTCAACAAAAACGTGGGGTAGCTGATCCCCAAAAGCCTTGATCCCGGCTAGGGGGCGTACCAGGTGACGTCAACCTTGTCGCCTGGCTTAATCGCGGCGGCCTTGATAATTTTTGGGAGATCAGGGACCATATCGAACCCATTGTCATCGACGACGACATGGGTAGGCGTCAGAACCACCACCGCTTTCGTGGGTTTATTAGTCGTGAGTTTGATGATGCCGTCCTCGACCTTGGTGGTGACTTTAATCCCTGAAAAATGGAGGTACTTTAACGGTTGCGGCCAGTCAAAGCTACTGGCAAGTTCCGTACTACTTTGGAATAATTGCAAATGAACCAATACTGAATCGGAAGGTAACTTGTACTCAGTGAGCTCGGTCGCCTGGTTGGGTAAAAGCGTCACTTTAAACTTCTTTGAATCGACGACTTTACCTGAATTGATATCAAGACTTTGAATGACCAAATTTGCCTTTTTGATCGACACTGAAGTCATGTTGACTCCCCATATTTCACAATTACTCCCATCGTCTCCTCTTAAACTTCCAAGGGTAATTGGCTGACACTCTCGCTTGATGGCATAATAAGCCAATTTCGGTATTCCCTTGAAATCAATAATCAGCCACAGCGTTGCTGGCCAACAATCGTTTAGTTGCCACACCAAGCCTCCACCACAGCTACGGTGACGCCAGCGCCGCCTCCAATGCTTAAACGCCATTCCCAAGCACTCTGCTTGCATTAGTTGTGTAGCAAATACCCACAGTGCCATATCGAGACAATCCACCCGTAGATTCTCAAAGACGTAGCGACTAAGCCGACTTACAAAGCCAAACGCCTTATTGTGATGTTCCACGAGCCTCAGCTGAGGGTACCATTGGCGTTTATCAGTGATACAATCTTGTAAAGTATTAGCGGAGGGGAGGGCTTCCATACCGAATTCGGAGACAAACCGGCCGCCAAGCTTATACCAGTGTTGGTACGGTTCCTGAGTACCATGCCACACGTTCCACTGGTGTAGATCTCCTCGTAGAGGGTCGCTTGTGGGGTAATCTCCACTCCATGGCGAACCCGGATGATAGGGGACAGTAGGCAAATACTTAGCCATTTGCTGAGGAAATACAACTTCATATAATTGACGAGCAGGGAAATTTGTATTGGTATAGTCTCCTGAGTGATTGTGGCGGTCCCACTCCAATTTGAATTGTTCTGCGATCTGGTAGTCTTCGTTGTTACCAGCAAACACGAGCAAACACGGATGGTTTCGCATCCGTTTTAAGTTGCAAACAACTTCAGCAGTGACATTTTCAATAAACTCAGGGTAGGCTGGGTACTGGCCACAGGCAAAGGGGAAATCGTGCCACACCAAAATCCCCTGGCGATCGCACTCGCTGAGAAAGTAATCCGAAGCGTAGAGCCCACCTCCCCAGACCCGTAAGCAATTTTGACCGCCATTTTCTGCCAATTGTATGAGATTTTTGACTGTGTCGTCTGTCACTTTTGTGGGGGATGAGTGAGGGGGGATCCAATTTGCACCCTGGATGAAGATGGGCTTGCTGTTTACCTTGAAGTAGAATGATTCACCGTCTTCATCTGGTAATGGATCCTGAATGAGCTCCACTGTTCGTATCCCAAATTTGACCGTACGACTGATGCCGGTTCCAGGGATGGTGACAATCACCGTATAGAGCGATGCCAGTCCTGACCCTGACGGCCACCACAACTGAGGCAGACTTATATTAATCAGTTGCCTAGGTGCTGATGACCTTGAAAACACCACTGTGTCTCCATTTGGGTCCAATATCTCACACTGCCATTCCTTACAAATGACCAATTCCACCGTAATCGACACCTCCGCCGTGTTCTCAGTGATACTATCAGTGGAAACATATACATCACTAATCGCCTGATTGTACGCTTCGTAGCGTATTGGCTTATAAGGCCCGCACAGAATGAGCCTTGGCCCCCAGTCCCATCCGTACTGGTACTGTGCTTTCCTCACGTATAGCCGCAGCAGCTCGCCATTGGAGAATTTACCAATAAAGTGTTCCTTTTCCAATTGTTTCCCCTTAAGTAGTGCCTGATGGAACACGATCCGAAGCGAATTTGTCCCACTGATCAATATGTCGGGTGTAAGGGGTATGATGTAAGTAATAAACATGTTTTCTGTCGTGGCCACCTTAGTGTCATTGACGTAGATGGTAGTGAACGTATCAAGCCCTTCACATATCAATTGGTGGTACTGTAAGGAGATATCGGTCACGGTGAAGGTGGCAGCGTACTCCCACTCTCGGTCGGCAACCCATTGTACATGGAGCTCATTATCGTCGATAAACGGGTCGGGTATTTCTCGTTGATGAATCAAATCAGGGTAGATCTCGGCTACTTCTCCCCCGAGACTCGCGTGCCATTTGGTAGACCCCAATTCGCGGAAGCGCCAGCCACTGACGGTGGTCATTTAGATAAGGCATCGAAGGGCGCGCACGCACCGCACCTTAAGCGACTGCGAGAGAGTACGCCGCGTCAGCAGACCAAGCGTACTGAGTTCAATGAACAACCTCTACTGGGAATAAATTGACCATGCCGAATTAATGATGCCCTTTCAAAGTTGAAAAACTTGAAGATTACCAAGACATAAATCGCAGCATTGTTATAGCATTGACATCAATATTAGTGAAAACCAATACCTAGACATTGAATGCTTTAGGATCTGTTGACGATGGATTTATCGGGGTGGTAATTGCATCGGACTCGTGTCCCGATTGGGGACTCTTCGCGGTCGTCGTCAAGCTGGTAGTGGTGGTAGTGAGGGCCGATCGCGGTGACAACGGCAACTGGTTTCAACCAACCACCAAAAACAACTAAATTAAATATAGGAAAATACGACCGTGTGAAATACAATGGAACCACAAAATCACCTCGTTTGTTTCGAATCAAATATGGTTCGTTCTTTGACTATGTCTGAACCTTAATTCCATAAACTATTGGTTCGCAGCCCTGGGTAAACAAAACAAAATCTGGTGGTGCGTGGCTTCCCCACCCCACTCAGCCCCACCACCCAACATTTCCCAGTACCCCCCCTCGATGACCCGCCTCAGTGAAAATTGAAAAAACCAAAAAAAGCTAAAAAAAAAAAAGACTATTCTAGCCCTGATACGTTTTAACGTTAAATATGACAACTCGATTTGCTCAATAGGAGGAAATTAATGTCGCTCGTTTGTGGTCTGTTTGAGTGTGCTCTGCGCCACCGGGCTGATGGGCCCATCTTCTTTCTTTTGGCTCTTATCTGTTGGTAGGTAGTAGTAGTAGTGGGAGGCAGGGCCCCATAACCCACCACCACTGTCTGCCGGGGCTGTCAACACCTTATCGCTGGCGCAGGTCGCCTTTCCCGTTGGCACCGCGTGTGTGTGTATGGAGGCGATAAGGTGTGCGGACATGTATCTCCGCGCATATACTACTAACTAGCGACGATCGCTGCCGCGCTACCATGTCCACCCCGCCGCCACCACGATACGGGGCCGCCGCACCGGCGTCGACGCCACTGCGGGCCGCCGCTAGCGGGCGGCGTGCATCAATCGCAGTGTCGCCTTAGTAAAAGTGGGGGGCAGCATCTCCCGCTCGTTTCAGCTTACGTTTCCAATACCGTGTGTCGCTGATGTAGTCGTTTTATGTTGTCGTCGTGCCTGCCGGCTTACGTGGGTTCGGGTCACACTACTCTCGCCACAGTGGACACAATATACGGTTCCGCGAACCCCTATCTGAGATTTTCGCCAGGAATTATTATTTCCGTGATAATCGCCCGAGCTGAGTCAAGACGCACGATGACTTAATTATACAAGAAAAAAAAAAGATGAGGAAGTCCGTCCACCGCGGTAACGCCAGACCAGCTCCAACCAGACCACAGTCGTACTAATATAATAATGACGATGTTGAAACCGAAGACACGCTTCAGAAGATGTTAGTGGGGTCACAACACCCCACTATTAACCGCCACACTCCCCCCCGCCACCGTTTCGAGGAATTGTCTCACAATCATCTCCCCCTCTTCTCCCTCGTTTGCTAATATAATGCTTGCTCATCAGGGTCGTGTTGGCAATTGTTATAATTATTTTTTAACTCTCTCACTAATACACACTGACTCCCACTCCGAGTCGCACTTTTTCGCGGCACCACGGTGCTCAACCTTTTCCCTGTTCTTTTCTTTTTTCGATGCTCCGAAGAAAATATTTTTATCTGCATTTGAGCTATTTGTAGCCCTGGCCTTTTACTGATCATGCACCTCCCCTCACCCCGAAAATTTATAAATTTATATAACCGCGCGCTGTCGCCCCCTCCCCCTTCGAGATATCGCCATCTAAACAACCACACCCACAACAACCCACCCCGTCGTCTCGGATATCCGTTTGCGGACCCCCCTTTGAAAAAGCCAACTCTTTCAATTCGAAACAAGGCTAAACTGCATGGTCTACACCGCCACCGAGATTGTTGTGAGGCCGCCACTGGCGCTGCCACTGGCGCTGCCACTGCCCTTGCCCATGGCGGCTTCAGCGCCAAAAGCGCCCCTGGCTCCATCCAAAGCCCAACCCAAATACCCTGCCATCACCACTACTAAGACTACCATGGCTTCGGAGTACACGTTACAGCCGCCGCTGCCCCTCATCCGCAAGAAGTCAGGTGATATCGTCAAGCTGCTGTTGAAGCTCTCGCTGTTGGCGCGCCTGGCGCTGACGCCGCACTTGCCCCAGCGCAAACTGGTCAAGTTTGCCGACCGTTTAACCAACGTCCGCATGTTCGACGGGCTGCAGCTGCCCCAGACGGTGCTGACGCCGTTGCACCTGCCCCAGCTGGAGTTTGACGTTGAATACATCGCCGGCGCCCACACCGCCGACTACTTTGGCCTGCCGTCGAGCGCTCCCCGACTGGCTCTGTTTGAATTCCAACTGGACTCCGACCTGGACGAAGATACTGCCGCCAAGTACGATATCGACTTCACTACGATGACACGCCCTCACCAGTACTTTTACCAGCAATTGGGCAACCCCAGTGGCGCCGGCGCCACCACTGCTACCACTGGCGCTCTGCGCGCCGCGGCGCCCGTCTACATGCACTCGGCGCAACTCAGCGCCGATAACCACTTTGTCGGCCTTGTTGACGTCGCCAATATCGCCTTTGAAAAGTTTATCGAGGTTAAAATGACCCTGGACAACTGGCGCACCACGTTACTGATCCAACTGACGTCTCCCTTGGTCTCTTACGTGAAGCCGCTTGGCGACGGGCTGCGCGACCAGTTCAAATTTACCATCCCCATCGACGGCTTGGTCAAAGGACAGCAGCTGGTGACGTTAGAATTGTGCTGCAAGTACGCCGCCGCCGGTAAAGTGTTCTGGGATAACAACCACGGCCAGAACTATACCGTGGTGCTTAAGCGCCAGCCGTCATCGCGCAAACTGTCGCTGTCACTGTCGCCGCAACGCAAGAAGATAGTCCCCGTGGTTGACGATGAACCCGTGGTCCCTATGGCTCCCAGACGCAAGCTGGAGTTCTCCAAATACAACTTTGACGTCCAGCGCCCCCCGTTAAAGCTGCTGCACTCGCTGCCGGACTTTTTCGCCGGTACTACTCCCACTACTCCTGGCGCCACCAATAAGCCGCGTTATTCGCGCCAGTACCGCGACAAACAGCTGGCGGAAGTGCCGCGCCTGGACGCGTTCGCCAAGTTGAGCTACACCGACTTGCTCGCCCAGTTCTGCTTCTCCGGAGGCGCCCTGGCACCAGCGCCGGCGCTGGCGCCGAAACTGGCGGCGAACGCCCCTACGACCACTAGCACCCCTACTACTGCTGGCTCCCCTACGACGAGCGCTAGCGCTGCCGGCGCCATCAAGGCGCCCACTCCCATCAAGGCGGTGTCGCCGCCTCACCCCCACACCACCACCACCACCACCACCATTGACCACCCGCCGCTGCCGCGCAAGCTCGCGCCGTGCCGTCCGCTGACGGCGGCGACGTTGCACGCGTTGGGCGACGAGATCCATATTTAGCATTTTCACCCGTTTTACGAATAGTGGAGACTAATACTAAGTCTCTCTCATTTTTTAACCACAATCAAGCACATTATGGTTTATTGCGATAGTTTGGCGTAGAAGAGAAACGCCTTGGGTTTTTTGTTTATATAGGGTTTATAGGATAATGATAATCTTGACACATTATGGTACAGGTTTTGAAACAGGCACTTCAGGCACTAGAGCCTGTCAGAGGTTTGACGCCGTGGTTGACGTCCGGTTTCGGCTCGACCGGGACCAAATGCCCCGTACATCTCCGCGCGGGACGCAAAGCCCGGTTACCTAATACGGTGGCATGGGCTGCTTAACCGGGGGAGGACGACGCGCGCGCGGAGTCCAATTTTAACCCGCTGCGCCGGCGCCGGAGGCGCCCCCCGAGTTAGCGCGTGGCGCCATTTTTTTTTGTGCGCACCGCGCAGCGCCACGCGCCCCCTTACGAGAGGGCAAATAGGGTCTAAAGTGGTCGCCGCGCGCACCATAGGGGGGCGTCGAGCATGGCGCCGAGCGTATGGCGCTCAGAGGCGCCGTGGCGATCGCGTTTTTCTTATGAGAATACGGTGGCGGCGATCGTTTAAGGTTTTCCGTGATAGCGGTGTAGCCGATTGCGGAATTAGGTTCCCCTTATAGTAAGTTCCGATTGGGTTCCATAAAAGGGTCCCTCTGGAACAAAGAAAGACTGGCTCGACTAAAGCTTAACCTAATCAAACAATCAGAGAACTGAAACAACAATTGAAACAAACCACAAGCGAAAGTCTGGGGTATTCGCTTCGATTAGTAAAGGCACATCAATAGCCGTTCCCTAAGTATCCGAATTGTGGAGACAAAGCAAGCAGTCTTAGTACCATTTTTTCTGGTTTTGGCGAATTGTACGGCACCACCTATTTTGCGTTTTGGTAGGCCCCTGGGACCGCTATTGTTCTCTGTTTTAGTGCGACGCGTAGGGCAAATTCGATGGTTATTAGGTGGAGTGAGGGGGGGGGGCTGGTCGCGGTGTATGGACTAAGGCAGGCGTGTGCATTTGGTCCACGGGCACATAATTTTAATGCAAGTACCATGTAGCAAGGGTAATTATAATGACTACCATCGCAGAAAGAGCGCAAAAAAAAAGGCGACTCGGTCCATGACTAAATTGCCTAAGAAAAAAAAATGGAATTCAAGGGGTAAAATATATGAGATGAGACCATAAGGGCATGACCTCATTAAAGCATTTTCAAAACATTATTTATCATATATATCCACACCTTTAGTTATATAGGGTCATGCTGGAGGCCGTCGGAGGATGGCCAGTGGAGCCCTGGTTGTGGCGAATGGAATACGAGTAGGGCGTCCTAGTATTTTCTTTTTTCGCGGGGCAACATTCCGATATGTTGTGAGCCCTGGACTTAAGATCCTCGACTCAAAGTGACCTTCCCCTAACCTTATCCCTCCCCACCCACGCCTGTCACTAAATTAACTTTAATTCTAAAAAAAAAAAACCCCCGGCAAACAAGGAAACACCAACATTTTGGCCTCAATTCTCTTATCATTACCATTTACATTATCTCGCTTACTATCGTTGTACATGACGTCATGTGAGCACTATAGCTGTACCGAAGACCCGCCCACCCACAGATACTACCTTGTACTTATTTACCCCACATTTTCCCAGGCTTCTTCCACCCCGGTATTCGTAACCAAACAATAGCAGTTTAGACACTTGATCAGGACCATAGAAATGACTAAGCTATGGTTTGAAGCCAAACTATAAGGAAAATAAAGTGTTTATTGTGTGGTGCGTGGGGACACCACGATTGCCCTCGTATAATCACGAGGCTAAAACCATCGTGGCTATTAACCTAGTTTCAGAGAAAAAGAGCTGACCATGGAAGATCGCAACAATTTTTACCAGTTGCTCGGAGGTAACCCAAATGGTTATTTCCGAGATTAAACTCGGCATACACGTCAACTGACGCGCGAGGCAAAAAGGTGGCTTGCGGCGAAATTCAGCAAACAAATCTGCTCGTTAACGCTCGTTAGAGTGATTTTATCCCTTAAATAAGGAAATCAAGAACTGGTGAAACACCCGTTTTGGGAGAGTCCCCCACAAAAAAGTCATTTGCTATTTTGTCAACACAGGCACGAGTGTTATCTCGTAATTGCTCGCCTCGAGCATCACGCAAATGGCCCGTTAGCGACAGGACGCCGTCATTGTCTTTGGTAATTAGTTCTTGGGCACGTACTTGTCGTCCCAGACTCTACCGATAAAATCGTACCACCGGGTCTGGTCTTCCGTCATCTCAATAACAGTACCATACATGCTATTGTCGCCACTGCCCAGCACTGAATAACCGCACCAGAGCCACGGCTTATACGAAATGCGGAGGCCAGCATTGGGGTAATTATCCTCATTATAGGCAAACATCACTTTCTCGCCGCCTCTTTCGATATCGTGGGGAGGGATTAAACCGTGAGTAATTTTAAACGGACGTTTTCCAGCCTCAATAAATTCCTCTAAATTCAAATCCTTATACCGTTCACGGTCAGTCCACATTTCCTCGGTCCAATCGCCTTTCATATTGGCTCCCTTAGCGTGGAACCCACCGTTAAACCAGAATAACTCCTTATTGATGAAATGAGCCACTTGCATGCCACACACTTCGACGATATCTTCGTGAGGGTGGGTTCTTTCGTCACCAGAAATTCGAGGACCAATCATCCCCGCCCGGTCTCCCGCCCAGCTATAGCTTTCGTCACCATTTAAAGTAGGGCCAAGCCAGAAGTATTCCTTTTCTCCGTGAGACCATTGAGTTAACGGGTTGGTTCGGAACCCCTGAGCCGTCATCAACATCAGCGAGAATTTGCGTTTCTTATCCACAAGCACCACGCCAGCTTCAAGCCTCTCGTTGTGGCCATATTTGTAATAACTGGTATTATAAGTGCGGTTGGTCCAGGGAGGAATATCAAAGGCAACTTGGTCCCACACCAGCGGTGCCAGCCGTTGTAAGTTGGGCATCACGTGTTTGTCTCTCACCACATTCGTCAGTCTGTCTAAAAAGAATAACGTGCCGGTTTCACCGTACCCCGGATGGTCGAACAATTTGTGTGGCTGTTGTACAAATACTGTATCACAATCTAAAAGCATCACCTCGGAAAATGTCAGGAATAATACGGCAAGCGTCTTACGCCCCCACCCGTTTAGCTGGTGTTCCAATTTAGGGTTTATCGAGGCGGTAGCATTGACAAATGATACTCTTTGTTGAGTGCCCTGGACATCACTAGTAGTGGCAAGATAGGCGATTAACTGGGTGGTATAGTTAGAAATCGGCTCGTAATTGACCACTTCGATGGGTAACGTGTTGTTAAGCACTCTGAGCACTCGGATAAGCCCCGCCAAGTCGTGCATGTGGCGGTCACCAAGAGTAATGACAATACCTCTCCCCTCGGTCTGGTTAAGCCAATGAGGCCAAAACGTTTCATCGGTTGGTACCGGAGGAAACTCCCTGACCACTTCTCGTTGCCAGTTCTCCACGTGGGGCACTTTCCCGGTGATCCACGGGTAGACGGTCTTTTCGAGTCCCCGCAGTGGCTTTTCCAGACTATAACCATCAAGATAGCATCGGTTATAGATCCGAGTGGCGGTAATCACTTCGGTGACATTATCAATCAGTTCAAAACTGGTAGGCAACGGCGCTAGTCTTTCAAAATAGGCTCGACACCGCGTCTCGGGGGAAAGCCGTTTGAACCGCTCAAGACTGCGTACCTGCTGATCTAGGCCTTTATAACCCGACGTATCATTGACTCCAGCCACGGGAGTGACCACCGGCGACAGATCCACGTCGCTGTGCCATCGGTTGGGCAGTGACGTCAGCAGAAGGAAACTGACCACCGCACAGAGCACCGCAAGCCAAATCATCAATAAAAAGCACAGACGGCTGTTTGAATCAGGAGTAGGAAGTAGCTGGATTGATAGCTGCCGGCTGGAGGCTGGTGGGGGTTATTTATGAAATGGTTGACTCGTCGGTGCATTTCGGTATTTCTGTGCAGGCACACGCATTGCTCCCCATACTACGTGTCGCGTATGCCGTTTGCCGTGGGAACACTCTATTAATAGGCGACCCCAAAAAGCCTGCAATTCACGAAAAAGAAGTTGAAGTAAATAAACAATACTTGGTGGTGGTCTATGGGTATACAGGTTGTATTAGTCTATACTGTGTGTCTCTGAAACGTGTCTTTCGGATGGTGTTTGGACCTGCATCTTTGTCGATCGTACGGGATCTTCTTGTGATGGGTGCTGATGAGGACACGTTAAGGTTTTCGCCAGGGTCCTGTTTTCCCAAAACGATCACATTTTCGCTATGAATAGAAATTGCGGCTATCCAGCAACAGGCCACGTGATCTGCGCGCCAAAATTTGGCCAGCGTTTTTCAATGCCACGGGCTCACAACTCTTCATTTTAAAGGTAGCCTACAGCGGCTTTTTCCAACCGGTTCATCACCGCCAATCCCCCATTTGACGTGTCAATAGCTTCAACAATCACTTCGTCCACCCCCTCGTCGTCCATCTGTCGCAAAAGAGCAAATAAACTGTGACTTATCGCCTCCGGTGTGGTGCCCATCGCATAGTTAGCAGCCCCCTCGATCTCCTGGAATGTTTGTGTGGAAAGCACTGCCACCTTCAAATCAGTATGGTCTTGCACATACTGTTTAGCCTTATCATAATCCTGAGTAAGCCACACTTTGGCCGTAGGACTATAGTGCTTATACTTCATCCCCGGAGTTCTCACCGCCTCGGTCTTTCCCGCAGTCTTTTTGGCGACAATCACTGACGGCCAGTACTGTTGGACTTGTTCAAGCAGTACCCCGCCTGGTCTTAATAATTGGGGAGGTTCCACAAGGCCATCGACCACTGTCAGTTCGAGACCAACACCACACGAGCCACCGTCAATTACAAGCGGAATGCGACCATCTAGGTCATGAACAACATGGCTAGCACGTGTAGGCAGCGGTCGGGTACTGGCATTGGCACTAGGGGCAGCGATAGGCGTATCACTTAACGCTATAAGGGCTCGAGCCACCGGGTGACTGGGCACTCGTACGGCAAACGTAGGCTGTCCTGCCGTCACTAGAGTGCTTACAGGACACCCAGGGAGCACGGGAAGCAAAATGGTCAACGGGCCCGGCCAGTATTTCGCCAATAACTCCTTATAACAATTGGGGATGGAATAGTCTGGGGGGAGGAGTTTCCGTTGAAGTTGTTCCACCAGAGCCACGTGAACAATCAACGGGTTATCGGCAGGTCGGTTTTTGGCGGCATAGATCGCTTTAACGGCGTCATCGCTGAGGGCATTGCCTCCGAGACCGTAAACGGTTTCCGTGGGGAACGCCACCACCTGGTTGGTGCGGATAAGTTCCGCTGCCTGGTTCAAATGCGACAACGTGGTAGCATCGGAAACCACCAACGGATTGAACGAGATCAGCTCGGGCCTGACTTTGGCCACCGTCGTCTTCATCGCTGCCTTGATCATCAGGCCGATGCGCTCGATGAGGTTTGGCGCGCTTTGTGCAGGACAATCACTCGGCGCATTAAGATAATCAATTACCATCATCCCCACACCAACCACAAATAATGAAAACACCTTGAATAATGGTGACAACTCTTTGGCTAAGAATTGGAAACCGACCCATGGTGAAATATTGATAGAGGGAACTGTTCATAAATTGAATTATGTCTATCAGTGCCCTGTATTGTGCCAATTACACCTTATACTTCTCTGACCGAGCTATGGTCCTATTGACACCAACATAACACCTGTTATGTTCAATTTCAACAGCTACTCTCTCATTAGAGTCAAGTCATTGCTGTTTGTGGAATCGCACTTGCCACTAGCTCACTCTCCGGATGCTGTGGAAGGAGCGGGAGCAGGCGGCGATTGAGAGGTTCCAGGTGCTTTCCCAAAGCGAAAGCATCGACCCCACCACCGCCGAGGGACGCCGCAAGCTTCGCCGCGCCGTGCGGTTGCAGTGGCGCCGCCATGACCGGCCCAACGGCGAACAGCGGTACCTCCTCACGGCGCCACCACTAGCCCGGCTCGAGCTGACCACCGACGACAATTCTGTCCCCGTGTTGACCCGAGAAATGATGCGGTTTGTCCTCAGCTACGCCGTCGACCACCGCTTCGAAATCCGCCACCTCGAGATCGAGGACGCGTTCAAATACGCCGAGCTTGACGTCGAGGCCTACGCTTACCTGGAGGCTAAGCCGGCGGGCATTATCCACCCGGTCGTGGCCGAAAACAAGCCGGTATCGCTTGCCAAAATCAACAAAGCGATCATGGGATGGGCTCAAGCCGTGCCTCTTTGGTATGCTTATTTCTACAAATCGCTCGAGAAGATTGGTCTTATCACCACCAAATACGCTAAGGGGGTGTATACCCACTTCGGTGAGGGTACTATCCAGTTGATCGTTGCCGTTAACAACGACCAGCTATTGGTGGCATCTAGAGACGATTCCAGCTATACCTGGTTCGTCGACCAGTTGAGACAGGCTACATTTGAGGTGGGCGAGTATGGCCGTCCCACGCGATTTATGAACATCGATTTTACCTATCCTAGCGACGGCGTCGTCCATCTTTGTGACCGCCCTCAAGTGGCGGCATTCATCAAGAAGTTTAACATTGATCCCTCGAGGGGACCTCGTCTCGAAGAACCGATACCGGCACAGTTCGATTGGTCTCGGTTCGATGATAAACAGAAATTGTGTGAGAACATGACTGCCAACCAGATCGCCAGGGGCAAAACGTGGATGGAGGTGAGGCTAAACGAGTTGGCAGAGATTTCCCACAGCACTCGTCACGACATCAACGAAGTGGTGGCCAAATTATTCTCGTTTTCAGACCACCCCCATCTCCTCATCCAGCGAATGGTGCAGCGGGTGATGCTCTTTGTGGCGCAAACCCCCGACCACGGCATGGATTTTAAACCACGAAAGCGACGGCTGAAGACGTCGCGCACCCTCACCTGCAAGTCGGGGACGTTTAACATCGCCGGCGTGGTGCTGGCCTCGGTGTACTCGGCGGGGAAGATGTGGTGGAAGTGCCTACTATACAACGAAACCAAACTGGAAATCGACAACCACCTCGATATACTTTCCGAAGCTGTGACGTGGGTGTTGGATACAGCAGCAGTATTGCGATTCTTCGAGTCCGGCAACGTCAAAGCTTCCCCCTCCAGCGAGGTCTCGATAAGATTGGGCAGTAACGAATTGGTTAGCGCATTGTATCATAAATGCTACACGCTGCCGGATCCTTCGTATATGGATACCTTCAATCAATTCTGCCGAGTAATTGAGACTTTCCACTGGCTCGTTTGTGACATTGGCGCACCATGAAGCTACTCTATTGGTTGCTGCTTCCTCCAGCTGTTCGTGAAAAACATTAGTCTATGAATGTTTGGCCTTTGGTGCTTCAGCTGCCACTCGCCTGAATTGATGGCCTTAAATTTGTGGCTCAGCGTCCCTTAACTAAACCCCGGCTCCCTTCAACGTTGAAGCGATTGTCGATAGAGGCATCAGTTGAAGATAATATTGATTTCGGCCAGCTAGACTATTTGTATCGTTTAGAAGTGTTACTGGCAAACGCTGTCTCCGTCTCAAAGGAGTATCGTTTAAGTCGAAGTTTGCGGTGGCTAACCATCTACGATCCTCAATTGACGCAGTAGAAATTGGGATGGCCCGTCGGTGTCATCTGATGTGAAAGTGTCGGGCGATGAATTGCGACGGAAATTGCGCATAAATCTTCACCTCAAAGATGTCGGGCTGGTACTTGATCGCTTAATATTTTCCCTTCAACTTCTTCTCTAAAATAGAAGCCCTCTGCTACTTGCTTTACCGTATTCTCTCATCCCTCGGCATCCGCTAACTACTACTTCCCCTACTCATTTTGCCAGTTTGTATTACTGGGACCCCCAAAACCCCACCACACGACAAATTTACCCGACCACTCAAAGTATTTACCCTGACACTAAGAATTTACCCGACCATCATAAACGACGCTCGCGGACACACCTGAAAGCCAAGTTGGACGGCTGCTGCCTGTTGGAAAAGATTGAATGCCATGTACCTTTTGTAAATTCTGACCAGTCCCATTTGAGGTTTGTTGGTTATTCCGAAGGTGGATTGGAAATTACAAGGTAAGGTTCAACAACACGAGTCGGTTATAGACTTGTCAATGACAAATATCGGCCAGCAGTTTACGTAAACACATCAAACTAGCAGCGTATCAATTGTCTGAGATATCTCGAGGCCGACAAGTGTCAGACAATTTACATTGCAATTACAATTGAGTCAACCTTAACGTTTACGGGTCCCACTCAACACTAAATAACTCCCTCCTTATGTCACATCATCAATCATCGCAATGAATATCGGGATCACAAACTTCAAAGTGAGGATCCACAGTTGTGGGAACAATAGCGTGAAGGGGGTGGTGGTGGTGTGTGGTGTTTTGTGCTGGTGATGCTAAAAATGGCAGTTGTGGGTGGCACATGGTAACAGGAATAGGGGAAATAATCACCGGAGGATCGATATTTCCCGCCTCAAATGATAAGGCAGCCCTGGTGATGGAACCGATGTGGCCGCGATGTCTGAAGTAAGCCAAGACATTTGCGAGCGTCAGGCCCCCTTACGCTCCGCATTTTGACATATACCGGTTGGAGTCAGACCCTGCTTCCCTCACCTCGGATCAGTAAGCTAATACGACACTAGTCGCTTTAATTGTCGTATATGATATCTAGTGCCACACGAGCGTGCGGAGGTCAGAGAACAATGGGTACCACTTTGGTACGGCTCCGACAGACGACACAAGCGCATCCCGCCACAGTTCACACCACAATGGGAGTAGGACGGAGTCTCCCACGTTTACCGCGATCGAAGTTGAATATAAAAAGCTATGATTCATCACTTTTGAAGTATTCAATTCTGCCATGGTTTCCATTGCTTACCCATTCTTAATCTCCCTTGCCGCTGCCTTGGTGGTGAGAGACCAGGCTCCCAAGCCGCTCTCGTTCACCTTGAACAAGAAGACTCACCCCAAGCCGTTGAAGCCCGCGCCTCTTGGTAATCCCTCCCCTAAGAACAGCAAGGTCAACGACGAAAACGTTAAGCTTTTCGCCAATGGCCCCTCATATTTGATCAATCTCGGTTTGATTGACGAAAACCAGCAGTTGCAATTGGTGTTGGACACCGGATCCGCGGACTTGTGGGTCGACGCCTCGAAGTTGAAGGACACTGCTGGTTTCACCAAGAACGGCGAGCCGTTTAGAATTGGTTACGGCGACCACCTGACGGTGCAAGGTGACTTTGGCACCTCGTCAGTGTGGCTTGACAACGGCGTTGAAGTCAAGGACTTGCAATGGGCTTTGGGCACCGATGTCGAGTTGACTGATGGCATCCAAAACGGCATTTTGGGTGTGGGCAAGGTGCAGAACGAGGCCCCCTACCGCCAAAGGGGCCAGTCCTACGCTAACTTCCCTCAGAAATTGAAGGACGAAGGCTACACCAACTCCAACGGCTACTCGTACTACTTGAACCAGCCTGATAAACCTACTGGTACCATCACCTTTGGTGGCCGTGATCTTGCCAAAGTCAAAGGACCAGTGGCCACCATCACCCCTTCCACCACTGACGAAAATGCTCCCTATGATGGCATTGTCGTTTCCAAGTTGTCGGCCTCTAACGGGGACTCGTTTGGCTCGTTTGGCGGGATCTTGGACACCGGTACCACTTTAACTTACCTCCCCTACGACGCCATCAACGCGTTGAATATCCCTGGCCTCACCTACGACGCCGACGCCCAGTGGTACTACATCACCCCGAACCAGCCCCTGGACCAGTACGTGTCGTACTGGTTCGACGACGCCGAAATCAAGGTGCCGTTGGCCGACTTGGTGTTCAAGGAGTACGACGACAACGACCAACCCACGGGCAAGTACTGGTTTGGTATCCAGGGCACCCCTGACGAGAACTCGGCTACTTTGGGTGACACCTTCTTGAGAAGTGCTTATGTTACCGTCAACCACGACACCAACCAGGTGTTGATCTCCGCCGTCAACTACACCGACAAGGAGAACATCGTTGGCCTTTAGATTAGGAGTGTAAGGAGTATATTTAGTTTTTAATATGGCCCCTTTTTAGATGAATCGCAAGCAATTCCGTATGATATCACAAACACCTTAGATCTCTTTATAAAATCTTCTCAAATGTGTATAGTTAGGGAGTTAACCTCGACTTTTGCAACTAATAATCCTCTACCTCATTGCAACGTTGCAGTGATTACCAGGGGATGAGAATATATACCGTTGGTGGCTACGCATTTGCGAAATACAATTGATTTACTATAAATATCATCACGTCATCGTCACGTCCAACCTGTCGAACACCAGCATCGTCAAGTGGGTGGCCTTCTTCGGCGGGTAGGTGGTGTCGACGCGGTGGAGCTTCGAGAACATCTGGATCAACCGCACGGTGACGTACAGCGCCTCGGTAAGGGCAAATTGTTGGCCCAAGCAGATCCGAGGACCGCCGTTGAACGGCAAGAACCCCCACCCCAACTTACGGGTCTCGGGCTCGAACCACCGTTCGGGTCTAAACTCGTACAGGTCCTTACCGTAGATCAGAGGCTCACGGTGCATGGCAAACACCGAGTAAAGCACCCCGGCTCCCTTGGGCACAAGGAGAGGCGACTGGCCATCGGGACCACCACCTTTAGGCAAAGTAGTGGTTTCCGTCGAGTAACGGATATTACGGGGCACCGAGGGATAAAGTCTTAACGCCTCGTTAATCACTGCCTTCAAGTATTCACACTGCTTCAACGATTCGAAGGTGATTTCGTCGACTCTGGCTTCCTCGCCGAGGCCGAAATAGGTCTCGATCTCTTCTCGTAAACGGTTCCACGTCGCCGGCGACCGCCCCAATTCCAAGAAAATGAACAGCAAAAGCCCCGCAGTGGTGTCACGACCGGCTAACAAGATGTTCAACAGCTGGTCACGCAACACTCGGGGGTCTCTGGTGTTTCTCGCCAACTCGTAGAGGAAGACATAGCCGCCCCGCGACTCCTTTTCAAGCTCTTCCGGCAGCATGTTGAGTGCCTTGTTGACGTAGTAGTCCGAGAACTCGTGGACGATCTTGTTACACTCCTTAAACTCCTTCGGGTTGATCATCCAGTAGAACAGCTGGAGCAACGCCCGGTTGCTGAGGTAGTTTTGCGAGGTGTTGAAGGCGTCGGCAAATTGACGCTTACCGGGGATGTTGTCCATCAGTTCCTTGGAGTAGCCCAACAGTTCATCCCTCAAAGATTCAACCGATTCACCAAATAAGAATTCCGTAGCCGAGTCGACCGTCAATCTGAAGAACAATTCCTGTAAATCAAACGGTTGACCCTTAGCCTTTCTAATGTGGTTGGCAAGCACTTGGACGTGAGGCTCCAACAGTTTGACGTGGGCCACTTGTTCTCTAGCGAATTGAGGTCTCAACATCGTTCTCAGGTGTTTCCACCCGTTACCATCAAGAGTGAAAATACCATCACCCAAGAGAGGAGCCAAGAACTCGTGGCGCTCACCCAAAGCGTACTTGTTAAAATTGGTAGCAAGCACCAGCTTAATATTCTCGGGGTCCTTAGTGACAATTAAAGTTCTTCCCAATACCTTCTGCGACATCGTAAGCTTGTTAACACCGTCTTTGTGGAACATCGATTCACCGTAGTCGACAGCATCACCGGTCTTCTTCGCCTGCATCAACGGGTACCACATGTAGAAGCCAAACACGCCGTCGGAGTCCTTATACTGGAAGTCCTTGGCGCCGTACTTGCGGCGCAAGTGCCACAACTGGATTTTCGACCCCACCACGTAGGCGACGAGCGCTCCTAAGAGGTATACCCACCACATGATTCTACAGATGTATTACAGGATTCTTTCGCTTTATATGTCATTCCCCGCTTGACATGTGATACGTCATGTCGGCCTGCGGTAGAGACAAAACCGTTGTTGCCCTGCCAGACGGCGAAATTGAGGGGGGCGGCGAAGAGGGCTAGATGCCGGGTCTGCACTCCAGGTTTTGCCCCGGCTCCGAAAAGCCCGCGACGTGCGTGGCGGGTGATTATAGTCAGACGCACGTCACGGGAGTTTAGCTTATTTTAGTAAGTTATATGCAGGGCCAACTTCTCTTGCAAAGCTTCTAAGCTCAACTGTTTCCCAATAAACACCACCTTATTCTCAGAAACTCCCTCTAAAAGCACCCCCTCACGGGTATCGTAAGTGTCTCTGACTCCCTGGATCACTCTGACAACCACGTGGTACTTATCGTCCTCATCTTTTTGTACCACAAGCCCTTTCACTCTATGGATTTCAAACTCGTCTCCCCAAAGGATTTCCTGGAGAAACTTCTCGAACCCGTGCCATTGGCTGTCCTCAGTTAAAAAGGGGAACTCAAGGGTCACGGTGTTGATCCGGTCGTCGTGGAAACTGCCTGGGTGGTCGTCGACTCTCGTTTGTTCAAACGCGTGGAGATCCAAGATTTTATCCAAATCGATATCGCCAAACAGCGTGGGGTATAACGGAGCGACCCCGTTGATGGCTTTCACCCGGGTTTCCGCTGCTTCCATTTGTTCTGGAGTTACTCTATCGGCTTTATTCATCAATACCACATCGGCCATCGCAAGCTGTAAATGAGCCGTGGTCACGTCCTCCGGCTCATCCTCTCCCTCCACTCCCTGGGCCAGCTTCGTGTGGCCGTGTTCTCGATGCCAGTGACCGCCAACATCGTCTAAACACCGCACAATGTGCTCACTGTCCACCACCGTAACCACACCATCAATATAGATCAGCAGCGCGAGCCCATCGTCAAGCCAAAACATCTTGGCAATAGGTACAGGGTCAGCAATCCCTGTGGTCTCAAGTAAGATGTAATCGATTTTGCCCCGGCTCTTCTCCACGAGCCGTTCGATGGCTAAGACGCCATTGTCTTTGACGGTGCAACAGAGACACCCGTTGCCCAAATCAAGCCACTCTTCCACCGTGTCTGCCTGGTCCTTGATGGTAACACTCTTTTCAATGGTAGCACTGTCGCCAAACTCGTTGAGAATGATCGCTAGCCGCTTGCCCTGGGCGTTTCTAGATATCGTCTCGAGGAGAGTCAGCTTGCCGCTGCCCAAGTAGCCCGTGATGATGGTGATGGGGATCTTCTTGTCGACATTGACCGGTAATTCGGCGGTGTCTTCCTTGTGGGTGTAGTGGAAGTCTGGGGGGAGCTCCTCCACGAGCTGAGGGATGTCGTCCATGATGGGATTAAGAAAACAAGGGGGGGTATAAATAAAGTAAATTAACCACTATATCTGAAACATGATATCATAATTTAACCAATTGACACTACTACACGCCTGCATTGACTTCGGAGTTCTACATTTGTCAATGGTGATGGCGTTGTCATCGCCTGGTAGATCTTTGCAGCACCGATGTTTCCCTAGCTCGTTCGCACTATAACTCCCTAAGGTGGCTGGCTGCACTTGACGGAAATCATGTCATGACCGGAGATAACCAAACGCACCTGGCGGAGCATCTATTGTTCCGCCTTTGGCGAGCTGGCGTCAATCACCGGCAGGGGAGTCAGTCGCCGGCGCAGGTTTTAGTCGCCGGCGCGTCGTGACGGCTCGCCCCCGACCCCCCGACTCCCTGCGTCGACGTCCAATCCGGAGATTAGCCAGCTCGTTCTTTCTCGTAGACCATGTCCTCGATGTGACATAAAAACATTATTGAGGTGGATTTGCCGTTCTCTCCTCTAATCATTAGTTTTGAAGGATGTTAGACCATATTGCTCTACTATCCCTTTTTGGCATTTCTTAGTTCCTTTTCTTCGGCTACGCCTTGTCATGCTTGATGGTCGAGGATGTCGGGCATTGCCAAATACGACCTCCGATAACTCCACCAAAAATGGAAATAGCGATCGCAACAATTGGAGTCCGAGACTATGGGGACGGCAAATCACATGATCGGCAATAGCAATGCCCCCAAATAACCAATAACAACCACAATCGCCAGGGACACTTTAGTCATCAAAGGGGATGAACATCGATTAGAGTTTTCATAATGTCGTTTATCCCCTGATCGCAATATGTTGCCGATTACTGATGTGGTTATCACGGAGATTGCGTTGTTATCTCTATTCAGGGATCTTTCCCCACCACTCGTGTCGAACTTTCAGGCACTAATCAATATGATCGGGGCGGTTTTGTGACGCTAGCCTTACTCGTCATTGCTAGATCAATGAAGTGTGTTTGCTTGATTTGACATTCCTGAGTTGAGGTGATGGCTCTCGCAACAACGATCACTATTACCAATGAGTGGATTCAGCATCAATACTTTTCTCTTTCTAGAATTAAGCTACTAGCGAAGGACTGGACAACGGATCACTTGGTCATGTTTGTAGCAGTTGGTTCCAGCAATAGGGCTCCTCCTTTTCTCTATCAAAATGGATTGTACCTGATGATTTCATTCAAACCATGGTTGTTTACAAGAGAGTGTTCACTATAGTAGTCAAGTTGAGCCGATTGGAGGGCTACCAGGCGTGACCATTAAGCCTTGTGTGTTTCGAGGTCTGCGAAAGTTTTCCTGGCGGGTGCGAAAGAATTACTGGCGGTCTGCGAAAGGTTATTTGGGACCAGGATAACCATCATCTGGCTACGTCTCGAAGATTACTCAATTCAATTTTTATTTCTGTTTCACTTTTCTATATATATATGATATCATGCAGTTTTTACTTTGGTTCAACGTTGTAGGTCATCTTGATCCCCATGGCCGACAACTCCGAGTCCAAGTACTTAAGGACGAAAGGAATCGCCACCGTGGTGGTGCTGTCGCCGCCAACAAACTTGGTGCCGGTGCCGTCCTCCCAGATCTCCAGCTCGGGAGCGTAGCCGTGGCGTTGCTGGTACAGTTCCAAAGGCACCGAACATCTGCGGCACCGCACCAGCGCCATCAGCCCCACGCGGGGCACCGACGTCTGGGTGGTCAAGATCAGGCCACACTGGCGACAGATCGACAGCTGGGTGTAGTCGGAGCAGTTGAGCAATCTGTCCTGTAACAAGTACAGGGTCCCGTGCCCGATGAGGGCGTCTCTTTCCATTTCACCAACACGAATACCCCCCAGACGCTTACGCCCTTTAACCGGCTGCATCGTCAACGAGTTGACGGGACCCGTCAGTCTCACCTGGAACTTATCGTTGACCATGTGTCTCAATCTCTGGTAGTAAACCACCCCGATGTAGATGTCGCAGCGGAGCTCTTCCCCGGTGGCACCCGAGTACATCGGCTCGTTACCGTGGTAGTTGTAACCAGCAGCCAATAACTGCTTACCGAAATAGTCGGCGGGAGTGTCCAGTTCCGAAAACTTCCAAGGGGTGGCGTCCTGAGCGATCCCGTGCATCGCCCCGGCCTTACCGGCAAGCGACTCGACAAACATCCCGATGGTCATTCTCGACGGGAACGCGTGCGGGTTGATGATGACGTCCGGCTGGATCCCCAGCTCCGAGAACGGCAAGTCCACCGCGGGCCATTTACGCGAACACACCCCCTTCTGCCCGTGTCTCGACGAGAACTTGTCCCCGATGATCGGCTGTCTCGTCACGCGGTACTTGATGGTGAACATCTGGAGCTCGGTGTCGTGTCTGTCCGGGTGGAGCAACTTGACTTCGTCGATGTACGCCGGTTCCAGCGAGTGGTAGGTCTTGACCTTGGTGCGCCCCGCGGTCTCGTCGTAGTAGGCACAGATGGGGTCGCCTTCCTCGACCTTGGTCCCGATCAAGGGCAACCCGTCTTCGTCTAAGAAGTTGCGCCATTCCTCAGGCCACTCGTCTTCGCCGAAACCAACGTGACAGGTGATCGGTTCCCCGTGTCTCTTGGTAGTAGACACATTAACCTTCTCAACTTTGTATACGGTACCGTAGCCAAACCCTCTTTCGTCAGCCAGCTTATTGATGATCATGGCATCGTCCATATCGTAACCGGTGTACGAGATAACCGCGACCACGGCATTAGTCCCGTTGGGGAAGTTGTCCATGCCGTAATCATCGTATAAATTAGCCTTAACAATGGGAGTTTGCCCCGTTTGCAAGCGGTATAACTTGTTGTCGGAACGGTGGACAAGAGCGACCCCGGGGGTACCCATGGTTTGCTTACCCATTTGACACTGGTACATGTTTCTCGGCGACTGGTTGAAGTCGGAGAACGGGGTCAAGTTGGCCAAGATCGAAAGGATATTGGTGGGCGAGTACTCGACGTGAGTGTGGACGTTATTCTCCACTTCTTCAGGGACCACGGCCACGTCCATGTACACTTGTTCAAAGGGACCAACGATGTCCATTTCACCGGTGGGTAAGTACTTGACGGGTCTCATCATTCTGGCGATACCACCGAACAAGTAGAGACCAGGGTATTGACCCTTAGTCAGAGGGGGCACGTAACCGATTTCAAGGTCTCTAGGCAAGTTGTGCGACCCTTCAACCTTCCAGAATCTCAAGGTGTCGGCAACAATCTTGGCCTGAGCGTGCAGAGTCCAACCCACGATCTTACCGTCTAATTGGACACAGGCGACGTCAGGACCAGCGGCGTGAGCCGAGGCAGGGGACACACCAAGCGCAGCTAACGCAGCAGGGACACCCAGCACGTCCAGCTCCTCAGTGGCCACAATACACTTGTGGGCCAAGTGGTTCAACAAACCACACGGCGAACCATCGGGGGTGTGGACAGGACACAAGAACCCCCACGATTCCGGTAACAACTTACGCACGGTGGTGGTCTTTAATTCAGCAAAGAACGAACCACGGTGGACCATCCGGAAGTGGGCGATGAACCGGTGGAAGTTAATCTTTTCCGCAACCACGGTGTAACCGGATACTTGTTGCAAATCGAGCCCCGATTGCGAGATCAAGTTACCCGTCAGCAAGAAGTACTGGAGCTTAGTCCCGACGTCTTCCGACACTCGGGTAAACACCCGTTTCATGTACTTTTCGTTGAAGGTGACGGCCATGCCTCGATTGATGTCCGACGTGATCTGGAGCTTATAGTTCAGCAACACTTCGTCGATCTTTTCCTTGATGATCATCCCGTACAAGAACCCCCCGAGGAGGACCTCTTGGTGCTGGGCGGCATCGGGATTATCAGGGGCACATTCGCCGGCCACCAACGAGTAGAGCTTGCGGATCATGAACAAAAGCATGCGGAACTTGTCGCGGTTATCCTTTAAATGGACCAACACGATCTTGTCGAGCACCTGTTGCCCCACGGCGACGTCCAGCTCGTCGTCAGCGGCGCCAAACACCACTCTGAATTTGTCACCCAAATAGGCTAAGGTTTCTTGCTGGCCGTATAAGTTGTACTGCTTGAACGTACGCAACAACAATTCCAAACGATCAGTTAAAAACGAGTTGCCGGTGTCGGCACCGACAATGCCGTCGAAGATCTCGCGGTCGTTCGTCTCGACGAGGGCCTTTAAGATCATTACCACAGGCACCAAATACTCGTTTTTGCGCCACGAGAATCTGAAGGTAGCGTTACCATCGTCCAAGTAGTGGACGACATTAGTCTGAGACGTTTGATCACGGCGGACACTGCGGATTTGCACCCCGTACTTGGTATAAGAGTTACCACGGTTAGCGAACGACGGTCTAATAAGAGCCAACGGGTGGTTTCTCCGTTGGACAATAAGCATTCTCACGAGCTTCTCGATCCCGTTGACAATGAAATAACCACCCAACTCGTCCAGCTCTTCTCTGGCTTGCACTAACTGCTCGGGCAGCATCCCTCTCAACTGGCACCGGTTCAGCTGTAACATGATCGGGAGCAACCCCGCCTCTCTGATTTCGGTGTGGACGTCGCCATCATTGACTTTCCACTTCACTCTTAACGACATCCGCGCCCGGTACGACGCCATTCTCTCTCTGGCCTCCGAGGGCATCATGCGACGGTCCGTCTGGGCGGCGTCGAGGGTGTTGGCTTCGGGCTTCCCCACTTGCACCGAGTCGACCCAGATCGACAACTTGTTGCCTCTTTTGGAGTCGGAGGAGGCGGCAATCACTGTTTTGGCGCCGATATCCTTGACGGCGACGTTGAGAAGGCCACCGTCGGGGCCGCTGGTGAGGGCGTCGAAGGAGCCGATGTGGGGCTGGACCGCCTGCTGGAGAAGCGGGAACGCCAGCTTGTCCTTGGGCGGGTTCTGGAAGCGCCGTTCACGCTCGAGCGTCCGAAACTGGGCCCGGGTCATGGTGGATGCGATGAGGTTCGTGGTGACAATTTCGCACCGCGATGAGGTCGGGGGCACAAACATCGGTGCAGCAGGCTACTAACCCGTTAGTGGCGATATGCTGATAAACGGTGATCACCCCACTCAAACATCTTGACAATCATTTCATTTGTTTTGATTATCACTGACACTATTATAGTGGAGTGTATTTTTGGCAATTGTTTTCTGCCCCTCATCTTGTGACCTCTTCTCTGCCACTTCCCTCTTACTGGCAATAACAATCAAATCGCTATTACAAATGCTCTTACAATCAAATTCCTCAACATTATTTAGTTACTTCACAATCAATTGTTTGTTTTACGACATGATCTCACCGCGTTTAGTCTCACACTCTTCATCGTTTACCCGCGATGGCCAACTCCCGGTTCGAGTACGTCAAGTTGTTTGAGCGGGAAAACCCGCTTCTCCCCGATACCTATATTGTCCTTCGAGTCGACGGTAAGGGGTTCCACAAGTTTCTGGCCCACTATGGCTTTGAAAAGCCCAACGACGCCAAGGCGCTCGACGTGATGAACCAGGCGGCTTTGCTGGTGATGACGAAGTATCCCGACGTACTGATGGCCTACGGCGACTCCGACGAGTACCTGTTCTTGCTTAGAAAGCTGTGTGACTTGTATGAGCGCCGGGAGATGAAGCTTATCACCACTTTCGCTCTGGCGTTCACCACCGAGTACTACTACTGGTGGACACAATTATTCCCCGAAAAACCGCTTGACCACGAACGGTTACCTCAATTCGACTGTCGGGCAGTGGTCTACCCCAATTTCCAAGTGGTTAAGGACTATTTCAGCTGGAGACAAGCCGACTGCCATATTAACAATTTATACAATACCACCTTCTGGACATTGGTGCAAAAAGGAAACTTGACCCCTCAACAAGCGGAACAGAGGCTTCTGGGCACTCTAGCTGCGGATAAGAACGAGATCTTGTTCCTGGAGTTCGGCATCAACTATAATAATGAGCCGGAGATGTATAAGAAGGGGACAGTATTGGTGAGAGAGATCACTGAACCTGAGAAGCAGGAGCAATTACTGGATCGTCAGAAGCAGAGGGAACAGAAGAAACGGCGCAAAGCTGAGATTAAGACCCTCCATTGTGACATCATCAAGGATGACTTTTGGCAACAGAGACCCTACCTTGAATAAACCCAAAGGAGAATCTTGGTATACTACATTTGTTTGGAGTTTTTTGTTGATTTGTGGTATTGGTATATACTCGCTTAGGCGGTGCCCAAGATCGACATGGCACACCCCCAGATGGCAGCGGCAATGGCACCGACGGGACCCAAGGGGTTGTTCAACTTAGATTGACCCTGTTCCTCTTCAACAATGGTGGTGGAGCCACCGCCTTGTTGGCTGCCGCCACCTTGGCCACCCTGGATGACACCGCCTTCCTGGCACGAGCCGTCTTGGCAGGCCATGGGCGAAGCAACGGCCAACGAGGCGATAGCGAGAGTGGTAAGAGTCTTGTATTGCATGGTGAGGGAGTGAGTGATGAGGAAAGAGAGGAGGGAAGTGGGGCTGTATTTATAGTAAAGATGGGGTCAATTGCTTATGTTCCATTGTCGAATTCGTTTGGAAAGTGAGGCGTCGCCAGCGTGGACGAAAACACGAACATGCATACGTTCTGCCGTGCCGAATCCGCCGTATCGATAGTGATAGATAGAGTGAGGAGTATTGTGCTTATCTACATCATGACGATCAGATTCCGTAAGATTGTAGATACTTAGATATAGGGTGTAGTCGCCAATGATCACACCGAATGGCTTGATTATTCAAAGGCAAATCTTCAACCAAGCTTAAGCGTCGTCAGAGCAGAGAATCTCGACGTAACCGTGTCTGTTTTTGGCACAGCGGCACCCCTGTTGGTGAGATTGCCTTATTTACGCGACGACGATCCAACACGAAACCGCTCCCATTGGCACAGGGTCCAGCCGAATTAGTAACGTAGTAGTTCCTAGACCATTGGTGTTGAGTATATGGGGCATTGATGGATTTGCATCTTACTTCGTGTTGTGATAACCGCTTTTGTCTCCTTGATTAATGGCTATCATGAAGCGAAACGGGCTCAGTTTCACCTCACAGGTGATACTGGGAAACTCCAATCAAAGGTTATTTTGTCGACGTGCATCTTCGTCTAGATTGTACACCCGACAGCAAGATTATTCCGCTTCCATCTATAAATCTGAACTCTTATGAAGTGCACATAAAGTAGGTACCAAGCCCCCATCAAATGAGAGCTACAATGGAGTGAACTTGGTCACATCAAGCTATCTAAAATCAACGTTCGTCTACAATGTATGACACGTATGTTTTTGTTATTTCCCGGTGGTTTATTCGTCGATGTCGCCGGCCGCCTCCGTGCCTTTTTGTACCTGACTAACGCGCGACGAAAACGGGTAGCCATTCACCCTAAATCGTCCAAGATCAAAGGAAAACAGGAAAATACGAAAATGGACAGAAATGTAGGTCCCGCATAGGTTATCGAGATCCACCTAGATTCTCAATCAGACAGTGTGGATAGCGGTACCTCAAAGCAGACAATTCTTAAATTTCGCCTTCTCCCAATCGAAGTCCAGCGTAAATTCGTCATGATTATCAAGTGTTAATATCGACGGATAATTCTAGACTGCTACAGTTGAGCTGCGAGCTCTCACCATAGAAATCCCCTAATGTACTCGGCTATGTTCCGAGATTGACAGAGTTTGGCGAAACACTCTAGTCGAGTTCAAAACCATCCAGTGTTGATAACTCAATGAGCCGAATCTGGCTTTTGTTCTTGGTGGCACTTGTTCATAATAGGCACGGCTATCTTGGGAGTGTTCTAGAAAAATATAAACGGCTAACAGTGAAGGAAGATTACTACTAACATGAACGATGCGTTTCAGGACCATAGAGATTAAGTGCTAGTTGAATACGCAGTTGCTTCTGCTTGTGAAGGCAAATGTTGGTTGGGACGATTTTGACTTCCAGTCAACCCTAATGGGAAAAGAGCTATACACAAATTGTAATTCCAAAACACTGTTAAATTTTCTAATATACAAACAGTGATTGTTTTGATGTTTGATCAATACTATTTTTGGAATTTTTCAACATTTGCCAAAAATTCTCATGATCGCAACAAAATTGAGGCGCATGACAAGATATGCACATGACACAATCCTTTAAAATCGTGATTAACTATATTCCTATATACAACCTAGTAGAACCCGTTAAGTTGATTGGCCAAGCTACGTTCGAACTGCGTGTTAATCTCATTTAACGCCATCAAGGCTCCTGCCACCACCAGTCTGACTCGTTCATCAATGATTCCTTCAAACACCAGCATCAACCACTGCGACACCAGTGCCAATTCGGGCCCGATAAGCGATACCAAGATCTCGGCATCTTGCGAATCAACCACCACCATGACTCCCGTGGCCACTGCTTCCACCACGGGAGCATCAGTGACCTTTTGCGCGGCTAAATCATTAGCCACACCAAACCATTCCTTAGTGGCCTCGGTATAATCGTTCAGAGGGAACCCACAGGCTAATACCAACGCGAGTGTCGTCACGTAGTGGCCAATGAAAATGGCAGAATAATCACCGAGATCGACCCGGCCATCCACGGCATGCCATAACGCCAGTAAAGGAAAAAAGAACTGGCGGTTGCTCACCTGACTAAACAGGTTTTTCGGTTGGTTTTGCAATTGGCGTTGGTGCTCGAGCCGTTTCAGCACCCGTACCACTTTACCCGCTCCACTGAGGGCAGAGTCGGTGACGTCATCGCGGGCTTGTTGACTGCGGTGACCCATCACCTGTTGCTGTACATCAGCAAGAGCTTTCTGTTGGTAGAGGGCATCAATGTGTGCAGGTAGGCGCTCACTAGGGAATTCTTTAGGAGTAAAAGCTTTAGTAGTGGCAGGGTCATCAAGCCCTCTAAGCTCGCGACACGCCATCGAACAGGCAGTGAGCATTTGCATCCGTTGCAGCAACGAATAATCTCCCTGAGCGAGTAGTTTCACCACTAACGGTACGGTTTCGGGACACTTGACTAGTATGGCAATGAGCATTTGTAATCTCCATTGAACAACGTCGTCGTCATTGAATTGGTTGCCGAGGCCAACAACATCTTTGAATAGAGTATGAGCGTAGAATGCTACTTCAGTTTTGGGTTTCTGGCGGATCAACGTGGGTCCAATTTCCAACGCGGTGCGGACCATTTCGTAAGCGTCTTTCTTTTGCGAGTCCACAGTTAAGTAGTCCACTAAATCTTTGATGAAACGGGGACGAGCAGTGGTGGTAGCCTTATGGGATAACGTGAGACCCGATACTGGAGTGGTAGTAGCCACAGTTTGGCCGGTTGACGTCTTAACCACTTTGTTGTCAGTAGTGTTGATGGCGACCAATGCTTCATCAATGGTCAATTTGTCGATGGTTAACGGCTCGAGAGCATCGATATCTGGGTCGCCTTCGACTTCAAAGATGCGATTTACTCCCGTAATGTCACTGAGCTTGTTAGCTAAGGAGATGGCTAGTTGTTTCACCAGAGGAGTAAGCAGCGATAAGTGGGAGGAGACACCTTCAACAAACTCCGGAGAGTGCATTAACTGTACTACCTCTTCCTTGGAAGTATTATACGCCAAGTATACGAGTAAACAGGTGTGAACTCGCTGAGAAGCAACAAACTCATGAGGCAGCCATAATGCCATTAAATTGCCCAATAAACCACTATTAATGAATGGAGTTGTAATAGCACACAAGTAGCGCGCCAGTGACCACGGGAGTGTAGCCCCGACATCGACGATAAGCTTAGTTGTAGCCACATCCACTGTCGGAGAAAAAGATGCTAAAATCAGCGCCCACGCGGACGCGGTAGCTTCATTGATTGAACCACTCATGTATCGTATTATTGATTGAGTGAATCGAGTCTTTGTAACGTTGTTAAGACGGCCGTAAGCCGAGACAAGCACCTGCCAATTTTTAGTGGTAGTCAACCCCCATTTAAAAAGCAGTGAAGAATCCAGCAGGAGAACCAGGGCCACATAATCTTCACCCAGTTGTAATTGACCCAACTGACTTATAAGATTAGCAAATGACACCAGCGTAGTTAACGAGTATTTCACGCAAACTTCATTGACCACCGAAACCACCTTCCCACGCCACACAAGCTTATCAAACTCTCGCCTTTCCGCCGCCGTAGTGATGGGAATGGCGGCTAGATTGTCCACTAGTCGTTCCACTACCAGCAAGAACAGGTAGGCGGCGGTGGGGTCAGTTTGGAGGCCGAGTGTAGTGGTGGCAGTGCCGAGTCCCAGAACCAGCTGGAGACTTTTGACAATGGCCAATTGGGTTGGTTCGTCTGCCAGAGGCCATACGGTAGGTATGAGCTCGATCACTTGCGGCACCGTTGCCTGGCCGTGGATTATTTGGGAGACGTCTCCACTCATCCCGCAGTTACCGTGCGGCGCAGCCAACTAAGACTGATGTGAGAACGGCAAGTGGCGCCCACACAACAAATCTAATGATTAAATGAACTTCGTCTAGTTTTGAAACACCTTCGATTTGAGGCTTGGTTCCAGCTTAGTTGAAGGCCTAATCTGTGTCTCCTGGAAGTATATTTGTATTATAATCTAGTAAGCACGCACTGTAGGGTGTGAAAGTATCTCAATTTCTTTGTCTTATTACTAATTATCTCTTAGTTTAAAACCCAGTGGTGATCCAGTGGGTCAATGCTTGGTCAAACAGAGCCCAGCCCAGCTCTTTTTCGTCGTCGTCGTCTTTGTCGTCACTGCTCAGATTGTCATTAATGTCATCGCTCAGATCTTCCTCACTCGCCCAGTAGCCTCCATACTCCACGTCGTCGCTGGAGTTACCGTCGTCGTTAAGGGTGTTGTCGTCATTGACTAATACATTTGTCAACCACGTATAGTTTCTCGCCCCTTGTTCCGTCCACACCATAGTCTTTAAGTTGGTCAACTTATGTCTCGCCACCTCTATCCATTCAAAGTGGGAGAGTTTGGCCACACACGTACGTACTCGTGGCCAGGTGATCGAGTCGACGCGGCACGTCAACTCTAGGTGTTCAAGTTTCGGGTAGAACCCGGCAATCGTCAACGCGTCGTGGAAGAACTCTTCGTAAACGTGGTCCACAACTACCACCAAATGCCGTACTGATTTCGGAAGGCCACAAATCATATCGAACTCGTAGTTACGGATCCCCACACCCGCAAGCACGGATAAATCAGTCAATCGAGTCAATTGCAGGCGGTACTTGAGGATTCCATCGTCGTGGTAGGCACCAAGCGTCATAATGGATAATTGTTTCACTGAGCCGAGATCAACAATCTTGTGAATACCCGGGTGGCGTCCGTTAAGCTGGAGACTGTCCACTCTGATATCCATGGGGTACTTGGGTTTTTCAATATAGTCCTCGATTACCAAACGTTCAAGATGGCAATTGGGGAATTGTTTAAGGTGGTCAAACACTCGCGGTCCCTTTAATCCCAAGATATTGGTTGCGGTGTAGTTTGAAGGGATGCCAGCTTGAGATGAGTGTCCTTCATAGTAATTGGGGGATGTGCGGGGAATAGCAGTGATCTCTACCGACATGTAGTTAGGGTTTGCCTTATGGTACCGTTTCCAGGACTTCCTCGTCGTCCCTTCAATCAAGGTAAGCCCCATTGGCCATTCAAACCCGTGGAGCACGAGATTGTGGTACTGAGTATCGGTGAGCACAAGCCAGTCATCGGAGGAGTCGGTCGACAAGTCAGGGTTGTATTCCTTCCCAGGCGGGAGCACGTACACTAGGCGGAAGAGGAAGCTTCTAATATCATCAGCGATTCGCCAGTTGTTGTCACCCATATCCCATGACAGCACACATAATAAGAAGTTCATGATCGTGTTTTTGGACAAATGTTTGAGGATCTCGATGATGATGTCACTGGCCAAAACGTCAAACATCAATTTCCGTTTCTTTTGCTGATTAGAGTCTTTGCCCTTCAGTTTGCCGTCAACCATGGCGTTTCAGGCTTCAAAGAAAGCGGTAGTCAATAAATTCAGTAGGAGCCGGTCAATTCGGTTGGGTTATTAGCCGATTGTTGGCGGAGACGTTGAGTAAATGAGGTGTAAAGGAAAAATAACATCTCAACCAAAGCTTCCCTCATACTAAGTGGTCATCTTCGTATAGCCTCTCAGCGGGTGACCCCATTGTTGTCATCGTCAAACTTGTACGAGCGAAAAGACGCTCAAAATGTGACTCAAACCAACAAGAAATCATCGAAGCAAGCAATTCAAGAGTCTATTTTGGTCACCACACCTTCAATATCCAATCATAAAAGTCAAATTGATTTGGTTAAGGCCTCATATCCTTGGATAATCTCACCATTGTGATCACGCCGTATAGCGCGGTGGTTGTCATGCCCACTGCCTGCCCGCACCGTGTGAACCCTATACGAAGCCACCGCCATCCGATATATCCAGGCCTACAAGGACTTTACAAACAAAATGATGATCATAAACAAAACTGAAATGTAGAAGAATAGTAAGAGTAGGACGATGAAGCAATTTTCGTTCTGAAAGGGCCGACTTCTAGGTATTCATTCTGGGCAGGATCCCTCTGGAGTTGTTATTCATAGTTTTTGTATTCGTTTGACTTTTAATCGTATATCTACGTCTATTATTTTACACGCCGTAGTCGGCAAAGTGTCCCGAGGCGGCGCGGCGGCGGATGTACCACTTGCGGACCTCGTCGACGATGAGCACCAGCAGCGTGAGGATGGTGAGGTTAACCAAGTCGCTCAAGTGCAACGCCTCCGTCTGGAAGATCCTCTGGAAGAACGGCACGTAGATCGCACATAGCTGGCCCAAGAGCGACCCGAGCACCGCGAAATTAAACATTTTGTTGGAGGTGATCCCCAACTCAAACACCAGCTTGGTCAGCGAGCGACACGCCAACGCGTTGAACATATCGTACAACACGAAACAGGTGAACGTCATCGTGGTGTCGCGGGCGGTGACTTCGCCGTCGTTCATCTCTTTGATGAACACGTATATAGTACCGATGATGATGACGGTGGCCAGCTGGATGACTCGTTTGATCACCGCGGGGGTTAAGATGGCGGCATTGCGTTTGCGTGGCGGCTGTTGCATCACCTCGGGGTCGACCGGTTCCACACCCAATGATTGAGCGGGGGGACCGTCCATCAAAATATTGATCCAAAGAATTTGCATGGCGTTAAGCGGGTTGGGCAAGCCGAAAAGAGTAGCCAACGCCACGAGGGTTAACGCAGCAATCAGCGTCGACAACTGGAAGGAAATGAAGTTCTGGATGTTGTAGAAGATACCTTTACCTTCTTCGATGGCGGCCAAAATCGTGGAGAAATCGTCGTCAACAAGCACCATATCGGCGGCTTCCTTAGCCACGTCGGTACCGTTTTTGCCCATAGCAATCCCGATATCCGCAAGCTTCAATGCGGGAGCATCGTTGACCCCGTCACCGGTCATTGCCACTACGTCACCACGGTGTTGTAATGCCTTAACGATCAACACTTTGTGTTCGGGAGTGGTACGAGCAAACACCAGCACGTGCTGGATGGCCTGACTCAATTGTTCAGGTGACATGTTGTCCAATTGGCCACCGGTCAACACCAGCTGGTCCGGGTTAATGATGGGGATACCGATCTGTTTAGCGATGGCGATGGCGGTAGTGGGGGCGTCACCGGTGATCATGATCACGTGGACACCACCACTCATCAATCTAGCGATGGAGGAGGCGACATTCGCCCGAGGAGGGTCCTTCATACCCGTGAGACCACAGAAGATCAAATCGTGGGGTTCAATGTTCAATTTGAGCAGGTTCTCAGCGAAACCAAACACTCTCAACCCTTCCAGGGCGAGCCCCGAGGTGCGTTCCATGATTTCGTCGCGTACCTGTTGGGTAAGCTCTTTAGCCTGGCCCTGAGCGTCGTAGTATTTAGTGCACATCGCCAACACTCTTTCGGTAGCCCCCTTGACGTAAGTTTCCGGCTTATCAGAGTCGCCGCCGTGGACACCCACCGCCTGGTACTTGCGGCTCAGCGAGAACGGCGTTTCGGTGAATCTCACTTTGGTGCCTCTAATGTCTTCGTGGCCAAAGTGCGGGAGCACTTCGATCAACGCGATGTCCAGCGGGTTGCCCAACCACTTGTCGCTCTCTTTGGAGAAACGAGAGTTGTTACAGATGTTGCCGCAGTCGAGGAGCCGCTTGATGTTGGTCGTTTGTTGGTGTTCAAGCGTGTTGTCGTCGAGGCGTTCCACGTTCAAGTACGGGGTGTTGAACGACCCCTTACAGTCGGTGGTCCATATTTTGGTCACGGTCATGTGGTTTTGCGTCAAAGTACCGGTCTTGTCACTGCAAATGACGTTGACGGAGCCCAAAGTCTCCACCAGGGGTAACCGTCTAACGATGGCCTTACGGTGAGCCATTCTCAACACACCAAGAGCTAAAGTGACGGTGACAATAATCGGTAAACCCTCAGGGATAGCGGCGACGGCCAACGACACCGAGATCTGGAACATATCCAACCATTCACGGCCTTGGAGCACACCAAGAAGACAGATAACCCCGATGACAATAAACAGGAATGTCAGCAAGTCCTTACCAAGCTTATCCATCGCCTGTTGCAAGGGGGTCTTAGGCTTTTCAATCAGGTTCAACATCTTGAACACTTGGCCAAACTCGGTGTCGGCCCCGGTGGCGACGACAATGCCTGCCCCGTGGCCGTCACGGACGAGGGTACCCATAAACGCAATCAGCGATCTCTCCAGCACCGGGTGGTCGCCGTTTACCGGGTCCACCTGTTTTCTCAACGGAGTTGTTTCCCCGGTCAAGTTCGACTCGTCGATGGTCAAATGGACGGCCTCGGTGATTCTGACGTCGGCGGGGATTCTGTCACCCTGGCCAAAGTGGACCAAGTCCCCCGGGACAAGCGTCAGCGCCAACACGTCCTGGCTGTTGCCATGGCGGGTCAACTTCGCCAGGGCGGGGACAAGCTTATTCAATGCTTCCAACAGCTTTTCCAGGCGGTACTCCTGGACGAAACCCACGGTGACGACAATGAAAATTGCCAACGTGATCAGGATGGCGTCGTCGCGGTTGCCCATCCAAAACAGGATCACCGCCAGCCCGATAAGAAGCAAGATCAACGGGTCCTCGTAGAACTTTTGCAAGAACTTTTTCCACATGGGATCGGGCTCCTCGCCGTGGAGCTCGTTGTCGCCGTAGATGAGGCGCCGTTGCAGCACGTCGTCCGGGGAGTCGAGCCCGTCGTGGGCGTTGGTCTTCAAGTCGGCCACCACCTGGGCCACCGTCTCCTGCGACCGCTGGAGCGACACGGTGTGGCTGCCTCCGGACGGGGACGACCCCCGCTGCTTATACGGGTTGTCACTCATCGATTTTGCCTGAGGAAATGGAGCGTCGGCGTTCGGTGACGGGTGGAAAAGTTGTACCCTCTGGTTGATGCCACGCGCGCACTGAACGCGCACCGCGGACGCCGGAGAGGAGGACTCCAGCAACAATGCTTGCTGGGACCAACGGGGATGATATATGGAAATTAAGCATATTTAATTTATGGGTGTTCACCTTAAAACTCCTACGAAATGTTCGCCTTTTGTCTATAGACTATTGTTGACGATGGGCCCGGTTTTGTGGGTTTTGTGGGCCCTAATTTTTTTGGGGCTATGCCGCGGCGACGTGGTTGATTTGTTCGCCCTGCGCTCGAGTCGGCGTTTATCAGCTTTTGTGTTCGTAAGCATATAGGCACCCGTGCGAATTGTGTGGTCGCACTGACTAGCGATAGGGGAGAGAGTGTGGCCGCCAAAGTGGCCCCGCCAAGCACAAAGACAACAATTACGAGTCCCGTCACAATAACTTGGTAGACGGAGAAGATCGATAAATTGGTGGCTATATCGAACTTGCCACGGTACCTACGTAAATCGGAACGACTATATCGTACCTAAAGGTTTATCCGAAAATTGCCCAGGGTTCGCTGACGCAGCCATGCATCATCAAGCCCCGCCACGGGTATTGTGATAGATAACCAAGATAAGCAGTCCGTGGTGATAAATTCTCTTGTTTCAGTGTTTTGAAATGAACTATGTCTTGGTTGTATGTACATGGTGGGTCGGACTTATGTCTTCCGATCCTCTTTCCGCCTCACGATTACATCATGGTGGGGGGGG